AGGAGAAGAGAGGAATAAAGGAGAAGAGAGGAATAAAGGAGAAGAGAGGAATAAAGGAGAAGAGAGGGAGATATACGGGCTTGCTCCAGTTCAATGGCCAGGTCCTAAATAGAAGATATTAGCTCTCAAGAGCCTCTTGGTAATAAAAAGGCAGTACCTACCGCCTGCCTGGCCTCCAATTGTTGCTGCTCAAGCAGCAGACTCTTAGAAGTAGATTAGTAACGTAGTATATTGAAGTTGAGGAGTACTCACCGCATAGCGTCGAAAGATATCGACTTAGGCCTGGACCCCTCCGCGGCCACGACCACGACCACCACTCTTCTGAATGCCGCTGCTTTGGCGTCGGGAGCCACCCCTTCTGCCACAGGACTTTCGTTAGTAGTAGAAACCAGGAGTCAGGAAAAGGTAGTACTCACAAAATAGTTGAATTGGTTGAAGTCGACCCCGGAGTGCGGGTGGTCTTGTACCTTGGCCATGAGGATATGACAAGAAAAGAACTCCCTAATACCGTACTCTTCTTCCATGTCTAGGTCCAGTCCGGGCCGCCGACCATTTTTCCATGGTTATGTTCGTCTGTTGTGTAAAGATCAGAGAACGGTTGGCCTCGTGGACGAGTCTGATGTATGGTCAGACCATTTCGCGAGTCGATGGAGCTGGGAGCTAGGAGAAAAGACTGTGTGTCAGTACTCGAAGTTAGGAGTTGGGAAAAGGTAGTACTCACAGAAGCCCGGTTGACTTTGTGATAGAACTAATAACCTGATTTAGCCTCCGTGAGACTGAATGGGTTGAGGAGAAGAGGTTCGACGTACGTGTCTCTGAGTTCTGAATGCATATGTCAGATGCCAGCCAGACAAGTTGGTGGAAGATAGTCGCAAGATTCTCTCCCAGGTTTAGGCAGTAGTCTACCATGCATACCATAGAGCCTGCGGTTGGAGTAGCGAGGAGTAGTAGAGAGCTGGAACTTGCGGGAGTATGGGGCGGAGAGCGTTGTATCCAACGGAGCGAAGAATGGTTGATGAGGAGCAGATCCCTTGGTAGTAGGACAACGATGTAAGAGTGAATCGAAGTATAAGAGATGAGGTACGTTTTTGTTTCTTTTTCTCTGATGAGGACAACGAGTTTTAGCCTTAGAAACCACGATTTAGGAAAAGAGATACTCACAAACAAAAGGGAATCTCTTCAAGTGTCTTCAAAGGATAGCGAGTCCCACCTGAGGGCGCAGGCAATTAAGTGGAGTTGACTTCGAAATAGGTGGCATTGGCTGCTATGGGAGAAGGTTTAGGAGGTATGAGTGAGTGGGAGATGACAGTTGGGCTCAGGCGCTGTGGCTGCACTTTTGCTTCCAATGGTCATGGCAGATCGCAGCGCTTTGCTTGAACTAGTACTCGGGTACACAAATACGCCTCGCTCTCCCTCCTCCGCTCTACTAGTCCTCATATCATTTGGCGAAGACTCGAGCACGGTCTCGCGCAAAGAAGAGATGGTTACAAGCATGAATGCAAAAAACACAAACTTGTGGTGCACGAGGAAGTGAAAATGTCGGCGCACGCCGGCACGAGCAGGAGTATCAGGGAGTGAAAAGTAGTCCTGCTTCGAAGTGGATTTATCAACCCAGCAATTCCTTGCAATGCGTTCAAGCTCTCCCATACACTGTTGGAGCAATAGACCTCCAATCTCACGCCCCTTGCTGCGCCATCACGGCCTTGGATGGCAGTGTGTCTATGTCACAGTGTTATCCTGGGGTTAGTGCTTGCTATATTACAGTGACGCAAGTTAGGCATCTCAAGGCTTAGAGGCTTTCTGCGGTTCTGTACATGATAAACTACACCGGCACAAGCATATATGTCAACTTACAGATCCAATATTAGTGCCATCATCTTACCACAGCTGGATCTAGCTTGCGATGACTCTACAACAGGCGATCACCCTCTTCTCATCATCTATCCTTCTGGCCTACCGCTAGGTTTCATGGGATTGGGTCATATCCTAGTTCTGCTCTCTTTCCGCAGTTTCTACACGTGTACGAATCAACGATCCCTCCTGTTCTTCCTCCTCCTCCTCTTCTTCTTCCTGACTGGAGAGACACAACACAAATTGCAGCAGATGTGGACAGAACCCTTGCAAGACGCGGCTCCGATTTGACGCAGAACCAGATCAACATCACAGCTGGTCGTATCGCTCAGCAGGAAGAGCAACCTACCTATCCATAGGGATTGAGATGTAATGGTGTGACAGTTATGAAGAAATTTCATCCTGGTAATCTCTTCAACCATCACTTGAAGGCTGGAGCTACCCAGAGCAGTCGTATTGCCCGTGGCTACCTATAGGTAGGTACTGAGCGGTGTACCACTCACACCTAGCCATCGGGTCAACTTTGCCTGGTTTAGCGCTGACCTCGATCTCAACAGCTGTCACCCCTGGCCTCCCATCTCTCGGAATTAAAGCTCATCCGGAATCGAAAAGAATGCATTACAGCCACGCCGTCTCAAACCCCTGGCTCGACTTCAAGCGAGACTCAATCTCAAATTCGCCCGAAACTGGCCGCAGCTCTTGCTCTGTAAGGATTGCTGAAGCTTACCGAGCGCCTCACCGAGATCACGCAGAGAGCCGACAATGATTTCTTGATATCGAGAGTGGGCGGTGCTGTCATGCTCTGATAGTCCTGCGCAAAGAAAAAGTGTGTCAAGACGCCTAAGCCTAGATATTGCATAGTGACAGGTGCCGAGAGGCTCAGGGGGCTAAGAGGCACTCTGGACCTTTCCCCCCGCCACGTCCGTCCTTGAGATTGGATACAAGGCCTTCTGAAGACCAAGATGTTGATCATGTGCGCGCCACTGCTCGCTTGCTCTGTTGGAAGTAACAGCAATCTCTGCTCCATGGCGCTCCCTGTCCATCACAGTTGCATCACTGCTGCCGCTCAAAAGTCCCACCAGGCTGCCACGCGTTCCATCTCCTGGCCCGTTGTGTACGATATGATGCCCTTGTTCTCGGGGCACCCCTGGATCCGAATGGTAAGACTTGGGCGAAGGAGGCTGTTTATTGACCGTTCCATCCCGTTCTTAGGCCTCAGACCCCAACCCATCATTTCGCTTCTTCAGCACATGGCGCTATTGTGCCGCGCTGGCTTGTAGAAGAGACAAAGACAGCCAGTTTGTTCTATTTCTTCACCTGCGGTCGAATTATGATTGAGCGGGCCCAGTGATTAGGATGCTACCGCCCCGTAACCTGGGGTCCCCGCGCGGTCTCGGTCCTAGTCACACAGTCTACCCTTAGCGGGCCCATTATGCTCTGGCCTGGTATGGACGTGTTCATGGCATAAAGGAAGCCACATGGTACAGTCTTGAGCCGAAAACTTCATCCTGGACTGGCCCTTTCTGAAATTCCGAGAGGAACAAGGAGTGTACGCACTCTGCATTCGTACGGCCTGGGCTTGCGACGTCAAACATGTTGCGACTCACGGCATACAACGTGTGGATCGTGTGCGCCTCCTGTCTCGGGGCGTACTCGTATGGATTTTCCTATGCAGTCTTTGTCACCTCCATTGGAGAGCCGGGATTCTTCCTCTTCTTTGGCTTGGACCGTGAGTTCTATAGGGTGCCGAAGCGTGCCCTTGACTGATGAGAGACTACAGCCACCTCAGACCATACCGCCTCGATAATCGGGGCCATCAGCGCGCTTTTCTGCGCCGGAGCAGCCTTCGGCGCCATCCTACAAGGCTGGACCAGTGACAAATACGGACGACGCCCGTCGCTGGCCATCGGTGGTGCCATCTCCATAGTTGGCACCGCAGTGGTGGCTGGATCATGGAACATGCCCATGCTATTCGTCTTCCGGTTTGTCACCGGCTTGGGCGTCGGGCAGCTCTTAGCCTTGGTTCCTATCTACATCGCTGAAGTGGCTCCTCCGCATCGACGCGGGTTGCTGAGTGCCTTGACGGGCTGTGGCTTCTCCTTGGGCTACTTGAGGTAGGCGGGCATCCTCCTGTCCTGTCGGGAGATGAGATTGTTCAATTGACTCGTTCAACAGTTCCGCCTGGATTGGTTACGGCATCTTTTTCACCAGCAATATGACGGCACAATGGCGTATGCCACTGTGTCTGTGTCCGATTGCACCCATCGGCCTCGTGATCGCATGTTATTGGATCCCCGAGTCTCCCAGATGGTTGATCTGGAATGGTCGATCTTCCGAAGCCTGGGTGGTGATCCAGAGGGTACACCACGATCCCACTGACGCGCAAGATGTTGCGGCTCATGCGGAATATATTCAAATCCAGCGGCAAGTGGAGCATGACAAACAGTTCAGTCCAACCTACCTGCACATGTTCACCGTGCCCTCGTGGAGAAAGAGAACACTGATCGCCATGTTGGTCATCTTCGCGGTGCAATCAGCCGGCCTGAATGGCATCACCACGTATTTGATCCTGGTGGCCCAGGGTGCTGGCCTCACCGGTTCCTCGTCACTTTTGATTTATGCCATTTACGTGGTGATTGCCGTGAGCTTCAACTTTGTGAATGCCGCCATCATCGACCGGGTGGGACGGAGGAAGATGCTTCGTAAGTGAAGAACTCTCTCGGAGACCTTACAAAAGATGCGTCTCGCTTGGGACGTTTTTCCTTTTGGTCACTCTTCCTTCCCGTGGATTAGACTTAGACTGACGAGTGCCGGCACGGCGTGCCTGACAGTGACGGGGATTGCCTGGACAGGACTGAGTCTCCTCTCGGCCGCTCTGCTCGAATGGAAGTATACTGGCACGGGCAACAAATCAGGAAATTCGGCGGCGATATTTTTCATCATGATCTTTGGTCTGGGGTTGGGCTTGTTCCTTGACCCGACGCAGTTCACGGTCAGTCCAACTTCCGACTACTCTTGCTCTTTGCGCTGTTACTCGTCTCTGTCTCGCGGATGGTTATGATTCCCACTGACTCTTTGATTTTGGGGAACAGTGGTGCTCCGAGGTGTTCCCAACCATCATCAGGGCCAAGGGTCTCACCATTGCTCTTTTCACCTACTTTGTGGCCACCATTCTGTACACGGCTCCGGCCCCGACCGCGTTTGCAAACATTGGATGGAAATACTACCTGGTGTTTGTCGCCTGTGACGTTGTCAGCTTCATCACCTTATACATCTGGATGCCCGAGACCACGGGTCTGACGCTGGAGGAGATGGGCAAATTATTTGGCGACGAAGTGGTCACTCACTTTTCCCAAGATGGCCGCGGACTTGTCGAGGTCGATGCCATGGCCGCCTTTGAGGAGAAGATTGACTCGGCACAGGTTGAGAATATCAAGTCGGAGGCAGAGACGGGGAATGGGCCTCACGAGAAGCATATCATTGAAGAAGGGAAGCATGCCCAGTGAGCGAGTGACCTGGGTAGGTCAATCCTATGGTACTGGTGCTGGAACTGGCGTTGATCAACGTTGCTGACACTGAGACTGACCATGCTCCGGCGAACGTTAGTCACTGACACTACACTGGTCGGCGCTGACACTGGCGTGTGGAATGGGGTTGGATCTAGTGTGTAAAGCCAAAGTATTCGAGACACGACACAGGGCGGAGAAGAAGAAACAGAAGGAAGACATGTCGAGTTTTCCTTCTTGAAAAATGACGGCACGGTACATAATAATAGGTCCCCGTGATATGAATTCTATGAAACTTACCTACCTAGGCACTAACTTAGACATTCCCTGTCTTGGCCTTTGACCAGAAGGCTAATATAGGCACGCCTATATAATCTAGGCTTCCCCTATACCTCTGTGATAGAGAACATGGAACATTTCGAACCTTTGACATAGTCATAGTCACAGTCACGCCGGTGCCTTCCAGGCGACATAGTGATACCTGAGACACCATGAATATGAGTGCCTAGTTTAGGACTGTAGGACATGGTTCTATCGAACTTAGGCTTGAGGCGCTAACTTTAGGCATTCCCGGCCTTACTATACCCTTTAACTAGAAGGCAGGTATAGACATACCTATATAGTCCATGCTCCCCCTATACCCATTTGATAGAGAACACGGAACATTTCAACCTTTCACAGGTTCTATATGGCGGAAAGAAAGAGAAGAAAGGTGGGATATACTGTATGACATGGACATGGACATGGTTCTACGCAGCTCGGAAAGAAAGAAAGAGAAAGTGTCATGTAACTCAATACTGTTCTGTAGGTCCACACCCCAAACCCAATGGGGTTTCTATGCTATGCTATGTGCAATCATCAATATGGTGTGATGTGATGGAGCGGTAGAGTGAGAATGTACTGTTCTGTTCTGTTTATGAATTCAGAATTCCATCTCGTCTCGTCTCGTCTCGTCTCATTTCGTCTCATCACCTCTCATCAGTGCCTCCCTCTGGCGTCTCCTTAGAGTCCTTTTTTGGGGTCACCTCCACCTCCACTTCCCCAGATGGAGTGATCTCCTGACGACATCAAGAGAATGATGAACAGTGGACGGGACGGGATGGGATGGTAGATAAGATAGATGATAGTGCATTAAATCATCATAAATTGTAGATTCTGGATTCTATTCCAGTGCCCGGCACTCATTAATGTAATGCAGTGCAGCGCAGTGGCAACGACAATCCAAGTCCAAGTAGTTGGACGGAGCAAGATTATTTTTTCTTCTTTCTTTGTTTCTTTCTCTTTCTATGCCCGTTCGACTTGGGCGACGTCGACATGGATCTTGGCGGCGTCGGCCTGTTCATCGGAAATGTCCTGCAGTTCGAATTCGACCTTTTCGCCGAAGGCGTGGTTGATTTCCTCGAGGGTCAATCCTTTGGTCTGGTGGAGGGGAAAATGTTAGTGAGTTGTTGGTTCAAGCATGGCAAGGAGGAGACGGGTTGAAATAGGGCTAAAGTGATAACATACCTCAGGGAAGAAGAAGAAGATGATGGGGAAAAAGAAGACGTTGCAGGCGATAAACACCAGGTCAAACTTCCAGCCGATCTTGTCCAGCGCGATCGGGGCGGTCTGGCTAAAGGTCAAGGTGATGGCGTTGGCGACGAATAGGGCCACAGCCATGCCGTTGGCGCGGATCTTGGTGGGAAGTACTTCGGCGGCGTAGGCGTATGGAGAGGCGGCAAAGGTACATCCGAAGAAGAAAATGTAAACCATGATGAAGGCGATGCCGGTTCTACCCCATACTAGAAGAGAGTTAGTTTAGGGTAAAGATATATCCAGGGTATGATAGTGAGAAGGAGAGAGAGAGAGTGTGAAGAATCACTTACCAGGATCGCTAGTCTGGGCGAATTTGGCAGTGGCGGCGGCAAAAATGCCCAAACACACCGACAGGATGAACAAGCCAGACAGGAAGAGCTTGCGTCGACCCAGGCGATCGATCAGGATCAAATTCACCGAGCCACCGGTCATGTTGCAAATGCCGAAGACGCCGGTCATCAAGAGAGAACGACGGGTGGTGTAACCAAGACCAGCGTAGAAGACGGACTGCGTGTCGTAGTCAGCAAAGAATTCTTTGGAGGAAGAGGATGAGGATGAGGACGAGAATTCATGAACTGCATGTCCATGTCCATGTCCCCGATAGTAGAGCCTTTAACAAGCTAACTGTGACTCACCTGAAAGACTTGAATGGTTTGAGCACCAACGCACTGGACGGAAGTCATGGAAGCCACAGCTGTGGCCACACGGCGCAGTTCTTTGGGGTTACTGAGGATATGATGCCACGAGGCGTCGGCCTTTTCTTTCTGTTCGACGGCCAGTTGGGCGGAGATCTGGAGATACTCCTTCTCCCAAAAGGTGGGATCTTCATGGTCATCGTGCAGTCGTTGCAAGACGGCCTGGGCCTCGGCGTGTCGGTCCTTAGAGATCAGCCATCGAGGCGAGAAGGGGATGAAGAAGCATCCGATGATGAGGAGGATGGCCGGTACGCATTGCATGGCGATGGGAAATCTCCTGTTTGTGAATCCAGTCAGTATTCAACCAATACTAATGCCAATACCGATACCGATACCAATTTCGATTTCAACCCCAAAAGGTGGAGTGAGAAAAGGAGGAAAAAAGGGAAAAAAAAAAAAAAAACCGGGCAGACGCTTGGACCTTCTTACCATGAGAAAGATGCGCTGGAGGAGAAATTACAGGCAAAGCCAATCCACGAAGCCAGAGTCCCGGCGAAATTGAGCGTCACAATCTGGAAGGCCACCATAGTGCCGCGAAGATGAGGAGGAGCAATTTCGGCCTGATAGACGTTGACGGTGGTCAACATGATGCCTGAGGCGATGCCTGCCACCACTCGGCCGGCGAAGAAGAGCCCGACTTCCTGCGCGGCGGTCTGGAAGATGGCGCCGATGAGGCCAATGACACCCCCGATCTGAATCGTTCTTTTACGCCCGAATCGATCGGCCAGCAGACCAACGAAGAAGAGTCCGACGATCAGGCCAGCAAAGTAGCACGAGCCAATGGCACTGGGTGTAAAAATCAGTTTTGTGCCTTTGGTTGTTGTTTTTTTCCTGGGCCTTCTTGAGGGGAAATGCCAGATCAAATACAAGCACAAACGTACCCGAGAACGGTAGAGCTAGGCTTAAAGTACTCCAAGAAGCCTTCCTGTGAAAATCTAAATCCAGAGGACCGAGTCAGCGAACCATTTTGTAGAAATGAGAAAGCGAGAGAGTAAGAGAGCGGGTGTCTGTCTGTGTATGGGTGTGTAAGAGAGCTCCAGGGGTTGTTGGCTCCTTCTCTCTTTCTCTCTCTCTCTCCATTTGGCTTCAAGTCTAGACTTACGTTCCAGCAATAACGGCAGCATCGTAACCGTAAAGCACACTGCCAGAGCCAGCAATGGCGGCGCACATCCAGTTGTATCCTTTCCCCATGCTGATGTTGACGCTGATGCGCTTTCAATGTATGTAAGATAAATGGGCAGCAAATCACCAACGGCGGTGACACAAACAAAATCCCAGGTCGATGTCGATGATCAACACAACACAACACACCACAGGCGTGGGGGGTACACGGGGCAGAGTAGGGAGTACGGGGTGAAATAAGAGATAGACACGGATACACAAAGGCGGAGTTGGGTTGGGGTTGGACTGGGGACTATATATGTATATCCGTCCAGGTATGATTTACTCTGTACGAGTGTACATGGTGTCTGCCCAGTGGCGCGCGCCCTAGGACGAGTTGACTATAAACTACGGGATACTCTGTATCCGTACACTACAGTCACAGTCATAATGTAGAAATGGACCCAAGACCACGACCACGACCCCCAGCAAATGATCAATCATCATGTCGGGGGAATGCCTGGGGAGCTAAGAGCCCCCTCCTGACCCTTGGCCTTTCCCCCTTCCACCCCCAGAGTGGCTGGATTCCTGTCCTCTCCCCCCCTGATCCCTCTCTATCTCTTTCGCTTTTCTCTTTTTTCCTCTTTCTCTCTCTTCCGGTAGGATTTCGGGAGGACTTCGCCACGAAATACGACAGGCAGAAAACCCAAATCACTTTATCTAAGTCGGGTATGGTCTCCACTATAGACCCAGTCGCTTGGAACCCAATACGGTCTATTGCCTATGATTCTACAGAGATGATTGGCTTCAGCGCTTTGTTTTGTGGGTCGCTCCTCAACGCCCGTCGCTAGTTCGAGGCCTGGGCAAGGCTAGTCACCCGCCACTTCTGGTCTCGGCCTCGCCGGGGTGGGATTGGGTGAGTGGGAGGTGGGGTTTGGGTGTGGGGGTAGTCAGGGGTCCCATGACCACGCGGATGGCCAGGGAAGAGAACACGAGGCAGCTGGCACATCACAGGACAAGTTAGATCGGAGAGAAAATAAAAAATGTTGATTTAGTACCCGTCTGTGCGTCCCCGGAGCAATGTTCGTACAAGGAAATAAATCTGCTGCTACGCACGCTAGTATGAATATGTCTATGCCACGAGGCGACACGAGGTGGGGGAATACATGCAGGTCGGGGTTTAGTCCGGGGAAAGGAGTTTGGGTCCCTACCAGCGGTCTGGGTTTGCGACCTCGATCCTCGAACCTGTCAAGGAAACTTTTCTTCACTCCAGTGCCTTTCCCGCCAATTGGTGACCCGCGACATAGCCAAAGGTCATTCCAGGCCCGATGCTCGACCCACCACCAGGGTACTCTCCGCGCATGACCGAATTGGAGTCACAGCCGACCGCGTAGAGGCCAGGAATCGGCTGGTTCTTTGCGTCGACAACCTGGGCATTCTCGTTGGTCGCGATGCCGTACGTGGAGCTGACGTTTCCGGGGTACAAGGGCAGCGCGTAGAATGGAGCCCGTACACAGTATCCCAGACTGGAATTGGGAAGCCCGGTGCTGGGGTCCCCGTAGAATTTATCGTATATCGTCTCCCCACGGTGAAACTCCGGGTCGACCCCAGTTTTGGCGTACTCGTTCATCGCAGCCACCGTCTTTTCCAATTCCTCGGCCGGCACCTCAATCTTTTGCGCGAGCTCGCGGATCGATGGCGCCTCGATCAAGTAGCCGTCGCGGATGAGGTGTCGGACAGGCATGGGGGCGGCCAAAGCAAGGCCCATGCCATATTTCCGGAGGAAGGTGCGGTCGGCAATGAGATAGGCTTTGGAGATGTTGAGCTGGTGCAATTTCTTGACGAATTCTTGGTACGGCTCCGCCTCGTTGCCGAAGCGTCGGCCGTTCGGCGCCACGATGATGGCTCCGGGCTTGGTTCGATCGGTGGAAAAGTGTGGGAAGCGTCTGATCGGACCGTCCTTGACCTTGTGCAGCGAGATGGGAGCGAAGATACCGTTGTTGGGGTTGGGAGGAGGTAGATAACCACCCACGGCTTGCGCCATGTTCTTCCCATCGCCCACATTGTGTTTGGGCGCCGCCGACCATTCGTGGGGGAAGACTTTCCGTGCATCCTCCTCGGACCTGGAGAAGCCGCCCCCGGCGAGGACCACCCCTTTCTTGACGTTGATCGTCGTCGGGCCGCCATTGGACCGGTTGATCACGATGCCCACCACCTCCTTCTTGTCGTTGGTGATGAGCTTGGAAGCGGGAGATTCTTTCCACAACGTGACTCCCTCGCCGCTGCATGTTTTGAGCAGCCGGCCGACAAGGGCGTTCCCGTTGGCCATATACGCCCCTTTCCCAAAGCGTATCACATCCCACGCGTACCTAAACACTTTACTGCTCGACGCAATGAAGTTGGATAAGGAACCGAAAGCATTGGTAAGGACGGGGATTTCCGCCGGATCGACTTGGAGCGACCCAAAGACGTGGTAGCCTTCCAAGGTATAGCGGACATCGTTCAACAGACGCCGGCCCAGCGGGCTGCCATCGTACTCCTTGGTCAATATTGTCCTTGCGGCCGAGGCGCCAGGGATGGTTTCCTGGTAGTCGGGCAAAGGTACAGGCTTAAATTTCATTTCAGTGTTGGCCTCCATCCACTCGACCATCTTGGGACCCTGACGGAGAAATTGATGGACCTTGGTCTGGTCATAAAGATCGCCCAGCACGCGCTTGAGATAGCCGTCGGCCTTTTCGAAGCTGTCGTCTGTGATGCCGACTTCGGGCTGGTGCTTGTTGGCGGGGATCCAGGCGCCGCCACCAGAATAGGCGGTCGTGCCCCCGAAGAATCGACTTTTCTCCACGACGAGCGTCTTCAGCCCGTATTTGGCGGCAACCGCGGCCGCGGTCAGGCCAGAACAGCCTGAGCCGACCACCACCACATCATAAGTGTTGCCATCGTCGCGTCGCTGAATGGTTGGGTTGCACTCGGTCAGAAGACGTCCACATCAAACATGGGTTCTTGATGCACAATGCGGGGAAGGGAAGAAGACAACACTGACTGACCTGAGCGGTGGTTTGAAAGCGTCTTATTGACACTGGCTGACTGAGCCTTGTTCTGGTTGACACCTGGATTGTTCGTGGGCCGAGAGCGCCCACGGGACGTCCCAAATGCAAGCTGGGGACCGCCATGGATGATGTTTTGATGGTGATGAAGAGAAAGAGAGGCTGAGGCTTCTCAACCGGACCGCCATACTGTCCAGGTCAAGGGAGACCGCTTCTAAAAAGGGTAAGGGGGAATTCGGGGTTGGATATCGCCTCGAACGTCGGGGTGACTTCGGCTCTACACAGATGGGGCCCCCAAAGACATTGGGAGGGGTATTGAACACCTCGGGTTGTGACAGTGGGGAAGATACGGATCAGTCGGACCTTCATTAGATATCAGGGGGGACGTTTGAAGGGGGATGGAGTATGATTAGAATCTCCGACGCCAAGGCTCAGCCGTACTACTAAAGGTTTAGTGGGGTGATTATATTCTCTAGTTGCTCTAAAGTGTGTCTAGCTGACATAATGACCAATTAAACAGCGGATGGACGACTAAGGCTCATAATAGCTCAGCCACAGGGAAGATAGCGTATATTTTAGGTGCCGTACTAACTCATCTGAAATTTGCCTCCTCCTGCAAGTGCCTGATTTTAGACAAAGTTGTCCAAGCTCAAACACGGGCCAGTCACTGATGCTTTGAAATTCAACAGTGGAAAACCATGGCAGGCTAGACGCACTGACAGCTGCACAATTCGGCGCGTGTCTATGTCCAGTTGACAAATCATGCATCCCTGGCACACCCGGCTCCCACCACCCACCACCACAGTTACCGCAGTCACCGCAGCCACGCGATTAACCCTCGTCCTGCCTAGGACAACATCCCTCCATCCACCACAAATGCGGATCCTGTCACGTAGCTTGCTTCATCACTGAGCAAGAAGGTGAAGATGTTGGCAGCCTCGTCCGGTTCTGCCACCCTGGCCAGAGGCACCCTAGAAAAGACCGAGTCCAGCTTGTCGGCATCCAAGGATGCCACCATGGGTGTTCTGATGATACCACTATATTGGGATTGCAAGAGATGATTCGATTCAGCAAAGGAACCACAACCACAAGAGTATGAGGAAAAGAGAGCGATAGGAAAGGCACACTTACGGGGCCACGCAATTAACACGGATGCCACGAGCTCCTACCTCACCAGCTGCGCTCTTGGTCAATCCCACCACCGCGTGCTTGGTGGCTGAATAGACAGAGTTCTTGGGATGGCCCTCCAAGCCGGTGGTGCTGGAGGCATTCACCACGCTCGCGCCCTTTTCCATCACCCGTAGCTCAGCGCGGAGGCAGTTGAACACACCCTTGAAGTTCACCGAGGTGATGTAGTCAAACTCATCGTCGTCAATCTCAGTCAAGTCTCCCACCCCGAAATTCTTCCCTAGCACCCCGGCGATGTTGGCCGCCGCATCCAGTCGCCCAAAGTGTTTCACTGTTTTGTCGATCCACGCGTCGACCTGCTTGCTCTGTCGGACATCGACCACGGTGGTGAGGATCTCGGGGGTTCCAGACGATGTGCCACCTGTGGCCTTGGCCTTGATCTGGTCGACAGCCTTGCTGAGCGCCTCCTGGTTGATGTCGGCCACCGAGAGCCGGGCTCCGTGTGCGTAGAGTCTGGCGGCGGTGGCCAACCCCATGCCAGAGGCGGCCCCGGTGACAGCCACAACCTTTCCAGCAAGACTGCTCATTGTTGTTTCCGATTGTATCTGCCCTGCCTTGGCTTCTAAGGGTCGTAAAGAGAGTGCACCAAGTGAGCCATTGCAAATCAGTCCTTTTATCTCTTCTCTCCCCCTCGTCTCGCGGGGTTGCTATCGCATCGGACTATTTGTCGGCGCGATTGCGGGGACTATGCGGGTGAGGACGTGTTTGCGGGGTCGTTGCTTGGTACTGCACACTGTCACAGAGTGTGTTGTTAACAGAACAGTTCGGCCGTCTTCCAGACAAAACAATTATGAAGCCGATCCTGGTTCTTGTTGACAAGCACAAAACTTGAACTCCCACATTATCATGTCGGCTTATCAGTCCGGCTCACGGTTCGTCCCGGGATCTGCTGACTAGTACCTAGTACCTAGTACCTAGTACTTAGTAACCTGTGACATTCTTAGGGAGATACGGTTCCTCCAAGTACTTGATCTCTTCGTCATCGAGTTTGAGCTCAAGAGCTTCAATCGCCTGATCGATTCGCGCTTTCGAACTCAGGCCGAGCACAGGATTTGCCCCTTTACTGAGAACCCACGCCGTTGCAACCGCCGCCATGGGCACACCTCGTTTCTTGGCCACCTCCTCGACCCGGTCCACGACCGCCTTGTCAGCCTGACTCTCGCGTGTGATCAGCGCCGAGAGGTATGCGTCCGTCTGCTCGCGCTTGGTCGCATTTGCCCCCCAGGGGCGAGCCAGGACCCCCCGTGCGACTGGCGACCAGGGCATGATCCCGACACCCGTGGCTCGACAATACGGAATCATCTCCCGTTCTTCTTCGCGATAGATCAGGTTCAGGTAGTTCTGCATGCTGATGAAACGAGCCCAGCCGTTCTTCTCCGCGATATTTTGCATTTGCTGAAACTCCCATGCCGCCATCTACCTCGCGAGTCAGAGCCAGACCATCAACCAGAGGAGGGCTCGGAGGTCTAGTCACTTACGCTGCTGGCGCCGATGTACCGAGCCTTTCCAGACCGCACGACATCGTTGAGAGTGCTCATGATCTCCTCCATCGGGGTGTCCCTGTCTAATCGGTGGATCTGAAGGACGTCGATGTACGTTCCGAGTCGCTCGACACTGGCATCGACGGCATCCAAGATGTGTTTGCGGCTGAGTCCGACCCGATTGACCATGGGGCCGTCATTGACTGCGCTCTCCGCGAGCGGGAGCTGGGATCCGTCATGGCTCACCCCGAAATAGCACTTTGTCAATATGGTCACGTTCTGTCGGGGAATCTTGAACTGTTTCAGGGCTTTGCCAAAGATCCGCTCGCTGTCGCCATGTGAATAGAAGTCGGCCTGTAGTCGACAGTCAGTCGTGTTGCAGTTTTTCGGCTTTGCAGTTCGGGACAAGGACACACAGTATCCCAGGTATTGATCCCACGCTGGTAGGCATATTCCAAAACTGGAAGCGAGGCTTTTTCATCCAACACCCATCCTTCCCATTGAGGGTTGCCAAAGGACATACCCCCCATCACAATCTTGGAGATCTTCAGGCCTGAGTTCCCCAGCCTGGCATCATCATGAGAGGTTAGTGTGGCTGCCGTACGTAAGGTAAAGGGTCTCGCAGGCCGGATTGGACTGCCCAGCTCACCGATTGTACTCCATCTTGTTTGCGAGCGTTCTCAACATCTAGGGCAACAGGACGATGGTTGATCCCAGGCGTTTCAGTAGTTTCCAGGTGCTTTGCTTTCAAGGAGACTTTCAACCATGAATAGAAAGAGTTCCAGAGAGCGCAGGTTCTGGGATGGTCACAGTTGCCTCAAGGTCAAGGTCGGCCCAGAACAATCAACCCTCGCTAATCCGTCCATTCCAGCTCTGAAGTAATTCCACGAGTCTGTTGACACTACTCCGCAAACTGAGCACTAGTATTGGTCGACAGTCGGACGGTCGAATATCATGAATCCCCATGGCGGAGTCGGGGCCGCAGCCGATAATCGCCCGCTGTCATACTGTAATGCGGAGGCGGAGGCGGGCCCTACACCCTCAGAGCCCCTGGATGACCAAGCCTGTTGGAGCCCCCCGCCAAATGATGCCCGGGTGTGTGATGCAGCAGGTCTTGAAGGACAGGTATATCCCCAGGCCTTGTTCAAGTGCTGGAGACGTACGGCGGTCGATGGATCGGACTGTATAGCGCATCCAGGCCTCCGTCCATTCCCTCAATTGTCATACCCATATCCGCCCGACAGAATGCTGTCCCTCTGGGTTACCATCCTACCCGTCGTGGTGTTTGCCATCTACCGAGTGCTGCAGATTGGCAAGCGAGATCCCCGCATGCCCAAGGGTCCCCCGACCATCCCTATCTTGGGAAACGCGCACCTGGTACCCCCTGAAGGGCTATTCAGACAGTAGGTGACAACCAGGTCCAGATCGTCCGTACAGTCGTGCGACCGACGATGGCCACCACCACGAGAAAGGGAATGTGAATGTTGACAAATGGACGGCCAGGTTTCGCTCCTGGGCAAAGGAGTATGGCCCTGTGTTCTCGCTCAAGTTCGGCCCGTCCAACATGATTGTCTTGTGCGACCGTAAGGCCATCCATGCGCTTCTGGACAAGAAGAGCAACCTGTACTCGGACCGACCGCATACTTATGTCGGCAATCTACTGACCCAGGGCGACATGATTGCGCTCGAACAGATGGACAGTATGTGGCGGCAGAAACGGAAGATTGTGGCTCACAACTTCTCGCCGAAACAACTGGACGAGAAGCATTTCCGGGTCCAAGAAGCCGAGGCCACCATGCTGATGGCCGATCTTTTGGAAGACCCCAAGGGCTTCTACAATCACATCCGCCGCTACACCGCCTCGGTCGCGACGGTGTTGGTCTTCGGCTCCCGGGGGCCTACATTTGACTCTTTCTGGGCCCACGGCGTCTACGATGTCATGTCCAAGGTAAGGAAGGCTTGTGGCTTGTGACAGCTGGAACACCAGTTTCGAGATATGCTGCTAACTGACCTTTGGCAACCTAGTGGACCGAGGCGATGGAACCGGGAGTGAATCCACCGGTGGATGAATTTCCCATCTTGAAATTGATCCCCCAGTGGTTGGCTTTTTGGAAGCGGCGGGCGCTGTCGGCGGGGAAGACCATGGATGCTGTCTGGGGCGAAGCCGTTTCCCGCGTGGAGAAGAGACGAAGTCGGGGGGACCGGCGGGATTGTATCACCGACACACTGCTGGATCAATGGGGGAAGGAAGACATGCCTATGAGCCAGCATTCGTTCAACAACCTGGTGGGCGAACTGGTCGAGGGTGCTGCCGACACCACGGCGGCCCAACTCCTCACTCTTGTCATGGCCTTTGCCAAATACCCGCGCGTGCAGAAACAAGCCCAGGTCGAGATCGATCGAGTATGCGGAACGCAAAGATCGCCGGTGTGGTCGGACTTCAAGGAGCTCCCCTACATCAACGCCATCGTCAAGGAAGGGATGCGGTGGAGACCGGTGTCGGTGACCGGGTCCCCCCACCGAGTGAGAGAAGGTGTGTGTTGTGTGTTGTGTGTCTTTTGTTCCGCAAGCGAAGCAAAGCTGTTTCCCACTGGTATCTGGCATCTTGCTAATCTACGTGTGACCCGGCCCGGGAAGATGACGAATACGAGGGCATGTTGATTCCCAAGGACTCGACCATCATCGTGCCCGTTTGGGCGTTACATCACAGCGACGAGTTTGACGACGACGACGCCTTTATCCCCGAACGCTACGTCGGATACGACAAGCTGGCCAACGACTATGCCGGAAGTCCCGACTGGAAACACCGTGATCACTACGGTTACGGCGCCGGACGCAGAATATGCCCTGGTAAGCAAGCCCAAGCCCAACTACGGCGGCGGCGGCGGCAGCAGCATTTACGGCTGTCACTGCTACCTACCCTCTACTACTTGAGCATTTGTTGCTGTAAGCACACGCACAGACAGGACAGGACTGACTGAGAGGCCAGGCATGCATCTGGCCGAGAGAAACATGTGGCGTATCGCAGCCAAGTTACTGTGGGCGTTTGAATTCGCCGAGCCCATCGACCCTGCAACGGGGAAAGTGGTTCCCCTCGATGCGGACCGGTATAATCGCGGCATTCTGCAGGCCCCATTGCCGTTTGAAGTCCAGGTCAAGCCCCGGAGTCAGGAGCACGTCGCGGCCATTAGGAAGGAGATTGCCTCAGCAAAGACTTTTCTGAAGCCGTGGGAAGACGAGTAGTTAGGTACGCGTAGGTATAGCTATGGGTATAGGAGGTGAAGCCTAGACTCGAACCAGAGCTAGAGCCTTGTTTTGAGACTCGAGAGGGGAGAGGGGAGGCAGCGGTTGTTGCATATGTAATGAGAAAGGAGAACGAACCCTGCCCAAGCTCTCTCATCCTGGCTGCCAGACTAGACTTAGGTACATACGTGTACTGTCCTGGTGGTATAGTGCCTGGTTGATCTCGTATACTTACTACCTACTATATTACTATACCTAGGTATCCGTACCATGCCAGACTGACTCGCATCTTGCAAGTCATGCCGTTGCCGTCGCCGTGGCCATAGACAACTAATTATTAGTACAGTACTGTAGGACGGAGTACAGTAAGGTACCTACCTAGTTCCACCCACCGCACCGTAAGCACGTATACGTATAGGAAACGGAAACACACCGAAATGAGATGAGATGAAATGAGTCGTACCGTACCGTAACCTACCTTACCCTACGCATCGTATTGTTGCAGGTAGTTAGGTGGTTAGGTGGCTAGGTTAGGTAGTTCTGTGATATTACTCCGTCACGGCTAGGGCCCTACTCTCCGGACGTACCGTACGTATGTACTGTACCTGTGCGGCGGGTGAATTGATGCTTAACCAAGGTTCTGAACATATACATATGTAATTAAGTCCTCCGACTTGACTCGACTTGACTCGACTGGACTTGACTTGACCTGACCTAACCTGCACTTGACTTGACTTGAACCTAGATATGGCACCTCCTTCGTTTCCCATCAAGCACGACTTCGTCTTCGATCGCCTGTCGCCCGACGCGAAGCCTAACTACCAGCCATATGTGAAGCTCACTTTCTTCTTTAAGAAACGGCCGGATATCAGTCATGAGGACTTTCATCGGCATTGGGAGACGGTATGTTTTATATGTGTGTTTACGTTTCTATGTCTCTATGTTTCTATGTTTCTGTGTTTCTATGTTTCTGTGTTTCTATGTTTCTGTGTTTCTATGTTTCTGTGTTTCTATGTTTCTGTGTTTCTATGTTTCTGTGTTTCTATGTTTTTGTCTCTACGGTGCTTGTGGTTTCGGGGTGGTTGTCATCGTTGGCTCGACGCCTATACCTCTGCCTGTACCTATACCTGTGCCTGTGTCTGGCTAACTTTCGTTGGACGTCCACTAGGTTCACGCAGACTTGGCTGTCGGATCCAAGGCTTTCGCCTCGTATTGTCATCGGTACACTCAGGTAAGCAGACTTGAACTCGAGCACTTATCCAGGAATGGGACAAGGCCTAAGAAGAATCATGCCACTAACTCCAGACCCAGTACCATTTGACACCGGCTTGCAAGGAACGGGCCCGGAACTTTGTCGAGGGCATGGAAATGCTCGATTACGACGGATGCAGTGAGATCCTGGTCGACTCGTTTGAGGACGGCATGGCATTCTTCAAGAGTGAGGAATATGTGCAAAGTATGAATGGTAAGCCTGAAACACACTGGAGCCCGCTCGAGAGAGATAAAAATAGACCTGGATGCTGACTCCTTTTTTGGTCGGGTCGGCTAGACGACGAGGGCAACTGGTTGGCAAGACCTGTCCATTTGATTGTCGGCTATGACAATTTGATCTTTGGAAAGGCGTTGCCTGTGCCCAATGCTACCGATGGGATTGTGGCCTCGGACTTTCCGGAGTCTCTGCAACCAAAGGGGCAGGAGTGATGAATTCTATTTCTGGAGGAAGTGAGGGAACGGTTCTGGCGTCTCTATCAAAGAGGCTTGAACCTGGAAAGAGACTTGACTGTCCATATCTTACAGTAGATAAATCCCACTGGCCATACAGTCCAAGGGCAAGGTTGGGAATGCCTAAGTTCAACAATGACCATGACAGCAATCGAAGCCACGGACAGGACAGCGATAGATCGTGCTAGATGATGTATGATATCGTATCTTTGATATTGTCAAAGGTTGAAATGTTCCATGTTCTCTTTCAAAGGGTCGCAGGGGGATCGCAGGCTATATGGTGTACAGTACGCCTAAACCAGCCTTCTGGTTGAAGCACAAGGCAGGGAATACCTAAGTTTGACAGATACAAGATGACTGTGGAAAGACATGGACTTCATATTGTTCATTGTTCAGACTATGACATGACAGATGTGTCTCATATCGTTCAGCATCTCATCATTCTACAAGTACTGCCTAGGTACTATCTAGGATCTAGGATCCAATGCCTCGGAAGGCCTTGAGCGGGTCGATGGTGCAGGTTGGGTCGGCCTTCATATCGGCCATGCTGACGGGGAAGGAGACATGCTCGTGGACGTACTTCCACTTCCCGTCGACCTTGGCCAAGATGTATGTGATGCGATATGTCATCTCAAAGGGCTTGCCGTCGTCCGACACGCCACCCGTCAGACGTTGCATCATGGTGGCATAGCCCGTGTCCTTGGACGTGGCAAACACCTCGAGGTCCTTCATCTCGAACTTGGAGTTGGAGAAGTAGTGGAACGTCTCGTTGAAGTGTTCGAGGAAGCCGCCGCGAGGAGTGAAGCCGTAGATGTCGTAGGTCATGGCGTCTTCGAACAGATAAAAGGGCCGGCCGGGCTCGATGGACTTGTTGAACTCTTTGTTCATGACGTGTGACCAGCCGCAGATGTGGTTCAGGATCTCCTGTTCCTCCTGGTAGAACTCTTTCTTGTGCATCTGCCGTGCCTCGTCAGCATCTGCCCGTAGGCCTCGCACTTAGTTGGCACTGACCTTGCTGGATGGGTACGTCATCTTCTTCAAGGCGTCTTCGGGCGTCGAGTACGCCGTCTGTGCAAGGGCAAGATTGATCAGTCACAGTCGCAGTCATAGTCACCAGTCGCCAGCAAATGCCACTTACCTCATCATACCATCCGTCGGTTGAAACTGAACCCATATTGACGGTGGAGGATTGCGAGGCAAGCTGGAAAAGAACTTGAGTATCCGGTGGTTGTGAGTTGCTGCTGCGGTGGCTGCGGTGGTGGTGGTGGTGGTGGTTGCGGGAGAGTCGAGCGTGTGTGATGGCAAGCTGTTACCCTCCTCCAGGCCATCTCATCCATCTCTTATGCGAAGGCCAGTCTCTCCGGTGCTGTTTGTGAGATCCTCTCTGCATCAATCTCCGATTCGACCTGGTTCCAATTGCGGAGGCCGCCCTCATCTGGCCGCCGCCCCAGAATCCAGAATCCGTCTCTTCCTCATATCCTCCCGCATCCACCACGTACCCCAGATTCGCCCGACAATCGACCGCCAAATCCGGCCGCCTACCACCGCCACACCGTTGTGCTCGGAAAGACAGTTGCGATGGCATGCGATACATGGGACATGAAGACACAAGAGATCGAGATGGTGGTATGCACAATACTACCAAGTCTCTGCAGTGGGCCATTTCATAATCCTCTGCCAGAGCTCAATCACCATTCAAAAACACCTAAATGGTCATCCGTCCTCGCCCAGCTGAGACTGACCTGGACAAGAGAGCAGAGACTTGAACATCTCTTCACTTGAACACATCCCTTGCACTCTCTCTCCGTCATGCCCAGTGTCTACGAAGTCTCGTTCACCCAGGCCACTGCCGCCGCTGTGGTGGTGTACGGTCTGTATCGAGTTCTGCAGATTGGCAAACGCGACCCGCGCATGCCACCAGGGCCTCCAACTGTACCTATTTTGGGGAACCTGCATCAAATCCCCGTCACCGGATTGTACAAACAGTGAGGAATTTCCTTTCCTTCCCTTTCGCTCCTACCATGCTCGGCTCGAGCTCACCCTTGGCTTGCTAGATTCAAAGACTGGAGTGTCGAATATGGCGGAGTCTTTTCCCTCAAGTTTGGACCTCAAAATGTGGTTGTCGTCTGTGACAAGAAGGCGATCCATGAAATGTGGGATAAGAAAGGTCTCATCTATGCCGAACGGCCAAGAAACTACGTCGCCGACATCATTACATCCGGGGACAGCATCGTGTTTGCTTCCAACACGGTCGAGACAAGGGAGAAGCGTAGGATTGCGACTCATAACTTTTCGGTGAGTCCTTCACGTACCACCCTCTCAACGGCACAGACACGTCGATGACTAACACGGGAGCAGCCACGAATGTTAGACGAGAAGGCGGCCGTCGTTCAAGATGCCGAGTAAGCACTTGTCGCCTGAGGCTTTGCTTACCATGTCTAGGTTGTGCTGATATGTTGTGGCTAGGGTGACGGTCTTGATGTACCAGCTTTTGACCGATCCAGAGAACTTTTACAACCACGTCAGGCGGACGACTTCATCCATATCGTGCATTCTCATCTACGGCCAACGAGGTCCAACCTTTGAGAATTTCTGGGGTCACGTAAGTGATGATGCATAGTTCGCACTACCAGGTCCAGGACACTGACGTGAAAACAGGCTGTGTACGATGCATTGAACCTGGTGAGCAATCATCCGCTGACAACCCCAAAACATCCCCCGATCGAGGATCTGGCTGGCTAACTATTCCCTCTTCCCTCCACAGTTTGGAGAAGCTTTGGAGCCCGGAGCCAACCCTCCGGTCGACGAGTATCCTTTCTTGAAGTTGGTTCCCGAAAGCATGGCCTTCTGGAAGAGACGGGCAAAGACGGCCGGGAGGGACATGCACGCCATCTGGACCAAGGCAAGACGGTTGGTAGACGAACGTCGTGCCTTGGGTGACCACCGAGTGTCACTCGCCGACAAGCTGCTGGACGAATACACCGAGAAAGGGTTTCCCATGAGCCAACATGCGTTGGACCAGCTGTTTGGTGAGCTGGTCGAAGGTGGAGCCGAGACGACATCATCTTCCATGTTGACCATGATCCTCGCTCTCGCAAAGAATCCGTGGGTCCAGGAGAAGGCGAAAAAGCAGCTAGATGAAGTGTGCGGAAGCGAAAGGTCAGTCATGCCCCCTCCCATCAGAACGAAAATGCCATACGAATCGTGGCTCACTCATTTGACAGGATGCCCCAATGGGCCGACTTTGCAAAACTCCCATACATCAACGCTATCATCAAAGAGGGCATGAGATGGCGTCCTGCGTAAGTATTGTGCTATTTTTCTTTCCTCTCTTCCCCTCGCCAGTCATTCCAGCCCTAACGAGACACAGTGTGGCCACGGGAATCCCTCGTCGCACGGCCGAGGATGATTGGTATGAAGGCATGTTGATCCCCAAAGATTCGACCCTCTTCCTACCCATCTGGGCCGTGCACCACGCCGAGGCAGAAGGGTACGACAACCCATTCGTCTTCAATCCCGACCGATACATCAACCACCACAAGCTCGCCAACGACTACGCCGGCAGTGCCGACTACAAACTGAGAGATAAGTGTTTCCTCGTATGATGATGGTTCTGGCGCTGACTTGACATGCACATCACTACGGCTACGGTGCTGGACGTCGAATGTGCCCAGGGGTTCATCTAGCAGAACGCAATCAATGGCGGATCGTGTCCAAATTGATCTGGGCGTTCGAGATCAAGGAGCCGATCGACCCAACCACGGGGAAGACCATCTCACTGGACCCGGAGGATTACTCGAATGGTCTGCTTCATGCGCCCAAGCCGTTCAAGGTGATTTTCAAGCCGAGAAGCCAGGCACATATTGATGTGATCAAACGTGAATACGAGGAGTCCATGAGGGATCTTGCGCCGTTTGAGTAGTTGGACTTTGACGTGGACTGGTTTTGGCAAATCGCTGTGGCCTAGTTCTGTGCACGTACTGTACATACTTGGCTCTTTCTTAGATCTATGCAATCACTCCTGGAGTAGGGTTGGACAATGTTGAATTGAGATTGGAATGAGACTGAGAATTGAGAATTGAGCATTGAGCATTGAGAATCCAGCCATACGGTGCTTCAATGACCATGTTCGACGACGTATGTAGATTAGCTAAGGGATTCTACTGATATGTCCCTTCCTCTCTGATGAAGTCTATATCCGTGCCCTCAACTCCTACAACAGGGGTACAGTGTCCCGTCGCCATCACCGTCGCCGTCACTATTGGGGGCGTGGCACCTATGACCCTTACGGAGTGCGGAATGCGTACTGTACGGATATGTAATCTAACCATCCCCCTCGCTGCGACGTCGCCCGCCCCGTGATCCCTCCACCGCCACGGCCACTCACTACCACTACGCAGCTAGGGCTGGGGCTGGGGGCAAACCATTATTGCGTGCGTGCGTGCGTAGGTGTGTGGGGATAGCCTTAGGAACCTAGGCATGCTTGTTACGGATACGTCGTACGTACCTCGGTCTCGGTCTGCACTCCGTCTATAGGATATAATGGACAAAGTATCCGTACAAAGTACGTATCTACGTATGCGGGTGGGCGTGGGTGAGGTAGAGTATGTGTGGGGGGTGTGGGTGGGGGGTGGGTGAGGAGGGAGTACGGAGTACTGTAGTTACCATAGGTACTAGGTAGGTAGGTAGGTAGGTTGTGTCTACCATAAGTGTCGTACGCACAGTACAGAGGATAAGTGCCTAAGTACCTAATAATACCTTAGGTAGTAACTAGTACAGTATACCTAAGGTAGTACCTAGTACGGAGTACAATATACTAGGTACTGTTGTATAATACCACGGATATATATCTTATCCGCCCGATAACCCCCCGCTGTCCGCTCCCACTCCCCCTGTCCCGCCGCGGCCTCGACGCACGTTTCAACTCCAGAAATGAATTCCGCACCCCGCGGACGCTAACAACACCAACTGTTGACTGACGCGCCCGCGCCCACGCCCGCACTCTCTGGACAGTACAGCACAGCACCGCACAGCACAGTATAGTACAGCATAATACAGCACTCCGTACTTCATACTCCGTCCCTCCGTATGGGGGTGTGGGGGCCATGGGGAACGCCTGTGTCTGTGGTCTGACGAAACGGACGCGGCAGAATGCGAGGAGGCCATCTTCTGGTTATTGAAGCGTCCGCTTCCCGATTCCCGTTTCCGTTCTTTTTGGCCCATCGGGCTGTGCAGCAGCATGGCAGGGCAGGGCAGGGCAGTGCTTTCTGGACCTGTCGGGCTTCCGCCTATTTGCCGTTTGCCGTTTCCCGTTTCCCGTTTCCCGCTTCCCAGTTGCCGATTGATTCATTATTATTCAGGGCCGATGTGTGAACGGAGCTGGAGTGAAGCGAGGCGAGTTGAACGGGACTGCTAAGTCCAAGTCACAAGTCACGCAAGAGAAGCGATCCTCCGGCTTTTTCTAAAGAATCTCAAATCTTGACCTGTCATCCTATCTACTCATCGTGTCTATCTGTCCACCCATCCCTTTCCCTATCCCTACCTCTGTTTCAGTCTACCTCTGGTTTCTATCTTCTGCTTGGATTTGCTCGCGGAAACGAAACACCAACGCAGAGACCAACACAGTTACCGTCACGGTCACGGTCACGGACTGGTGGAAACCAATCCGGCACAAGAAGAAAAGAACAAACACAGCATCAGGAACAGACCTGGCCACAGGATCAGGCTCAAGCTCAGGCTCAGGCACAAGCTCATACTCAACCTCAGGCTCAACCTCAACCTCAACCTCAACCTCAACCTCAGGCACAGGCACAGGCACAGGCACAAGTCTAGGCACAGGTCAGACTGAGTCCACTCCATCCATGCAGAATCTTGAATCCTTCCAGCGCGCACTCCACTCCAGCCCACTCATCATGGCGTTGGCCAGCAACCAACACCTCGAGCTCTTACAGCGGAAACTGGCGTCGCTCAGCACCACCGACCTATGTACGGCGGCGGCGATCGTGACGGCGGCAACGGTGTGGACGCTCAAGGACAAAATCTGGGAAGGCAAGAAGGAAGAAAAGCAGTCGCGGTACGGGTACCGCAAGAAGATCGGGCAAGGCAACACGCGCGACCTGGTGCAGAGCATCGCCAACGAGGACAAGAACCTGATCGTGCTGTACGGGTCGCAGTCCGGCGTGGCCGAGGACCTGGCGGCGCGGCTGGCGCGCGAAGGCAGCTCGCGGTTCGGGCTCAAGACCATGGCGGTCAGTCTGGAAGACTACGACTACGACAACCTCAACGAGTTCCCGCGCCACGCGGTCGCCATCTTCGTCATGGCCACGTTCGGCGAAGGCGAGCCGACGGACAACGCGCAGGACTTTTACAACTTCATCACGGCCGACGACGTGACGTTCCGCGACGGCAGCACCGCTTCCACCTCCCCTTCGCCGCTCAGCAGTCTGCACTTTGTGTCGTTTGGCCTGGGCAACAGCACGTACGAGCATTTCAACGCCGTGTCGAAGAAGATCGACGCCACGCTCGCCCGGCTCGGCGCGCAGCGCGTGGCCCCGACGGGCCGCGGCGACGACGGCGAAAAGACCACGGAGGAGGACTTTTTGGCGTGGAAACAGCCCATGTGGACGGCGCTGGCCAAGCATCTCGGCGTGCAGGAGCGCGAGGTCGTGTACGAGCCGACGTTTGCCATCATCGAACGCGATGACCTGACCAAGACGCTGAACAAGACGTCGTCGGGCGACAGTAGCACGGGGACGATGGCCGTGGCGGCGGTAGCAGGAACGGGGGCGGCGGCAGCGGCAGCGGCAGCGACGGGAGCAAACAAGGTCTTCCTCGGCGAGCCCAACCTGCTCAGTCTGCAGGGGCAGGCGCGCGGGCCGTACAACGCACACAACCCGTACGTGGCGCCGGTGACATCGTCGCGGCAGCTGTTTCGGGCTCAAGGCCGCAACTGTCTACACCTGGAGATCGACCTGGCCGGATCCGGGCTGCGGTACGAGGCGGGCGACCACGTGTCGGTGTTCCCCGTCAACTCGGGCCGCGAGGTCGACCGGTTCCTCCGGGTGTTTGGGCTGGCGGGCAAGCGCGACACCGTGGTCGACGTCAAGCCGATCGAGCGCACAGCCAAGGTGTCGTTCCCCGTGCCCACCACCTACGACACCATCGCCCGCTACCGGCTGGAGATCGGGGCGCCCGTGTCGCGCCAGCTGCTGCAGCAGCTCGTGGCGTACGCGCCCTCGCCGGCCGCGCGCGCAAACCTCACCAAACTGGCCGCCGACAAGGACCTCTTCCACCACTCCGTCACCGAGCGCCGCATGAACATCGCCCAGGTGCTGGAACTGGCGTCAAACGACAAACCCTGGGCTGACGTGCCCTTCACCATGCTGATCGAGTCCCTGATCGCCCTGCAGCCGCGCCACTACTCCATCTCGTCGTCGCCCGCCCTCAACAAGGACCGCCTGACTATCACCACAAAGGTCGAAACCCATGCCATCGCCGACACCGGCTTCGACTTCAAGGGCGTCGCGACAAACTACCTGCTGGCCCTGCAGCAGGCCCAGAACCTGAACAACGTGCGCGACAGCCACAAGGACAACTATGCCTCCACCTATGCCATCCACGGCCCGCGCAACCGTTACCAGGGCCTACGTCTGCCTGTGTGCATCCGGCCCTCGACCTTTCGTCTGCCCCGCGACCCGGCCGTTCCTGTCATCATGATCGGCCCGGGCACCGGCGTCGCGCCGTTCCGTGGCTTCGTGCAGGAACGCATCGCCCAGAAGAAAGCCGGGAGATCGGTCGGCTTGACTTTCTTGTTTTATGGCTGTCGGAGCAAGGCTGACGACTATATCTACGAAGAGGTGTGGAAGGTGAGTCTAGTCTTGTCGTTGTGTTTTTTGGTTTGGTTTGGTTTGGTTTGATGTGTGGTGTGCGATGTGTGATATGTGACACAACACTAACCAGTGCTGTCTTGTTGTCATGTTTTTTGGTTTTAGTTTTGGTATGCTTTCCGTTCTGTTCTGTGTTCTGTTCTGTGTTCTGTTCTGTGTTATGTTCTGTGTTATGTTCTGTGTTATGTTCTGTGTTATGTTCTGTGTTATGTTCTGTGTTATGTTCTGTGTTATGATATGACACAATACTAACCACTGCCGTTGCCTCATCTCAGGAATCCGAACAAACCCTCGGCCCCAACTTCAAAATGATCACGGCCTTCTCTCGCGCCGTGCCCGGCCAAAAGACATACGTGCAAGACAAGCTGCGCGAGCACGCGGCCCAAGTCACCGCCCAGCTGGTCAACCACGGCGCCTACCTGTACGTCTGTGGAGACGTGGCCATGGCCAAAGACGTCAATGTCGTGCTCGAGCACATTGTGGCCGACAAGTTGAAGCTGTCGCTGCCTGATGCGGTCGCCTGGGTCAAGCAGCTCCGCACGACGAATAGATATCAAGAAGATGCGTGGTCTTGAGAGGTCAGCTCCGCATAACGAATAGATATCAAGAAGATGCGTGGTCTTGAAGAGGGAAAGGGAAGAGGGAAGGTCACATTTCACGTTTCAAGACGATGCCAAGAGGGTGGTGGATGGATGCTTTCCTTTCCTTGACCACAGAGAGAGCGATTGGTATCAAAATCGATGATGACTGCAAGATTGCCTTTGGTATCAAGATCGATGATGACTGCAAGATTGCCTTTGGTATCAAGATCAGGATGATGGCTGCTAAGATTGGGATTGGTGTCAAGATCAAGTTGATGGCTGCTAAGATTGCGATTGGTGTCAAGATCAAGTTGATGGCTAGCATCGGCACTGGATCCAGAGGATGCTTCATGGGATTGGTGTTGGTGTTGGTGTTGAAAGGCGCGTTGTGTTTTTGCTCAGTCCAGATGAAGTACTATGTGTACCTAGCTCTACCGATCAGTCAGTATCAGATGAAGTACTATGTGTAGCTATCGGTCAGTCAGTATCAAGGAGATAGATGCTTATCAATGTCTTGTCTTAGGGCGGGTATTTGTAGATCAACATCAACATCAACATCGAGATCAAGATGAAACACTCTACTGCTCATGACGACGTTGATGGGGAAGAGGAAACTGACTGGACTGGGTCAGGCCAGGCGAAAGCGGCCGTAGACAAGTAGACATCTCTCCGTATTCGCATATACAGTACATATCTAGAACGTATACATCATGCGACTCTAGAACACATATACTTGTCAGAACTCATACATGTCTAGAACATATATACATGTCTAGAACGTATATACATGTCTAGAACGTACGTGCAACATGCAAAGACTTTCAACTATACGCATAGCTAGACCGTCACGACAGCAGGACAGTAGAACAGTAGGAGAACAGGACTGCACGAGTCGTAGTGGCAGTGTAGTGGCAGTAGCAGTAGCAGTGGTTTAGATCAGTCAAGATCCCTACCAGTGGCAGCTGATCAGGCCAGGCTGGCTTATATAAATTTATCGTATCTACGGTCTACCTTCTAGAGACTGTGTCATGTCACATCCTGTCCTGTCCTGTCTGGTCCTGTCTGGTCCTGTCTTCTCTCGTCCCGTCTGGATTTCCTTGGTATGCTTACTGAGCATTGTATCCGCCATCAACCTGTCAAATGGACGTTAATTATATAGCCGAGTGAGCAGGAGTGAGCAGGAGCAGGAGTGAGCAGGAGTGAGAGCGTAAGGAGAAGGAATGAGAGTGTCGGCGAGTGTAGAGCATGAACCTCTTTCATGATTGAGACAGTTCACTTACCGATAAAACCGTGCCGGTAATATAACTGGCTCGATCGCTTGCCAGGTAGACAACTGAATCGGCGATCTCTTCAGGGAATGCCATTCGACCCATGGGGGTCTTGTCAATCTGCGGCTTCAGGAGCTCTCTGATGGCGGGAGTGACCAGCGGGGTGTCGATGAACCTGTAGGTGAACACCAAGGTTAGATCGAATGGTGGTGGTCATCCGCCCCAAAAGCTCAAACCAAACAACAGACTATGATCGAAATCGAAGCTTCTGTTGGAGCGAGAGTCTGGTAAAGGGATCTCAGATGTCTACAGATATTGTACTCACCCTGGACAGACGGCGTTGATACGGATCCCTTTGGTGGCGTAATCGATGGAATCGGTTCGAACCATACCGATCACGGCTAAGACAAAGTCAGTACTTAGGACTGTTGGATTGGTGTGATTGCGAGAGGACAGCAACCGTCTGCCACTGCAGCAAGAGGAACCGTCGAAACCGTAATTTCTTGCTGCTATGGCTGGCTATCTGACTTACCATGTTTGGAAAGGGTGTACAATCCGTTGAGAGGTTGGGCTCGGATGCCGAGAAGGGACGAGACAACGACAATGGATCCCCGCGAAGGCACTCGTCGAGATCTGTTTGAGACGCTGGGTTAGCCGATCATGGCATGAAATGACGGCACGTGCCCGTCGAGGGATTACAGGGTTTTCCCAATTTGTACTGTAACTCACGCAGGATGGTGATCGCAGGGGTTGTTGTGATGGGGGTCTGTGATGGGGGTCTGTGATGGGGGTCTGTGATAGGGGTCTGTGATAGGGGTCTGTGATAGGGGTATGTGATAGAGGTCTATAATAGAGGTGTCAACTTACCCAGGCTGCTGGGGTAGAGGATCCTGCTTCAGCATCTGTCTCAACTCCTCGCGTTCGCACAGCCAGGTGCCCTTGACATTGATCTTCTGGACGCGGTCAAAGTCGGCGGTGGCGGTTTCGTCGGTGGGAATGAACGGCGACCCGATGGCCGCGTTGTTGATGGCGTAGTCAATGCGACCGAACTTTGCCACCACCTTGGCGAACACATCCTTGATCTGCTCCTCGTCGCTCATGTCGCCGGTGACGGGTAGAAACTCGACATCGGACGCCTCGGCCTTGAGGGCTTCGGCAGTGCCGATCAAAGCATCCTCCCTGAGGTCCAGACCGGCGATCCGTTTCACGCCCTGCCGCGCGAACTCAATGGCGATGGCACGGCCGAGAGCACCGCCGGCGCCTGTAATGAAGGCGACTCTGTGGCAAGCAGAAAAGGCGCATGTTAGTTACGTATGGAGAATGTATCGTTTAAGCGTGGTTGGAATATTGCAAGGCTGTGGGAATGGTGTGGTGGTGGTTGCTTACCCCTGAAGAGCTGGTGCCATGATCAATCAATAAATAATGCAGATCTCTTTTGGCTCTGGGTGTGTGGGTGTGTGTGTATCTTTCTTTGTATGTGCCTGAACCTCTACCGGTGTCTGGATTTGTTTCTGTGGCCAAGTGTTTGTTTGGTCACAAGGGACAACTCGGTTGATACGTATCGAGTCCAACACAAGGTACTAGGTGGTTAATAAGCTCGAGCCGCAACAAACAACCAGCAGCACAGCACAGCACAGCACAGCAGCCCTGGCCCCGGTCCCCGGGCCCGGGACAGGCAGAAGAGGCAGAGGTGGTCTCAATTCTCAACTGGGCGCGTGCGTGAGGTCCCGCTCCGATCATTGCCGGGTCCACCTCCTGGCTGTGCTTGTGCAGCGTGCATCTTGCCCTCCATTGAGTCCATTCAAACCTATTCATCGGATTCGGCACCGGCCTTGGCGTTCACACTTCACGCACATGGTGTCGAGGCCCGATGGGGAGGGGAAGCTGCAAGGGTGGCCTCGAATCGGTGGGACTTCGCGTGCAAGGTGTCCCATGCCCGAAAAATGCACCGAGTTCCCCAGCTGGAGAGGCGGAGTAGGAGTAGGCCACTGCTGGTTGTCAATTAGCATCAACATGTCATATTATTCCATAGTACGGAGCATGGAACCAGGCACCACGCTGGAGGAGAGATGCACTGAGGGATGTGCAGAATAGTATTGCTGGGTGCGACATGGACATGGCGGGGTAGTGTGCGTCACGTGTCACCACGTGCGCGTACAACTGGGACTTCTGTCCTGCTTCATAACGTAGATACTGCGGCACGTCACATGACCACAATAAAATACACGTAGGTACACACCGTCAAGGCAACGCATTTCTCTGCAATTTTGTCATTCAAATCTTTCAAAGCTCACTGATCTTCGTAGCTGCTTCATATAGATGTAGATCTAGACATGAATGTCGGCCCTCACAGGGGAATTCCCACTGTGAAGCCGCCATCCACCGCAATGTTCTGCCCAGTCACCCATTGAGCGTCATCACTGGCCAAAAAGACAACCACCTTGGCAATGTCGTCGGGCTCTCCCAGTCTCGGCCACGGGGTCCCCTTTTGCATCTCCTTGATGATTTCCGGGCTGCGGAAGTTGATGCCAGAAGCCCCAGTGCGCACCACGCCGGGGCACACGGCATTGATGTTGATGTAGTCCTTGGCGTGGTCGAGGGCCACGTTGCGCGTCAACATGGACACCGCCGCCTTGCTGGCAGCGTAGGTGGCCTCTCGCCGAATAGCCGTGATCCCGGCCGACGATGAGATGTTGATGATGCGTCCGCGCGAGCCCGACACCTTGTCCACGGGCTGGGTGAGAAATTGCTTGATGGCCTGTCGCATCGAGGTGGCCACGCCTTTGCCATTGATGCCCATCATGGCGTCCCACTGCTCGTCCGTCTCTTCGACAAAGTCGCGCAGGGGCATCCACAGCGCGGCATTGTTGACCAGGATGTCGAGCTTACCGAATTCCTACATATAGATAGAGTGGTTAATCTCTGGTGGGCAAACACCGCAACGCCGGGACCAGGCTCGGCTGACTCACCTTCACGGTAAACTCGATCAAGTCGAAAATCTCCTCAGTCTTGGACATGTCGCATTTTTTGAAGACCGACTTGACGCCATTGTTGATGAGGACCTCGTGGGTGGGAATGTGAATATCCGGCTCGAAGCCATCTGGACGGGCGTCGGGTCTCAAATCCGAGCAGACCACAACTGCACCGTCACGGGCGAGAGCCAGCGCAATGGCACGACCCATGCCTGACGAGGCCCCGGTGACGATGGCGATACGCTGGTGCAGCCGGCCAGATCCATCGAGCTTGTAGACGGCCATGTTGATGGACTAGATGCAAATGGTGCAAGGGTTGTTATGTGATGGTATGCTGGCAATGAGGTGCGTTGGGGTGGATGGAAGTGGTGTTGAAGAAGGCAGGAGAGAATTGACACGACACGTCCATCTGCGTCTGCGTCTGCGTCTGCATTTCTGTCTCCGTCGCCGTGTCTGTCTCCATCTCCATCGCCGTCTCCAATTGCACAGGCCGGTGCATTTTCATCTCCAGGGTCCAGTACTCTGTAGTCTAGTCTAGTACTCGGCACCTACTAGGTAGTCATGGGGTTTGTACAGTGTCCCGATGGCTGTGGCCGCTGGACGGGATATCATCGGCCGAATTGAGACCTGCCACCCACCGGAGTCTCAGCCACTTAAACCTAAGGGGCTTAGGGGCTAAGGAGCCTGTTGGAGAGCAGCCCAATGCCCTCAGGCCCCAAGCAGCCCCCGGCAGCCCCCGGCAGCCCCTACGCCCCAGGGATCCAGCCTAAGGCCAATGCTCTTTCCCCACCAAAACAATGAGTGCTTGGTGATGCGGGCTGTGACGGTGACGCTGGGGAGATTCAGCTTTGTAAGGCAGCCTCGATCATGAGTTTGCCGCGGGGCTTTAGCTCTATCCACCAATATCATCCACACCCTGCACCCGCAAGGCTTAGGCTTAAAACAGCGTGTCGGCTTATGCTGCCCGGGAGAGCGCCTCAATTTCCTTCCAGTACCGTCGTCTTAACTGGCCGTGGCCGCGCGCAGTGACGGTGACGGGCGAACACCAGTTGACAAACTCGGGCTGCGTTGTAATTATGTATGCGCTCATCGCACTGCACCATGCCTTGCCTTAGGCATGAATGCACACAGTACGGTACGTGTGGGTGTGGGTGTGATCGTGTGTACGGCCATGTGAAGAGAGGATTCAAAAAGCGACCTCCGATCCCAACCTACAGTGCTGTCCAGAAGTATCCGTACTACAGTCCATACTGTACAGTACCCTAGGTAGGTAGGTACCTAGTATTGCCAGTATTGCCAGTTGGTAACCAGAATACCACACTGCCTGAAGGTACCTCCTTGACACTACTGTACAGTAGTATACCTACTGCATTCTGCATTCTGCATTCTGCATTCTGCATTCTGCATTCTGCCTCACCGCAGAGGAAAACAGCAAACACCATGTCCCCCAACAATGGCCAGGACCAGGTCCTCCAAGTCATCACCATCCCTCACCGACCGACTCCCACCACGGCCGAAATCGACGCCGACCTCGCCCCAGCCTTGTCCATCCTCTTTGCGGCCCCCGGGCTCGTCGGGGCGTGGAAAGGACGTCGCCATGAAGATCGCTACACGTACATTTTTCTCTTGGTCTGGCGCGACCTGGCCGCCTCGCACGCCTTCTTCACCTCGCCCAAGTACGCCGAATTCCACCAGCGCATCCAGCCCGCCCTGAATGGGCGCAAGGTGGCCTGGCAGCAGCATGCGCGGTTGGGTCAGTGGGAGCTGAGCGACGCCGCGCACTTCCAGTCGATCATCCACTCCCCGTGTATCGAGGTCGCCTTGACCAAGGTGGTCGAGGGCGGCGTGGCCGGCTACTACGACGGCTTTGGGCGGGTGGTGTCCAAGATCCTCGATCAAGATCCGGGCTGCGATGGATGGTGGATCAGCCCGCTGGTAGAGAATCCACAGCACCAGCTTCTGTTGATCAATTGGAAGAGTTTTGAGGTGAGTTTACAGAGTACATCCCGTTCAAGTCAAGTTCTCCCTTGGTCCTGTTTCTTTCTGTGCCATGGGGGGAAGGGGGAGGAGAGAACAGAGAAGGGAGGAGAGGAGAGAAAGGGGAGAGAACAGAGAAGAGATGAGAGAGGAGAGAGGACTGAGCAGGAGGTTGTTCTGTGTGTGTTCACGAGTCTTTCTTTGGTTTCCGTGACACCTGACACCTGACACTCAATTGTTTAGGCCCATCACGAAGATTTTGAAAGGCGGCCGACCTTCCAGCAATGCATCGATACTCTCAAGGACTACTATGCCGAGTTTGTCCTGCCCACCCACCTAGTAGGGCTGGAACAGGTTTTTGGGTAGATGCGAGATGGGAGTTCCAGGAGACTGGGGACAAGAGACAGTCAGCAGTCAACAGCCAACAGCCAACAGCCAACACAGTCTTCGGAGTACGAGTCAGTGGGAGCCGTGTTCCGGGGACCCTGACGCAGTGAAAGCCCGTCCTGCAGTGCCAGTCATGTTCACATGCGGTGGTCGGATTCCGTATCGTATCTATATACGTACTGGTATGCGCTGCAGTGTATACCAGTGGCAGAGTCTGTACACTGTACACTGTCTATGGCACTGTCCGCAGTACAGATACAGAGGAGGAATAGGAATAGGAGTAAAAGCAGTCCGACTGATAGCCAGCAAATCGCCCCAAGTCATGCATCCCAACACCAACACAGGTACATTGGCATAACATAACCTGCAGTAATTACTAATCGCTACTCACTACTCCTAGCTACCCTATCTACCAGGTACCTAGATAGGTGCCTAGTAATATCTCTCTACTCTACGGAGTACTCTAGAGTCTATACAGATACACATCCCCGTATCTGTACACCATACTCCATACTACTGGTACTAGTACTATAGCGGCACCCATGTCTCCCCGACCTTCAAACTATACCCAACCCAACCAATCATAAATCGACCGAATCTGATTCTTTGTCGGGCAGACTACTGTATTCTTACGTACACATGCTACTACCACTACTACCACTACTACAGTCTGTTGCCACTCTACCACTCTACCATTCTGTCTGTCACTGTCTCTGTCGCTCTGCACTGTACTATCTACCAGTCCACAGACCAGAGTCGTATCTAGTATCTAGTGTCTACTCCATAGTATCTACAGAGTCCCATCTACCATCTAGTGTAATTACCATCTCAACCACTCGTATCTACCTCAGCTCTCCACCTCCGCGGAGCCCCGTCTTCGTCTTCGTCTTCAGCTCCTTCAGGCTTCCTTCAAGTTTTGCATGCTGCTGTCGCTGTCGCATCGCATCGACGCCCCAGCCATGTGGTAACTGGTTTGTCATGGTCATTCCCCTCGTCATCCCCCTCCTCATTCCCCCCGTCCGCGTCCGTGTCCGCGTCTCGCTTTCGCCCTACGCCTTAATCCCGGGTCTAGCGTTGCCGTTTAATCCGTCGGCACTGCATGTGACATGTCATGTCGATGTTCTTTTCTTGGGGTTAGGGTTAGGGTTAGGGTTACGGGTTGTCTTTTCCTCCCCTGCCGTTGCTGGTTCCCGCTTGCCTTTGCCGTTTGCCGTGTGATTGATTAGGTTGTTTTAATTGACGCAGCATTAGGTACTCTACCTTGGAGATTTACCTACAAGCAGTAATCTATAGTGCGTCACGTGTATGGAGTTTAACGGATACCTAAAGTACTACCTAGAGTACTTCCTAGAGGTACCTACAGTACGGAGTACTACCTAGAGGTACCTACAGTACGGAGTACTACCTAGAGGTAGGTACCTACCTAGGTACCTAGTTCCTATAGTAGGTACTAACCTGTCTACAGTAGGTAGGTAGGTAGGTAGGTACTGTAATCTACTATACTCCCTACAGTCGTACCACGGCTCGAGGCACAACTAAGGTACCTAAGGTACCTAACCTTCCTCGACCAACATGTATAGTCAACTTGGGATCCTCGAGTCTTAGCAGCTACAGCTACAGCTAGGCTACTGCTGCGGCTACAGCTACAGTGCATGTATATGGCTATAATTTCGGATTATGGCTATATATAGTACAGTAGCTGGATCTAGATCCAGATCCAGATCTGGAATGGGGGTGAAGGGCACTGAATGTTCAGCCTGATGCGATATTCTAGCTCTGTGGGTATAACTCATGGGATATTCTGGCTCTGTTAGGTAGGTACGACGCAGAACGAATGAAGCCGACTTAGACAAGGTAATCAAGATCATCATTATTTGATCTTGTTGTTGACGTTGATTCTTTCTTTGTTGATAACTCATCATCATGGGTTTCACTTCACTTTGGTCATCGCCTCTAAAAGGATTGACCCTGACTAGCGCTGCTTGCCTATATGATGAAATGATAAAGACGAGGCTGGGGATGCTCATCATGCTATGGTACAGATACATGTCCAAGTCATACAACCATTGTCGTATCACGTTCAATCATGTAAAGATATACCGTATATACAATCATGACATGTAGGTAGACACACACACACACACACGCAGAGAGAGAGAGAGAGAGAGAGAGAGAGAGAGAGAGAGAGACAGAGAGACGGAGACAGAGACAGATAGGAACCCTACTTCATTCAATATCCGTAACCAATAGCCGGTCATTCCTCAATCCCAAAGTCTCTTCATTCAATGTCTGTGACCAATACCACTCATTCCTCAATCCCAGTCTCACACCAGCGCTTGATTAATGAGGTAGACATGCCAAAACAAGCAAAACAAGAGACAGGAGAGACAGCCCCAATGGCTTCCGTGGTCTCGATCCGTATCATGTAATGAAAATAAATGCTCATCATTCATGAACTACACTACTGCATGTTTGCAACATGTCAGTTGTAATTCATGATACCTTGGAACAGACTCTCTGGATCCATGGCAAAGTCCAGATCCAATTGAAGGTCATCCCATAGCCCGCGTGGCGGATGAGCAGCATTGTCTTGGGCTGGGAATGTCTCGTTGAGGACCGCCATGTTGTTGCTGCCGCCACCACCACTGCCACTAGTGGTCATCAGCCAGGAGTCATCGAAAATGAACTGGTCATCACCCCCACCGCCGGTACTGCCGCCGGTGTTAGGGTAGTTAGAGTTAGCACCGCGGACAGTGATGGAACGCGGCGTGAAAACCGTTTGCGAATCTCGTCGACAGTAGCTGCTGCCGGTAGTGTTCGGCGGAAGCCAATCGGTAGATTCGGGCCCGGGCCCCTGGCCAGGACCAGGACCAGGACCAGGGTTCGGGTTGCTGTTGTTGGTTACCGTCGAAGGGCGATGCGGTATCGAGGATGCCCGTCCCGCGTGTTGCGCCTGATCATTGGCCAAGTTGATCATGGTATTGGCGGCCAGTACCTCGGACGCTGATGATGATGACCCGTCCGTCGTCAGAGCGGTGGTGCTCGACGTTCCATTTGGAGGATTCACTGCTGTACCACCACTACCGCCCTGATTCCGCACGCGGCCTGAACTGTGCGAGCTTCGACGTGCTTGTTGCCGAGTGAAGAGGCTCAACTTCCCCTCCACCCCCGACAGGTTCTCCTGCAACGTCGAGGGCAAGTCCCAGAAATTGGCAAACTCGGTCAGGATCATGTGCATCACGGCAAATTTGGACTCGATGAAATCCAAGTTTGTATGAGGCGGTGCCAGCACTTTCCACCCCAGATGCACCACCGCCCCGTACCAGAGGGTGCTGGCCAGAAACGGATTCACATAGCGCACATGATGTTCCGAACTGCGCGACACAATGTGTAACAGTTCGTCGGCCGCTTCGATGTACTGTTGCATCCCCTGTCTCGTCGGGCCCAGGTGCAGACTGACCGACCCCCCCTCCGCTGTCGCCGACCCGTCCGTATGGTCGTTCTCGTTGAGGCGCAGGTCCTGTTGCGCCCCCCGATACGCATCCTGGTGGTTGATCATCATGCGCGTCAGCTGCGTCGTGACGTGAATGCTGTACATGGCGCTGTGCAGCTGTCGGGTCGCCACGCGCGTGGCCGGATCGTTGTCACCAAAGCTCAAGAATTGGTCCCGGTGCCGGAGACGTTTGGGAAGAGCCATACCAAAACATCGGAGTGCGTTGGCCAGGATGGCCAAGCTCTCGGTATTGTCCTTGGCCGAATCTCTGGGTGCTGGCCGCGAAGGCCCGTACTTACCGCCGCCAGGACGTGGGCTTCGAAACTTGGAAAACATGTGGCCCTCCAGCATGAAAGAGTTGAGCACGATGAACCAGGCCTTCGGACTCTGCGTCCCGCACTGCTGGAGCACTCTCAACCTGTCCAGCGGTTTCGTTTCCAAGAAGCAGCTAGGTTGAAACGTTCGGGCGAACCAGTCTTCGTCGCACACGGGGAACCGCGTCTCATTATCCCTCCAGTCGATCGCGGCCGGACAGCGTCGTATCGTGCTGGCAAAGACGTCCATCTCCCAAATGAACCACCACGTGCGCCGACGCTCTTCGATCTCGGTCCAAATTTGCGGATCCGTCTGCTCCGGTGTGTTGCCTCGGTCAACATGATGAAGATCGAGCTCATATGCCACCCGGACACAGACACCCAGCCGCCGCCAAGCGGACCCCCGGGCGCCTTTGATCAACTCCTGGAAAGTAAGTAGGACAAGGGCTTGGAGAACGCACAGAGGCGGGGCGTCGTGGGAGTGTTCTTTTAGCGCCTCATCGACGTACTGCTGAGACAAGGCTTCGAAGTACTGGGGTGGAAGCGACAGTCCAAGCGAGTCATCCAGAGGTTCGCCGTCTTCTGGGCGGGCAGAGTTGCCTGAAGGATCAAACCGGTATCGGGCAGAGAAGGAGAGGATGGAGGCCAGCAAAGCAACTAGCTGCGTCACCGAGGGGATGTTGGTCAGCTTGTTTCCAAAAGAAGGCTGATGGAACAGCGAAAGCGCCGTCATGTTGTCAAAATATAACTTGATGCTGTGCAAAAGACGGTCAGTCCATGTACGGCATATGCCACAACCTTGGTAGAGACATCAACGTACTATCCCTGGAGTGACTGCAACGGGATTCCCAGCACGGCGCACGCTTGGGTAATCCGGTTCAATCGCTCAGCTCCGTCATCCGACTTCCCAGGCTGATCGAGATCCGGAAGGGGACTTTCTTCGGTTGGTGGGACTGACGCGGTGTCATGGGAAGGATGCATGATATAGGCCAGCGTGTGCACATCAAGTGACGCTGACTCTGGCGTCAGGGGATAGTTATCCGGGGCCACATCGCTGAAATGGGGAGCTGGTCCTCCAGTGCTACTAGCTGAGGTCAAGCCGACAGGAGCATCCGCGTTGGTGGCGCGATCGGCGCTGAGATCTCGGTCAACGGCGGTGGCACCTTCGAGGCCGCTATGGGAGTTTGTCTGCTGTCTTTCCCAGGACTGCGATCGCCGCCTTTTGCGACGAGTCGTACCTACACCCGGAGTCGATTAGGATTTGCGCGGTAGGTCGAGATTCATGCAGGCCACTTACCCAACTTGGGTCCGGGTTTGGCAGCTTCCACGGGGTATTCGCAGCCTTGCTTGGTCTTGACGCATATCGAGCAGCGAGGCAGCAGCCGGTCACTGGAACAGAAGATGCACAAGTCAGTCGAGTGTTTTGCGGCCGCCTGTCGACCGAATGCGATTGTACAACGTCTTCACCCACCATTTGACCTTTCGCCTGAAGTAGATGGTAAGTCAGCCTTAGTCTTGGACGCCCATGTGGCCAGGGGTATCGCGGGGACCTGGATAAGGAGCCTCCCACCGCTAGTAGAAGACGCAACCTACCTCTTACAAAACTTGCATGCAAACTCGGGCCGTGCTGCGTCACCCGTTGATTCTGTTGGTTGTCCGGTCGCAGTTGTCGCCATTGTCTTTCTTTGTCTGTTTTTCCTGTGCTGGGCATGGACGAATGGGTGTTTCGGGGCGTCAACGCATTCTTCGCGCGAGGTGACAGAGAGTGAGGGTGAGGATGTAGGATGTAGTTGGCTGAGGCGAAGATCGAGGAGACAACGGAACGGTGGACCAAGACGAGTTCGACATGTACCGGGAAATGTGCGCTTCTTATCTCCACCAAGGAGGCTCCAGCTGCATCTTTCCCGGGGATGGCTAACTCGAAGGAGGCCAGGGCGTGTGCGATGCTGACTCTGGACAGTGGACACAGGCTCCCTGCAAGTTTGGTCCCCCGCATTCTGGGGGATTCGGGGCATGCATCTAAGCCTAAAGAGCCTAAAATTTCAAGGGCAGATGAGAAAAGCCGAGTGCTAGCCTAGCCTAGTGAGCCTTAGCACGAGGGGCTTAGGGGCCTAAGGCTCCCCTGTAGCCTTCCTCCCCAATAGCGCACCGGCAAAATCTGCGTTTGCAGCTAATCGGCGCTCTTTCAGCACCCTTCTGTCATTTTGGCGCAGCCTCTGTTGGTCCTGTGCGCCATCCCACCCAAACCTACCCAGCTTATCCAGCCTAACCGAACCCACTTGAACGAATGGAAGAGGCAAAACAAGAGCTGGCAGATGGCGGTGACACAATTTTCAAGCCACAGGATCATCCTGAGCCGGAAGTTACAGTAGAATGTGACCAAGTCCCTCCTCTCAATGCACCAAGCTAGATGCGTGCGATCTTCGATCCTCTTTATTACTCCGTACACCAACGGCCCAAATTCTCAAGGCGTCGTCGACAAGGGAAAAAGTTCTCTGGCAGCGTCCATCGTTGACTTACTTTAAAGCCCACTCAGAACAGAGAAGAACAGAAAGCAGCACACAAGAAAAAGCAATCTACAAACCTGCTACTCCAGGACCACAGTGGGAATGACAAATGACAAATACGGAGTACAAGAATACTCCGTACTCTACACAGACATACTCCAGGTCTTAGCCCCAGGAACTCCAGGGCCCAAGCCCACGGGGCATTATGTGGGCATCGTGGCGGCAGAGCTAAGGGGCGACGGGCGATATTTATTCGACCGAAACCCACCGAAAGGGAGACAACATCTGGTATTTACCCCATTCGTTACTCCTGGGCCTTCTATTCTCCTTTAGCTGGAACCGCACTTGACCAAGCAAGATGAGTACCAAGAAGGAAGAGCTGGGCCTAGCCTAAAGAGCCTATCATGACGGGCTGGTTCATTCATTGCCTCCCTTGGCTTTGGTTGAACTCGTCGATAACCTCTTTGGTGGTCTTGATGATACCGAGACATCCGGGCGAGTCGGAATGACAGCAAATGCTGACGGGATAGTCCTTGACGGGCAGCTGTACGATACTCCCATCTGTTGCGGTGACCGACTGCGTGTTGAGCTGCTGGCTGACGTGCTTTCTCACGTCCTCCAGCTCCCACGCCTTTTTCTTCCTGTCAATGACGAGCATTCCATCGCTGCTGTACTTGACATCCCCATACAACTCGGCCCAGAAGGGTATACCGAGATCGTTGGCCGCTTTCTCCATGTTGGTGCCTGCCAGACCGAAGACGGGGACCCCGGGGGGAATGCCCTGCATGACTGCTTTGGCCACTTCGTAGTCCCGGCACATCATTCCATACAGAATCCCGTGTGGCTTGACATGATGCAGCGGGACGCCTTCTCGATCCAGGAACCCTTTCAAGGCGCCAACTTGGTAGACGGTGATGGCGGTCAACTCGTCGGACGACATTTTGATCTCCCGCCGACCGAAACCTGTTCCCCGGTCAGAAGCATGCACCACGACCTAGTGATCTATGCTACTTACCCTGGATGTCGGGAAGTCCGGGGTGGGCGCCCACTTTGACGTTATATTTCTTGCAGTTCCGAACCGTCTCCTGCATGATCAACGGGTCGCCGGCGTGAAAGCCACAAGCGACATTGGCATGATCGATCAGTGGCAGGAGTTCCAGGTCCGGACCGCACACATAGTTCCCATACTAAGATCTGATCAGCAGACACCTGGTCATTGGCCGCCGTGAACTTACAGCCTCCCCCAGATCTACATTCAGAAGGGCCTTGTGTTTGATTGGTGGAGGAACCATGTTGTAGAGACGCTGTCGACCAGTCTTGCGGAGGCCTTGCCGTCAACGGAAAGAAACCTGGATCAGATCACTCACAAACCCAATCTTTTGAACAAATTGTGCCTCAGGACAGAGAGTCGATCGTATCTTTCCGACAAGCGGTTCCAACCACACTATCTATCCGAGCGAAGGAAACTGCCCCATCATTTATATTGAATCAAATAACGTCACCCGGACGGAGATGAACGAGAGGGGGAGAACGATAAGCTCCGCTCCGCCGGTATCTCAATCTTTGGGGGGAGCTCATGGCTTTGGTGAGATCCAATAACGGCATTCCTTGACCGTTCTTGATACCCAATGATCAAGTCTATCACGGCCAGAAGCATTCTCATAATGCATGGCCACAAGTCCCCGAGCCCCTCAGTCTCCAAGTGGTTCTTCGCACTCGTGCCGCACCCTTTGTCCATCATCCATCTCATTGAACACGTATGATGGAGAAACTCAAGACGTTACTTGTTGCGAATCGAGGCGAGATTGCAGTTCGCATCTGCAGGACTGCTCGTGAACTAGGCATCAAGACCATCTCCATCTATACCGCAGCCGATGCAGCCTCTGCCCATGTTGGGGCCGCCGATGAAGCCGTGCTTCTGTCGGGTCCCGATGCGAAGGGATACATCGACGCAGAACAGATTGTCGAAATCGCCAAATACAAAGGCGCTGATGCTGTGATCCCCGGGTATGGCTTTCTTTCTGAGAATACTGACTTCGCCCGACATGTGACAGAGAGCGGGATGGTCTTCGTCGGGCCAAGTCCTAAGTGCATCGAGGATTTCGGCATCAAACATACTGCTCGTGAGCTTGCGGCAAAGGCTGATGTCCCCATCGTTCCTGGAACCAAGGGTCTGGTTGGTTCAGAAGAAGAAGCGGTGGCGAAAGCCAAACAGCTAGGATATCCTGTGGGTTGACTTTCTCGAGGATGTCCGGAAAACAGTCTTGGTTAACCACGATTCCAGGTCATGCTCAAAGCCACGGCAGGTGGAGGTGGCATGGGCTTGATGGCATGCAGTGATGAGACGGCCGTCCGGGAGTCATTCAAGACCGTCAAGTCTCGAGGCGAAACTCTTTTCAAGAATTCCGGGCTGTTCATTGAGAAATACTTCCCGGCTGCGCATCACATTGAAGTCCAAGTATTTGGCAATGCACTTGGCCAGGCAATTCACTTTGGCGAGCGCGAGTGTTCCATCCAACGTCGCCATCAAAAGGTCATTGAGGAATGTCCCAGTCCGTTCCTTGCCGAGCACCCGGAGCTCCGTGAGAAACTGGGGTCAGCCGCCGTCCGGCTCGCCGAGTCGATCAATTACGGATCAGCAGGGACCATCGAGTACCTTGTCGACGACGCATCAGCCGACTTCTTCTTCCTCGAGATGAACACGCGGCTACAGGTAGAACACGGCATTACAGAACTGTGCTACGGAGTCGACCTAGTCGAGCTGATGCTGAAGCAAGCCGATGCGGAGCTGTGCGGGAAGGGTGGTCTTGACGGTGACTATCTTCAGAGCCTTCAACCAAAAGGTCCGACCGGAGCGGCCATTGAAGTGCGTGTCTACGCGGAGAATCCGGCGAAGAACTACGCCCCGTCTCCCGGGACCTTGCAGCAAGTGTCGTGGAAGGAAGTCCCAGGATCGAGGATTGACGGCTGGGTCCATACCGGCACAAAAGTCACGTCGTTCTATGATCCATTGCTCGCTAAGGTCATGGTGCACGCCTCCGACAGAGCCGAGGCCATCAAAGGAATGACCGAGATGCTCGAGGGTTCCAAGATCTTCGGACCGCCCACGAACATCGAGTTTCTAGCAACCATTCTCCAAGACAGCACGTTCCGAGGGGGCAGGACCATCACCAAGTTTCTCGACACCTTCGACTATCAGCCTCACGCAATCGACGTGCTGCAAGGCGGAGCCTACACGCTAGTCGAAGACTGGCCTGGACGACCAACCATTGGTAAAGGCTTTTCACACACAGGACCCATGGATCCAGTGGCGTTCCGTGTCGCCAACGCCCTCGTCGGCAATCCTCCTGGCAAAGAAGGGTTGGAGATCACACTCAGCGGACCGGACTTGAGATTTCTGGGCCCTGCCATCGTGGCACTCTGTGGAGCGCCCATGGAAGCCAAGTTGGACGGTGAAGCCGTGTCCATGTGGACGCGAATCAAGGTCGAAGCCGGCCAGCGCTTGACGATAGGGAAGACGACCGGTGGCGGATGCAGATCATACTTGGCCATCCACGGTGGGCTGCCCAGTATCGCAACATGGTTTAGATCCAAGTCGACGGCCCCGATGACCAATGTCGGCGGTTACCAAGGCCGAGCGCTTGCAGCGGGCGACCTCTTGATGATCACCAAGGATCTACCAGAGATCCAGGGTGAGCTCAAGATTCCAGACCATCTGATCCCATCTTATCCGGCAGAATGGGACTTATTTTCCATGCCGGGCCCTTACGACGCGGGCTTCATTACCGATGACTCGATCGAGGAGTTCTACAACAGCACCTACACGATTTCACACAACGCTGCTCGAGGGGGCATCCGGCTTCTGGGGCCTAAGCCCAAATGGGCGCGGCCTGATGGCGGTGAAGGCGGCGCGCATCCGTCGAATGTCATTGAGTACGGGTATCCTGTGGGCACGCTGAACTGGACGGGAGACGACCCATGCCTGTTCCCCGTGGACGCACCAGACTTTGGCGGGTTTGTGTCAGCCACGACCATCATCAAGGCCGACTACTGGCGAATGGGCCAGATGAAGGCCGGCAATAAGTTGCGCTTCCATCGGATCTCGTACCAGGACGCCATGGCCAAGCGGAACGAAGTCGAAACTTTTCTCGCTCTGATCCACGACTGCTGCCACAGCAAAGCTGAATTCGGGGACGTCTCCCCCCTGAAGTATGAAGGGTTTCCCCCGTCGACCGAGAGCAAGGGCTGGGAGGCGGCACTAATCCACCAGATCCCTGAAAAGGGCAACCAACCGCTCGTTTCCTACCGCCAGGGCGGCGATGACTTCCTTCTCATCGACTACGGGCATGGCTCCTTCAACCTCAACTACCGATGCCGTGCCGTGGCGCTGTATCGCAAGCTAAAGGAGAGTACGGGTGACATCTCGTTCGCCAATGGGGTTCTCCAGACGGGCATGGCATCGGGCAATTCCCTGATGATCTACTTCGACTCCCTGAAGGTGCCCCGCCAGACAATACTGGAGTATCTGCTTAGACTCGAGGCCGAACTCGGCGACTTGAGTGAAGCCAAATTCCCCAGTCGCAAATACAAACTGCCCATCACATTTGAGAGCCAACGGCAAAGAGACAGTCTTCAGAGGTATATGCAGACGCAGAGACCATATGCGGCTTATCTGCCTGATCCTATGGAATTTCTTGCGAAGAACAACGCATTGACTAAGCAACAGGTGAGTTAAAATCAACTAGAAGTTCCCTTCCATTTGCTGCTGGGACTGTTCTCGGATGACAGACTGACCGACAACCACCCAACCAGCTGAAGGACATCTTCACCAAATCTTCCTTGATGGTGGTTGCAGTAGGATTCTTCGTGGCGCTGCCGATCGCTCTTCCAATCGATCCGAGACAACGCCTCCAGTCCCCGAAAATGAACCCTTCTCGTGTACACACACCCGAAGGCCAAGTCGGCTGGGGCGGATCATGCATGGCCATCTACAACGTAGAATCGCCCGGCGGGTATATGAACACAGGGCTTTCCATTCCCGGCGCAGACATTCTGGGGTACAAAAAAGGATACAATTCCGAACGGCCCTGGCTATTCGAGGATTTCGACCAGATCACATTCTACGAGGTCAGCGAGGACGAGTACGAAGATCTGATGGCTACGTTCCGCAGCGGCCGGTATGAATACCAGTACGAGGATACCGTGTTTGACATGAAAGAGCACAACACACTGCTGAGAGACACCAAAGATGAAGTGGCCCAGATCCGCGCCAGACAGCGTGAAGCGCAGGCCGAGATGGACAAATTGGAGAAAGAGCTGCTGGCCAAATGGAGCAAGGAAAAGGAAGCCAACAAGATCAGCACAAATACTATTGATCAGTTGCTGCACGGTAAGTTTTCCAGGCACTTTTGGTCTTTGATCAAATTGGGCACGGATTGTTCGGCCTTCTGAATGCACGCACACAGCCAGGCAAGAGACTGACATGTTCTCTTCCTTATAGATCCGGAGATTATTGTAGTCGAAGCGCCCCTGAACGCCAACGTCTGGAAAGTGGAGGTCAAGGAAGGCGACACGGTCGAACTCGAGCAAACCGTTTCCATTCTGGAGGCCATGAAGCTCGAAATCCCGGTCAAGACGGAACCAAGCATGACAGGGGCCACGGTGGAGAAAGTACTGGTTAAGCCTAATGATGTTGTTGATGCTGGGAAACCGTTGATGCTGTTACGGAAAGCAAAATAGGCAAGCAATTTGAAGAGAGGGATTATAGCATTACCCCGTACACCGACCTGTTTGCTGGTCGTTCGTCATCAGCGGAGCAAGGAACGCCCAGTGGAAAGTGTTGACCGAGAACAAAAGGAATTGACCAGACCAGGCGAGACAAATGAGATGAAAGAGCGACGCGGATGAGTGTTGGCAACGTATATATATGTATATATCCAGACAGTAGGCCACGACGATTGTTCGGGTCGCTACGCATCTGGGTACGTCGACGTCGATGCAGGTCCAGACCTTTACACCTTTACCTTTTCGTCCCGTCTTCAGTTCAGTCCTCATCCACGCCAACAATGGCGGAGCTCACGGTCCACAATTTCTTCGCGGCATCCTCGTCATAAGCCCATTCGGCGTATCCCGGGGCGTCCAGGCGGGAAGCCTCTTCGGGGTCGGCGGGCGGCGACACGGCACAGTCGTCGAGAAACTTGCCTCCTTTGCCGTGTAGTTCCTTGTCGACGGCGGCCAGCACGGTGGTGGCGGCGCCCTGGTCGCGGGACTTCATGACGCGCCGGACCTCGGGCAGGGCCATCAGCTGCGAGAAGTCGACGTGGACCTGCAACGAGGTCTCGATGCCGCCGGGATGCAGCGACCAGGCGTGCAAGCCACGATGGCCGTAGCGGCGCTCGATCTCGTTGGCCATGTAGATGTTGGCGGTCTTGGACTGGCCGTAGGCGGTGAAGGGGGCGTAAGCACCCGGTCGCGACAACGTGAGGTCGTCCCACACGATCGGCGACTGGCGGTGGCCGATGCTGGAGACGCAGACGATGCGCGACGGAAAGTCCGGCGAGGCCGCCGCGGACGCCAGCAGCGTCGGCTTCAGCAGCTGGAACAAGAGGAAGTGGCCCAGATGGTTCGTCTGGAACTGGGCCTCGTGGCCGTCCGCCGTCAGCTGGCGCTCCGGCAAGGCCATGATCCCCGCGTTGGCAACCAGCACGTTCAGGCGGGATTCGCGCGCCAGGAAGTCCCGCGCGCACGCGCGCACGCTGGCCATCGACGCCGTGTCCAGCTGCAGCAGCTCGAGGCGGCCGGGTTCTAGGATATCGGCCAGCGCCGCCCGCCCTTTGTCCAGATTGCGCGCCGTCGCGTAGATCTTGGCCCCGGTCGCCGCGAGCGCCCGCACCGTTTCGACCCCGAGTCCGGACGACGTGCCCGTCACGAGCATCACTTTGTCGCGAAGCGCCCCCGCAAGTCCGTTGTCTTGGATGATTTGTAGAGCCGTCGGCCGCGCGTCGCCAGGGCCGTCGAGCGACGTGGGGAGATGGGCTTGGGCGTAGCGGGTGGTCATGGTGATGTATGTGCCACAGAATGGAATGGAACCCGACTTGAAAGGTGTGTGTGTTTGTATGTCTGTTTAGAAATGGCACCAGACTTGAAAGGGGTGTGTCTTTGTATGTCTGTTTAGAAAAGGCCCCTGACTTGAAAGGGGGGTGTGTGTGTTTGTTTGTATGTCTGTTTAGAAATGGAATGAACCCCGACTTAAAAGCCTAAAGACTCGACGACAATGACAGGGCAAATATCTCCAAACCGATCGATATAACAACTGTGGCGCTCTGCTCGACTTTGTCTGTGTCTCTGTCTGTGTAGGAGTAAGGTCCCCTTTTGCGTGTGCTTGTTGCTCACCTTGGAAAACATCAGATGCGACTCGGCCATTGCAGCTCTTCAGGTATTTATACAGTACAGTCCAGTGCAGTCCACGTCGATTGATTTGGTAGCACGAGGCTGAAGACAGAAGAGCATTGTATGATTGGGCCGGCTGAGCTGCGATGGGCTGACACAAACTCCGGGTGGAGCCTCTTGAGCCCGTCGCCACGCACGAGCGCGGAAGAGGCATAAAGTTCCTCCGCGGTGACAGAGCACAGAGTACGTATATACCTTACTGTAGCGTCTACGATTACAATATCCAGAGGGAGAACGCACATTGCTGACATCGGACATACGGAGTACGCACAGTGCTGACATCTGATCTACGGAGTGCCCGTATTTACCGGCTGAGCGAGGACGGGAGCTGTATGGAACCCGGACGATTCATTCCATTGCCCGAGCTGAGCCCAGACGTAGTAGTAGATGTAGATGGAAGTCTTCATTACACATACTGGACGGACTGCAGTACCTAGGTTGGAGAAGAGTAGACAGTCATACACCTCCTACTAGTTACAGTGCCCTGAACCCCGGCCAAAGACAGCAGGATATGGTCAGCTTCGACTCAACTCGGGTCGGCTACGTTGATGAGGAAACCAATGTCTTGGGAATGGATGGATGCTCTTCCGTTAGATACTTTGCGGCTATGTCGATACTGGATACTGGATGCTGTGCGTGCTCTCGATGCCCAATAAGGTAGACGCGGTATCTGACATCGGTGAGCCCTCCCTGCAGCGCCGTGCTTGCCCTTTACCGCCACGGCAGCTCTCCCTCGCTCTTTGTTCCGTACGGTATCTTTGTTCCGTACTGTCACCTAGGTAGGTAGATGAGAAGCAGTCCGTCGTTGTAGGCAGACCCCCATGGGGTATGTATGGATGGTAGGGCCAGCTGGCGGACAAGGGCAAGAGCAAGGCAATATCCCTTATGGGCGCTGGTCACGACTCCGACGCGTGTATAGAACAGATGCGGTCTGTCGCAGAAAGCGCGAGAGCATCAGACTTCTAGAGGATTGCTGGTCGATTGCTGGTCACAATTGCCTTTTGGCGGCTCACCTGGGGGACAGGCAGACAGCTCTTTAGGCGGGTAGATGTCAATTGTCGGTGGGTGCCTCTTTTTGCTGAATGCGCGATGCATTCCAGGCAGGGCGGCAGATGCAGATAATCATTCATCTAATAATACCAACTTTGTCTCTTGGAAGCTACAAGGCAGGCGTCCCTTAGGTTAACACTTAACGTGGACCCGATACCGGACGAGAATCAGGCTTGACCCTCGCCGACCATCGCCGCACTTGGACGCTGCTGTTTTGCTTGGGATCACGTCGTCGCTTATTGGTGGGCGATTCTCGCCCTGGCCGCCCTCGAATCCCTAGGGCCGAGGCTACCCGTAAGCAACCCTTGGAGACCTCGCCGACTCGGGGGACTGACGTCTTTGGGCCACACGCTGCAGGCCGATTTCAAGCTGCGCCCGTGTTTTGTTCGTCTACCAAAGAGTCACTGCTCCGTCCCTCGAGCTCTGTTGTCTGGGTTGGACAGCCACAATGGCCTCCAAACATGTTACCAGGCCTCTACTGAGGCTCACGACTCCGATCCAGCCATGCCGCTCCTTCTCCAGACCGGCCGCATCGCTGCTGAGCATTGACGCCCTTCCCACACAGCGAAGAGCTGCGATTCGGAGCACGAGAGCAAGACCCCTCTTTGTCGCCGGCCAGAGGCGTGCCATATCGGCCAGCTTACAGCGTCGATATGCTGACGTGGACGCGGACGAAAGCTTCGACCCGGCAAGCGTCGAGCGAGAGTCGGACGAAGTCGACGTGTGCATCGTGGGTGCAGGCCCCGCTGGATTGAGCGCCGCCATTCGGTTAAAACAGCTGGCCAACGAGGCGGGCAACGAAGACTTCCGAGTCGTGGTTCTGGAAAAGGCGGGTGAAGTTGGCGCACACATTGTCTCTGGCAACGTGCTGGAGCCGCGGGCGATCAACGAGCTCCTGCCCGACTGGCTGGCCGAGGACAATGAGAACAGGTTCACGGGCGCCACGCCTGCCGGGTCCGACAAGATGCGGTTTTTGACCAAGTCGGCCGCCATCCCCATACCCGCGCCGCCGCAGATGCACAACAAGGGCAACTACATCATCAGTCTGAGTCAATTCACCAAATGGCTGGGCGAGCGTGCCGAAGAGGTGGGGGTGGAAATCTATGCTGGCTTTGCTGGAGCCGAAATCCTATACAACCGCGAGGGCGCAGTCAAGGGGGTCGCAACCAATGACCAAGGTGTAGGACGGGATGGCAAGGCCAAGTCCAACTTCGAACGGGGCATGGAGTTCCACGCACGCTTGACTCTGCTTGCGGAAGGCTGCCACGGCAGTCTGACCAAGCAAGTCTCCAAAAAATATGATCTCAGAAGAGATTCCCAGCCACAGACATACGGCCTGGGAGTGAAGGAAGTGTGGGAGATCCAGCCGGAAAAGTTCAAGAAAGGGGAAATCTCCCACACCATGGGCTACCCCTTGTCCAAAGATACCTATGGCGGCGGTTGGATGTATCACTTTGGTGATAACCTCGTCAGTCTGGGACTGGTCGTGGGGCTGGACTATTCCAACCCTTGGATCTCCCCCTACGGCGAATTCCAGCGCTTGAAGTTGCACCCCTTCTACAAATCTGTGCTTGAAGGCGGCAAATGCATCGCGTACGGAGCTCGTGCCCTCAATGAAGGCGGCTTTCAGTCCATCCCCAAGTGTGCATTCCCTGGCGGCGCATTGATCGGCGACACTGCCGGATTCCTCAACGTGCCCAAGATCAAGGGTACGCACACGTCCATGAAATCAGGCATGCTGGCGGCCGAAGCCGCCTACGATGCCCTCAACGCCAACAAGGAAGCGACCACCATCTTCCTGTACAACTACGAGGACGCACTGCGAGAAAGCTGGATTTGGCCCGAGCTCAAAGCTGTGCGGAACATGCGACCATCTTTCCACAACCCGCTGGGGATTTATGGCGGTATCATGTACTCGGGCCTCGATGCCTTTATCTTCCGCGGCAAGACTCCTTGGACGCTAAAGCACAAGAAGCCCGATTGGGCCAACACCAAACCGGCCGACCAGTGTCCCAAAATCGAGTACCCAAAGCCGGATGGCGAAATCACCTTTGACATCCTCACAAGCGTCTCACGCACGGGCACGAACCACGAGGAAGATCAGCCCGTGCACTTGCAGGTCAAGGATTGGGATGAACATGCACGCAAAGAGTGGCCCAAGTACAAGGGCGTGGAGAACCGATTTTGCCCCGCTGGTGTGTATGAGTATGTGGAGGATGATACCAAGGATATTGGAGTCCGGTTCCAGATCAACTCTCAGAAGTAAGTCGCTGTTTTCGTCCATTTTGGTTGGCCATCGAGGTCTGACAAAGAACCGTAATAGTTGCATCCATTGCAAAACCTGCGATATCAAAGTCCCAGATCAGGATATCAACTGGCAAACTCCGCAAGGTGGTGAGGGTCCGAGCTACAGTATTACTTGAGCGAATGGTGAAGAGGGCTGGCGCTGTCGACGTGTCCTGACATCCTCCTGAACAAGGATCTAATCGCCCGGAAGGTTGGCAGCTTGCAGAACGAAGACTGTAACAATAAGCTCTTTAGTAGCAGGGGGAAATCGTACCAACCGAGCCTACCGTCGCAACGGCTCCATTGATATCCAGCCGGATCGACTAAGTTGCTCGTCCAACCAGTCATCCTCGTTTGGAGACTGCCTCAGGTGCATCAGCTCGGCCTGGTTCTCTTTCCTTTGGTCTAGCATAGTTTGGTATCTCGTCAGCATTAGCAGATGCCACCGCCTGCGAGTGCACGAGAGGTCATGCTTCGGCATATCCATGGTGATAAATAACAGCCCGGCGGTGTCGGAGTGCACAGTCGCTATTAAGTCTTTTTTGTGAATGGATTTTGCCGGCCTGGATCTGGGGATGCGCCAGCCCATGGGGCCATGGAGCTGGGGCGCGGCCTGGCCATAGCTGACGTCGGACTGGCAACCATGCCCCGGGGTAGAGGTTAACGCCATTATTCTCATCAAGGAATTGCTCTCTATTAGTCGATAGCTGATCTCGGAAGAGGAATGCTGAAACGGATACACGCCGCAGCTGGCGCCCCTAATATAATACCAGGACGAGGCGATGAAGCGGCCGCACCGTGACATTCCCATATCACTTCCTATCACTTGTACAGCCAGGACCGTCCTTGGAAAGGTGCCTCTAGTAGTGATAAGATGCTGACAAGAAGTCTGCTGCTCAGTGATGCGTATTCTGTACTCTGGACTCGGTATACGAACGAACGTTGACCAAGAGAACCTGTTGACGAGATCGACCAGGATGGGCCACTATTGGCCACTATTGGCCAGGAATGCCTACGGAGGACGGTGCTAGATATTAGAAGCATCTGAGTGGTCGGATGGTCACCGGTTACCGTCGTGGATCCGGATCTTTCAGCCACGGTGGCCAGATGATTGGGGAGACGGCATTGCAGGGTGGCGGCCGGATGAAAGGCCGGTGGCTGTCAAACTCGCCGGCCAAGACCAAGATTGCGCGGCATGTGAAGCAACATGCAGGTGCTGGCCCCCTTGCCAGAGTAGTGACTCATCGCCGCCAAATTCATTTAGCAATGAAAATGGTCTCCTTATCACTACAGGGGTTGTAAGGAGTGTTATTACGGGCAATGCTTATAACTTGCAGCTTGCAGCTTGTAGCCTTGGTTTTGACGGCTCGCACTGCATCACTTACTTTCAACACATGAGCTGGGATTTCAGCGTGAGAGAAGGGACACCGTGTGGTGGGTGACGGGTGTCTCTGATGAATGGCTTCTGTGGCGGGATCCGTATGTGACGACTCGGTGGTGCCGCCCACCGCCCACTGCCCACCGTGTCTGCTCATCCATCACCTTCCTCTCTCAGCAGAAAAATTCGACGCACGTGAGCTTGGGCCAATGTTACACTGTCTCCATCGGAAGCGGCAGGGGGAAATTCTCCTCAGCCCACCGGCTTGCTCATCTTGTCACCCTTGATTTCTCTTCGCTTCTGCAACAGACGGATCCCATGGCAGAATGTTGTTTGCTTTGCGGGATAAACTTGATGGAGGTGAGCGTGTGTGCGTGTCCAGGGAGGCGCATGCAGGAAGCAAAGAAAAAGGGGTAGATAAGATGCAAAGGGCAGGTTGGGAGCTGGGACAACACGGGCTAGGCCTCATCGGGCACTGGTGTGGCAGTAGTCACTTTTAGCGGTCTTTGGTGGATGGCGGGGTTTTCCAGGCAGCAGCGTGAATATAAAAGAGGCCATGTCCTCCTTCCCGCGCGAACGTATCCGACCTTTGATTTCTGACATTTTCTTGGCTTGGCATTTCGCCGCATTCCACACTCTCGTCATCCACCATCCACCCCCAAGTTCGCCGGGCATCAAACTGCGCATTCCCCTGCCGCACGCCTGCGACTCCTCTTCCATATCCCCCATATCCCATATCCGGTCTCGATCTGGTCCTCTCTGATCGTGCCTCCGTACCCTTGGGCGCTTCGCTGCAAAGCCTCCTCGAAAGGAAACGCCCCCAAAAAAAAGTTGTCATTCAAAGAGACAGGATATACTTTGCGAGCGCCTTGTCGTTCTCTTCAAGTCAAAGCCGGGCACAAGAACAGTGAAACCCCGCAAAATAGACAGTCTGCACTTTCCGCAATAGTAATTCGCGAATCCTTTCTTCAAGCTCTTGCTTCGTTTTTCGCACCTCATCGCCGCTCGCCGCTCGGGATCAGAACTCCTGATACTCGGTCTCGGTCTCGGTTCACATCAAGAATCAAGTCAACGGTGGCATTGGAAGTAGGGCAGTTGTTTGTAGGGGAGACATTGAGTTGTTCATCTCCCACATCCCGGTACGATTCCACGCGCACCCATCTCCCCGTCGCATCCCGAGTCCTTCAGTCATCGTCGAGTCGAAGAAGCGCTGCCTCGCGGTGCAGTGAGTGAAGAATCACTTCACCTTCACTGTCTCACCTCGAGCCTTGCACGATCGACTGCCAACGATCACTTCTGTCCACCGCCACTCTCACCTCCATATATCACCCAACCCCGTCGAGTCCTAACTTCTCATCTCTCAGACTGCTTTCATCATCCTCGATCAACCCCCCCTAATCGACAACTTCAGCGTTAACCCGCGCGTCGACTACTCTACACACTGCAATCATGGAGTCTCTTACCACTCACCCTGCCACCGCGCAACAAGCCAAAGCCTTCACTTCTCCTGCGTCCCTGTCGTTTCCCGGCGGCGCTGGGGACTTGACACCGCCCTCATCTGAGAAAGATGGACAAAACCTCAACGGTAGCTCGTACGCAGATGGAAAGATGAACGGTCAACAGCAGGGAGGAAACGTTCTGCAAGCTCCGCAGACTCCCAGTGCGACTCCTGGTGCTGGAGTGAGTGGTATTGTCCCAACTCTGCAGTGAGTACTCCCCTTTGTTGTCCCTTGTTGGTCAACAGAGGTTAACGTGCGCTTGAAGAAACATCGTTGCTACGGTCAACTTGGACTGTCGTCTCGATCTCAAGACCATTGCACTTCACGCCCGCAACGCCGAGTACAATCCTAAGGTATGTTTATCTGATACTACGGGTTACCCTCCCTACGGCCTGCTGACCATTTCAGCGTTTCGCTGCCGTCATCATGCGTATCCGTGAACCCAAGACTACTGCTCTGATTTTCGCATCAGGCAAGATGGTCGTCACGGGCGCAAAGTCGGAAGATGATTCTAAGCTTGCCAGCCGCAAGTATGCCCGTATCATCCAGAAACTTGGTTTCAACGCCAAGTTCACCGACTTTAAGATCCAGAACATCGTGGGCTCTTGTGACATCAAGTTCCCCATTCGATTGGAAGGGCTGGCCTCCAAGCATCATCCTTTCAGTTCGTATGAGCCTGAGTTGTTCCCGGGTCTCATCTACCGCATGATCAAGCCCAAGATTGTCTTGTTGATCTTCGTCAGCGGGAAGATCGTACTCACCGGCGCCAAAGTTCGTGAGGAGATCTACCAGGCATTCGAGCAGATCTACCCGACACTTTCAGGTAAGCCACTTCGACCTGCGTGATGAGGTCCACAACTGACAATGCCGGTAGATTTCCGCAAGGTTTAAATCCGTTGGTGTCGACCATCTGCCGTACTCTATTGCCGTGTATCAACAGAACCGCCAGTCGGAAATCCTGCGACGATGGTCGCCTTGTTCAAGGGTTGGCGATTGCGCTGGTTTTGCTCTGGGTCTGCTCTCAGTCAACCCGAGCATCAACACTCCTAAAATCCTTGTTTTTTGCCCCTCCTGTCACGACTATCAATGAGCATTGCAAGGCGTTTTGAGCGAAATACCTTTTTTCTTTTCGGGTCCAAGCACCAAAGGGCGAGGTGTAGGGCCTTCAACCAAATAGACATGTGTCTTCATCGACAAAGGGCATTGGCGGTATTCGGCGCGCTGGTCGATTTCGAGTGCCGTCTTGGGGTGCTCCTATGTTCTCTCTTCAGTTCAGGTGTGTCGTCATAGGGAACAAAGTTGACGATGGTTCTTCGCGGCGATGTCTTTTTCCGGCTTCGTTCCGATTGCGGGCTGGGAGGATCATCTCACATTGAGAGCTTGGGTCCACGGCGGTCCCTTCCTGGGAGAGGTAGATCTGGCTGAGGGTTCCAGCCTAATCAGTCTGTAGCAACGAAAAAGCAAAGTGGGGGGCTTTCGATGCGTATTGGGACGTCGGTGCTGCTAGGAACTTGAGCGGCATTGCATGATACCTCAATATGATCCTTGATTTCCTCCATGATATGATCCTTGATCTTCCATGATTCCTTGGTGGTGGGTGTAGTACTTTTTCTTGTGTCAGGTTTAATGAGTCATGATCATCTGCTTCTCGCATCTGCACATTCCCAGATTATACTGTTGATGCATGGTACGTTTCCCCATCGAGTCAGGTTAGGGGGATCATGGCCATTTTCAGCAAGCCCGTTCCGTTGCGTTGTGTTGGTTTGTCGTGGCTCTTATCGGTCCGGCCTATTTCTCGATTTGCAATGGTCGATGGGGGGGAGGGGGGGAGGGGGGGAGAAGGGTTTCAAGATCACGAGGATCCGTACAGTACTCTCCAATCAATCAGATGTGTGTTGCCAACGCGCAGGTCAAGATCGGGGGGGTCAGAGGAGAGGTAAGAGGTGAGTGGTAAGAGGTGAGTAGTGAGTGGTGAGTGGTGAGTGGTAGTGGTGAGAGGTGTGGTGAGTGGTTAGTGGTTAGAGGTGAAGGGCGAGGAGGGTTCGGACTCCTAGTAACTGGTCCAGACATGTTCGTAACAGCTGATCTGATCAGCTGGAGGGGTCATATTCAAAGAAACATAAACATACCTGAGGTAATGTGGAAGGCCAGGCAGACACGCAGACGCAGACGACCAGACTAGCAGAGTGGTGGTGGTGGACATACGAGTCGAGTCGAGTGACTCGCGTGGGCACTGTAGACTAGACACCCCTCGATTCTAGAGGGCTTAGGCCTGACTGAGTGAGTAAGGGGCCCAGGGGCCCGAATGATTGAATGCGCGTTTGTTGAACTCAGTTGGTCTCCGTATGCCTACCTGTTAGGTGCCTGTCGTGGGGAGTGGGGTCTGATCTCGCGTTCGTTGCACTCTGTGTGTATGCCCTTTCGTTTACAGAATCCAGATCGGATAGAGAGGGGTCTGAACTCGCGTTTGTTACGGGAACATGATGCAGTTACTACTACTACTGTACTACTGTACTCCGCTCCGTACTTTGCAGTAGGTAGGTAGGTAGGTACATATAGGTACTCGATCATGGCAGGGCGTTGTCGTTGTTGCACCGAGTGTACAGTAGACCGTAGACACGTTGGAACTTGGGATACATTACCTAGGTAGGTGCCTAGGTACCTAATAAGGCTAACTGGGCTGCTTCTGCTTCTGCCTCTGCTTCTGCCTCTGCTTCTGCCTCTGCTTCTGCTTCTGCTTCTGCTTCTGCTTCTACTTCTGCTTCTCTACGGCATTCCATCGGGCGAGTCAGTGGTGTCGCGTCGCGTCGCGTAGTATCGTGTGGTGTTGTTCAGTGTTGTTGTTTGGTGTTGGTATGGTGTGGTGTTGTTTGGTATTGTCGTCGCGTAATACGGAGTATGGTATGTATGGTGTCGTGTTGTTTGGTGTCATATGTCATAGCAGTGGTGTATCCTATCACGTCTTGCCGACTCGACTCGAGAGCGTCTTCAGGCTTCCTGGAGACCCTTTGGCCTGGCCTTGGCCCAGCAACCCAACGAACAGTCTGGTCTGGTCTGGTCTGTACGTGAAATCAGAGGACTAACTCCATGTCCTTCCTGGAAGGCTGAATCACGCCACAAGCCCCAGGCCACTACAAGCGTGCAATAATGTAAGACAAAGGTGCAATGTTAATGTGAGAGCAATTACCCGAACTTGAGCCTGAAGATACAACCAGTTACTCTGTACTGTATGTGGACTGGTATGCAAGAGAGAAGAGGGGCTTAGGCGCCTACGCAAGGCAAGGGGGCTGAAATGCATGGATTTAGTGCGTCTCAAGTCTCAGGCCCTCTATGCTCCATGCTGATAGATACCTACGTAAAAAGAAAGAATAAGGGGCGGATACCTGGAAAGATAGAATAAGGGGGCCGATTCGATGGTACTGTACTCGTACGGATACGGATACTAGGATAAGGTACTCCGTAGGTACTATATCCAAGGCACGTACTATTTGACTTCCTTGCACCCACAAACCGGCCAACGGTTGATTGATACTGATAGACAATGATCTGATCCGACCTGGCCATCTAAGGCGTGCCCTCTAACTAGACTCTAACTAACTGTTCACCTCACCACTCACAGACGTGAGGCACGACTAGTAACTGTCTCATTCCCACCCTTGGCCACCTCTTCCTCGAGTGTCATCCCCTTCGGCCCGGCTCGGCTACCATCGTCACAGGCGTTAAAGTCCTTGTCGATGCCAGCAGCCGCCAACTCGGCATCGGTCCTCCAGCGCCATTGCTTGGTCAACTCTGCATCGAGTTTCCCCTGGATGGCCTCGACGATTTTATCGCCTATCACAGGAAAGAATTTGAAGCCGTGTCCACTGCCTCCTGTAGCGATGAACAGGTTTTGGTAGCGTGGGTGATAGGTGATGAGGAAGTCACCAGTCGGGCTGTGAACAAGGTGGAGGTTAGAGAGATATGGTTGTCTACCAAGAAAGAGACGACAAAGAATGCGAGAACTGAAGTACATAGCGAGGAAGCATTCATTGCATTCATGGGCAAAACACACAGAGAATGAAAAATACATCGGCGAAGGGATGGAAAAATACATTGGTGAAGGGATGGAAAAGTACACACACAGATAGGGAACTTACGTGTCGCAGTACCAACATAGTCTCGTTTTCGAGAATGGCCGCTCTGCAATGTGCGGAACTAGCCCTCGAAGGGCTTCACGCAAGGCGTTCTGCCCCTCAAGGGGGATAGGAATATTGACCTTGGGAATGCTGACTTGGACAACTTCGCCCGCTTCCGCTTGGCCACCGTCGAGATCGACGTTGAGCAACCCAGGGAGAATGTTCTTCCTGGGGATCTCGACCGGATTTAGATACCCGTATCCATGTCTTGCGATTTTCAGTTCTTTGGTTCGCGGCGGGATAATAAACATCCCGCGACTCATGTTCATGATCGTCGGCCTGTCCTGCATCGCTTTCACCTCGTCTTCGGTGATGTCGACATACCCCAGCGTTTGCCCCGTCGCCAAACATCGTCCTCGAAGATCGATCAGAGTCGGGGTCCAAGCCCCGGCAGCCAGCACGGTCAGGTCGGCGGTGATCTGCTCGCCTCCGACCAATTCGACACCGGTGCATCGCTCAGGAGTAGAAACAAGCACTTTGGCAACATGACTGCCGCTGCGTATGGTCACTCGGTCACCGCCCTCCTGCCGGATCCTTCTCAAAGCATATGCGACGGATTTTTCAGCATCTGCCCATCCCGAATTGAAATTGGCGTATCCATAGTTCCCGCTGACCTGGTTATATCCTGTCGCGGCCCGGATCTGGTCTGGATTCTCCAGTTCCTTGAGCTTGGTCGCGTCCACCCAACTACGAGTGTCATCTTCTGCTGCCAATTTCCGTACCGTATCAAGTGCTTCTTTCACATATCGACCACCGGTGGCTTCATCTGCGGTGAGCACAAACCCAGGCTCGTGGTATCTGCCTTCTCCGCCCCATCCGTCCTGCGTGGTATCACGCCAGAGTCCTTGCGCTTCGAGCGCAAGCCTCGAGTAATGTTTGTAGATGTAATCTGCGCGCACAATACGGCTGGCATCAACAGACGAGCCGTAGGGGTTTGGAAGAGATGGCGAGCCGTCAACGATGGTTATGCGACTTCGCTTGTACGCAGCATTGGACAGAAGTGACAGGGCTGTGGACAGGCCGAAGACACCTGCTCCAACGATGAGAATATGCTGAGGAACTATACCGTCAGACATGATAGCCCCAGCTCGCGGCCGTGGAAGATGAAACCAAGCAACACCTCGACTCACATGCAATAAACGGTTGATACACTTCCAGATGGGTGCCGACTTGATCAGCAACCTTACCCTAGCTACCTGCAGTGCGTTGTTCTCCGCATTTAGCAGAAAGGCGGGCGTGCCTGCGGACCACTGCGCTTCAAATTCCGAGAGAAAAATGTGGGTGCGCCTCTCTCTTGGATGACCCTGTCCCTGTCAGCCACCACTGTTACTGTTCTCAGCCCATCAAACTGTTGTATACTCCGTACTAGAATGCTGCACTTTGAGGACGCTGGGTCCGGGGATTGTGTACACGGCCAAGCAATCGCAGTGCGATAAGCTGGAACAGCTCCTTGTGCTCATGACAGCTGTCCCTATGGCGGACGCCGTGATGAGATGCTTGCACACTTCCAAGATCCCGCATCTGGGAGTGTCGCTGCTGGCGAAGCGCGCAGGCAGGCCCTCAAATCTTCCAGGTCGGCAACTATTCGTACACTGCACTTGTCAGATACGGAAACGGGCCTTGACTACGGCCATCACTCCTAGCAGCTTGCACCACTCCAAACACTCCTCCCGTACCTATGCCTCGACGGCACCAACTCTCCCGCGCCCTCCCCCTCGAGCATCCCGCGTGCCGCCGCCGCCGCCGCCGATTGGCATTGCAGCCCGGCAACCAAAGACCTCGAACTCGAACTCGAACAATGGCTTGCCCAGGACGAGGACCCCGGACCGAGCTTCCTCGGGGCGATCCTTTCAGATCTATTTCTGGGGCGTGTCACTGTTCGGCTTCGTGTTGTCTGCATACCTCAGCTCCCTGTACGTGACCTATAAGCGCGAAGTCAGGGAATCAGCGATGCTCGACCTCGCCCCAAACGCGGACGTGTCTAGCCGCTGGCTAGATCTGTCACGCAACTTCGACGACGAGGTCGACATGTCCGAGAAACTGATGTCTCTACGGGCCAAGCGCAGGAACTTATGCCAGCAAGCGCAGGGCAACGTGTTAGAAGTGAGCGCCGGGACAGGGCGGAACATGGACTTGTACAATTTGGATCCGATCAATACACCGCGCAACAGGAGGATCAAGAGTCTCGTGTTCAACGACCAGAGTGAGATCATGGTGTACCAGGCGCAGAAGAGGTTTGAAAGCCTGCAAGAAGAGACGGATGCAATTGCAAAGTTTAGGGGTCCTGTCAGGTTCATCGTCGGAGATGCCGGTGATAAACGGATCATTAATAGACCGGAAGGCGGCTTCGACACCATCATCCAGACAATGGGACTCTGCAGTATGTCGAGCCCTGTGGGATTTCTGAGGAGGCTGGGTGAGCTGTGCAGACAGCCTGGTGAACGGAGTACGGGGTTGGACGTGAATCTCGTGCGGGCGGACAGCCAAGAGAAGCGAAATGATAGCGGCGCTTCAGCAGAGGCGCATGAAACAGCAGCCGGAGATGAGCTGGACAGTGACAAGGGCGGCAAGATTCTGCTCCTCGAGCACGGCCGATCGAATGTCGGCTTTATCAACAAGTATCTCGACAACATTGCCAAACGGCACGCCGACCGCTACGGATGCTGGTGGAACAAAGACATTGAGCAGATTGTACTTGACAGTGGGTTGGTAGTTGAGAGCAAGAAGCGCTATCATTTCGGCACCACGTACGAGTATGTGTTGAGACCGAGGGGCGGATTAGAGAAGGATGCCAGCGAGCGCAAGCCAAGCTAGATAGCATTGTAGAGAGGATAGTGTAATTCAGTGTAATCGTTAATCATTAACCATTCGAGGTGTAAAGCAAGAGAATTAACCATTCGAGGCGTAAAGCAAGAGAGAGCGGTAAGCTTGACCAGGCCGTGTTAGATGGAATGGAAGCTCTCAATAACAGAAGGACAGATGAGGCTGAACCAGAGAGGTAGGACATTCAAGTTGATGGATTGTAGGATCCGAATGCCTCATGTAAATAAATAATTATATTAGGAATTTCCCTTGGTACGGAGTATATATACGGAGTATCCATATCTCCATAACACTACCATTACCCCTTGGTACACCTATGCGAAGATGGATAGATAGGCTACCATACCAGAGAGGACAGGAGTGAAGATAGAGATGCCTACTACTACACACAAAAGTACACATAGGGGGTCAATATTTACTTGCCATTCTGCAGCCGCCTCTCGCATCGCAGCACAGCGGCACATGCCAGACCACAAACACAAGACGACGCAAGCCACATCGCAACCTCGTGGTACTAAGAAACCTTGAAGGCGCCGGCTGCCGTCATCACAGCTATGCTTCAGGTTCAGGTTCAGGTATGGTCTGGATGGCGAGCGCGCACGCAGATGAGGATGGCGATAGTAAGTAGTAGTCGCCCCGACATATTAATATAAGGTGCCCCTTACATACCTATGGTGGATCTTGTGTCCGAGAATACACCCACACCAAAACCCCTGGGGGCCCGCGACCTGACTTCGTACAAGACATGTGGTGTGGTGTGTGACGGAAGGACTTCTTAGACCTTCTTATCTATAGGTAGGTAGGCGGTAGGTATTGAATGTGGGCCCCAGGCAGCGGATTTCACCTCAATAATTACACATTATGTACCTAGGTAGGTACCTTTCTCCGTCCTCTTGCGACCGACACATGAGGAGTCCGGAATAGATAGATAGGGCTGTCGAGCGAGTCCGTTGGAATTTTACGCGAGCGAGTTAGTGAGATAGTGAGACATAGCTTGGTTGACTGCTTGGGTAGTGAGATATACCTAGCTTGGTTGACTGCTTGACTGCTTGACTGCTTGACTGCTTGGCTGTTCTGACTCTCCAAGGTCGGCGGAAGAAGACCGGAAGCGAGTCTATGATGTGGTTGTACTTCGTACGGATACGGATACTCCAATGCTCTCGGTGAAGCGGCTGCATGCCGTTTCGGCTATCGGTCTGTCCTATCTGTGCGGAGGACGGTGTATGCATATACTTCGGTCATGGCAAGGGAGGTGGGTTTGCCACATTTTGAACAAAGAACTGCCCTTGTTGCCTTCAAGAGGAACCATTGGTGTAAGCGCAGCGTCAAGGTCAGGATAACGTGAAATCTTATTCGGGGCACCAAAGGTACGTAACGAGCATCCGTACCTAGCCTAGAGACCACCGGCATGCGAAGATGCAGTTCGCTTCCATGTCTCTCATTCCTAGCGCCGAACAGGGGAGTTTCTCTGGTGTCTCTATCTCTGCAACTTACGTCATGGTGTCCTCGTCCAGTGCGGCGGAATGGATGAGATCGACAGGCTGACTGCATCCCAAACCGTCACTCCCAATGGGTTGTTATGCTTATGCAGAACCATGGTTGCCACTTCGTAGAGACCGGAAATGGACAGAGATCTCTGCAAGAAATACTCCGTAGATAGTAACTGGAAGAGCCCAATCCATTGACTGCTGCGCTGCCTTGGTGGTGTCGAGATGGTAGATGATACCCTCGAATGCAGCTGCCATTGCCATTGGCCAGCTGCAAAAGACACGGACCCACGTTATATAGGCTAGGTTCGTCGATTGAAACTTCGGAGGCCTGTGCAGATCTCTGGAGTCAATGCTTTGACTAACTCCAGTCAATTTCATGCTCTCAGAACTCATGAAATCGACAGTGCTCCCCGTCACGGGGTGCGGGGCGTGCAGTTATTTAGCATTATTGCTTTCGAACTCGAGTATGACTTGGTCTGTGTCTGTTTAGTCCTCCCTTGCGACCAACGTCGTGAATCCTGGAGCTCGGGAAGCGTAGATCGACTGCCCTGATCATCGAGTCAATAGTGTCCTCGTTTGGACGGCTAGTCTCGACGTGCTCAGAAGCGAATTCGGTTGGAACCCAATCGCTGGAGATGGACTGGCCTGATTGAGGCGGATTTGACACCTGTCTCAGCTCTTGCGTTGAACTACGTACCACCACGGGAGGTTTCAAGGTTGTGAAGGAGCCACTCGCTTCTCTTCCCCAGTCAGGCACTGGTCACGTGAGGGATCGGTCTGCCGTCCTGGTGTTGACGGATGTATCGGGGAGTGGATTTGCCGCAAGGCCAGACGGCACCGTTGGCCCATTTTTTTTTTGCTCTTCCCACACCTCTTTTCATCGTTTGAGAGAGACGTCAACAATGAGGTAAGCGGAGGGTCACGTTTGAGGAGGCGATCGAGGTGGTACCATAGATCGAGATGAGGACATCTGGAACGTTGGGCCAATACCAAACATGTGGGCGTCTCTCAGAACACCTACCCCAAGCCAGTGCGCATGGCTGCCTGTCTTCAATCCTCTTGCTCTGCTGTTGAACCTGGCGCAACCGGCGTCGCGCGGAGCAACCACACCTGTGGTCAGCGATGTCATGGCACATGCCGTGCAGGAGGAGGAAAGTTGCCTTGCGAGTGGCTGATGGCTGATGGGAGAGGGGTCCATAGAATCAAGGCCAGGTAAGTAGCGACGGCTAGTTCGCTTCTACGTTGGATGGATTCTTTGTGAGAGGGAAAAAATTTCAGAAAATACTTTTTGCTTACGGGGTGGAGGGCGAGAGGGGCAGGCTGATTGGTAGAAAAAGCGCAGTTTGGGACGTCGGGGGCTGCACTGCGGGTGTCATAATGGATCCAGGTGACAGGAAGTCGAGCCACCCCCTGGAGGGTGCGCCCCCGGCCATACGGGCCTAAACTCTTTTTCGTCTGAGACGCCGGATTTGTCTCCCACTTCCACCTCCTGCTGTGGCCGTCAAATGCTTACTTTGGTACTCTGTACTTCGGCTGCAGCTCGATATCCCTTGTTGTTGGTTTGCCGCTTAGCGAGGGTTCGTCTACAACAATCCGCACCTGCCGTGTCGTAGCTGGTATGATCTCGACTGACGGAGTATTATAGGGGTCAGCTGCGAGAAACGCACGCTTTGATCCCTGCGGTTGCGTTGCCGATGCAGATCCTTGTCTGCAAGGAGTACGGATACCATTGTCTCCTTTGGTCGCATGCTTTGTTTCTCGAAATCAAGGACAGCACGCCACCCTGTGTTTGAGCCGTTGTCACCTACACCTCGTAACACATGTTCCTTTTCCCTGTGACATCGGCGATGGCTGCAGCTGAGGCTGGGAGGATGACTCGAACAAAGCCAAAATTGACAACGAGCGACGTGAGAGGTGGGTGTCATGGTCTGCGGTGAGGCGGATTGGCTGTGTGGGTGTGGGCGTGGGCGTGAAGAGTTGAGATAGACAATTGACAGTGGTTTGACTGGTGTCACTACATACAGATAGTGCTCCGTACACGGACGGCTCTGTGACAACCTGATACCGCATCCGCGCCGTTTAGAGCAGAACGGAGACGGCGTAGGGGTGGCGGCGATACTGAAAGGGGCACTAGTCAGGTGTCTAGAGCCCAAGGGGCGCCAGGGGACAGAATTCGACCTTGAGGTTAGTGGGCGATGGCGATGTTCTCGGATCTTAAGTCATGACCTTCAGGCTTCTACGGAGCCAAGTGTGGTGGATCGCTCCAGCTGGCCTGAGGCCTGAGGCGGGATTTGCAGCGCTGAAAGGAAAACCCATCCACTGGCACTGCGCCAGGCACCTACCAGCACGTCCAGCACGTCCTGGCACCAGCGCCCACGAGGGCTTTTCCCCCCTTCCAGTTCCAAAATAATCATTCCGCCACCGCCCGCATCACAGTACGTAGGTACCTAGTTTTCTCTCTCGCCATCATACCAAACGTAACCCGATCCGCCTCTGCGACCAGCTCCCAGCTCCCAGCTACTGAAATTTTTGTCACCATTCCCTTTTCTTCTGTGTCTTCCTCCTCGAGCGCTGCCAGTGTATCACGGCAATTTCGGTACCAGATTCCTCCAAACGTTGTTCTTCGTATCCGAAGCAGCTGCGACGCCTGTCACAACATCCCACAGGCAACCAGCCCGAGCCCGTCAATTACTATTGGACCCCAACTGCATCCAGGCAGCAGGCTCCCGCCGTGCAGTAGTAATAATAATACTACCGCCGTGACCACCACCACGAATCGATTCGCATCGCATCGACGCATCCTCTGCAAGGAGAACAAACAAACATCCAGGAAGGCACTTCAGCTGCATGACCCGGCACCATCTCTATCACCATCACCATCACCCTCGCCCATCACGGTCGGCGACACCTCAGCCCGCGTCTGGTTGATCAGTCTGCTTACCGCTGTTTGACCCTTCTCACCAGTCAATTGGCGGTCGCGAGATCTTGACGCAAGGAGGCGGAAGCACTACCAGTCGAGCTTCTCCCTTGCACCCTGCTGCAGAGTTTGAAGCGCTCCCATTGCTCCGCGCTCCCCCCGGCACCTTGCATCGCAGCCACGCATTCCAGCCTGCCTTGCTCCTCCAATCGCGCCCTCGCCGCTCAGTTGGCCAGCCGTCGCACTTGCGCACTCCCCTGGCCTGGCCGCATCCTGAATCATCATTCGCATCCATCCCCAAACATTATTATCTGCCACACCTGTTGTACCACTACTACACGACATTTCCCTCCCACCCTCTTGGTGTGCGCGACCATTTCCCCTTCTCTGGACTTTGTCGTTATACAACATCGCGACGACAACCTCACTCTCCGCCTCCCGGCCGACACATGCCACGCCCACACCATGCCTTACAACACTCGTCGGAAGTCTTTGTCGCTGCCTTCGCTCGGCATCCATCTGCCTAACGCCTCTCGCGTTCACCGCCCAAGTCCCAAGGCTACACCCACCGCCGAATCCACACCTGCTCCTCCAGCAAAGAAACTCAAACGGTCGCACGATGCCGACGAGCCTCTGTCTCCCATTTCCTCTCCACGCTCCAAGACGGGCTCTCCCGCCATCGACCTCCCAGCGTCTACAACCACGCCACTACGCAGAGGCGCAGCCGAACATACGCCTCCCCCCTCTCCGGGTCTGACTGCCCAGGTGCGCAAAGTCGACACAGCTGGTATCAACGACGACATAGTGATTGCCGTAATTGAACAATTGGAAAAGACGGGCAACCGGCCACACCTCATTAGAGACCTTGCCGCGATACTAGCCTCCACCAACTCTAGCATTGCACAGTGAGTAGTGGCGCATGAACTTGTGTGGAAATTGACACGGTACTGACGCTGCAAATAGTTCTGCCAATCCTGCCGCATTACTTTCATCGCGTCTGAGTCTATACCTCAAGCGGCCATGGACCGCTCTCTCACCTTGCCCGCTCGCCAAGGAGCTCATTCCCGTCCATCCACGGAAAGTGTTCTTTTTCTTGACGACACAACCACGGTTACCATTGCCTGAGAAGTCGGACGACATCCTCCCGCCACCACTGATCTCTGTCAAGACCCTGACTCCCAGTGTGTCGGATCAGAGCCAGGTCGATGATGAGCTGGAGGTGGATCAGCGAGATCGAGCACGTTTTTCTCCCAGCCCTGAAGTAGAACTATATTCTCCCGAATTGGATCAAGAGGACTCTATGGAGCCGTCGACACCGGGGGAATACTTCAGCGCCAGAAGTAGTCTCAACCCAGATGGCACACCAGAGACCCGTCGAAGACCCAATCGAGCACCAAGTCCGCCTCTGGAAGCAGACGAGCGAGGCTTCACCGAAACGGCAACGGCAGTCCGGGCTCGTGGCGTGAGTCTTCAAACTCACACGGTGCAGGCGTCAGTTGAAGTTGAGGACACAGCCCGACCCCTCGAGGCGTCGGAAGAGACACCCGAACAGCGGCAGAAGCGCGACCGCGAGCTTGGAATGGAACTCTTCGGACAATCCCATTCAAGCCTGCACGTGCCAGAACAGAAGATGTTCTCGAGTAGCCCCATGATCCAGGCACGAGAAGACCAGCCTGGCACCATGGCTAAGATGGACATTGCCCTGCAATTGGACGACATTGCGATGGGAGAGGTTTCTTGGACCATCATGAGTCCCGAGCAGATCGACGTCGACGAGCTCGACACACTGTTCACGGGATTCTAGACATGATCTCTTGCTTCGCATGTCGATATGGCGGCAACACCCCACTCACCTCACCCTCCCGTCTTTGAACTGAGATCGATAATCCCCTAAGCTCTTTGACGCATCTGTCCGCTTGCTCGCTAGCCTAGCTATTGTATTTCTTGTGAGAAGGACATGTTGGTCTGTTGCCTGGAACATTTCGCTCGTCCGAAGGCTGGAAAATAAGGCAACGGTTCTGCTTAGCTAAAGCTTTCCTGCTGATCATATGAAGAAGAAATCTGTGAAGACGATAGTATGCGGACAAGACCATGTAGCGTTAGCAATTGCCAGTGACTGGGTAGCTGGCTGAGTGACATTTGGGCCATTGAAACCGGGACGGCTGAGGGGCGCATGTATCATTGATGAGAGTTCCATGTACCAAATACGGATTCTGTGTCCGTTTGGAGAGAGATGTGCATACGATCGAGATGTTTCCGAATCCGAATGCAAGTGGACTTCGCTTGGAGGGTTCCCGTACGGAGTACAGGACATGACTCTAGAAGCTTCGTATGTGTTCCTCCGTACTCCGTACTCCGTATAGGTGCGGTAGTTACCTTGGGTAGGCCCTGGGGGGTTATGTAACGATTGTGTTAGTGGCTCGACGAGTCAGAAAGCCCAATCCCGACTCCACGAACGTGTTGGTAAGCGGACGAAAGGCGGACCAGGACGAAAGGCGGACCAGGACGGAAGGAAGGAAGGAAGGAAGGATTAGAATTATTCATCACTGCTGCAGGGCCGAGGGGGCCTGAGGCAGTGCACCCGACAGGGCTCCGTAGATACTACTAGATACTAAGATAGTAGATACCCAAGGGCCCAAGGGGGCAAGGAATACGAGCTGATGAAGCCAGAGTGGACGATCTGGGCGGAGGTCAATCTGGATGGTCAATCTGGGCGGTCAATCTGGGATTTATGCGCTGGCCCGCTGGGTGACTCGTGCGGATCGGATATGCCTTGTTCCAGCGACGGTCGAAGTGCCACTTGCCAATTTCGTAGTAGTATGAGGATGCGTTTTGACTCAGCCTCGCCGACAGATCAGTCAGGATCAGGCTGCTCAGCAATCGACCGTGTGTGTGCGTATGTGAATTATCCATTGCTTTGCTCTCCATCGAACACACTCAGGGTCCGGGTAGCGGAGGGGCCGCAGTCTCTGACTCAGACTCTGCGCTGTGGACACTGGACCGACCGAGCTGACTGCCCAAGTTATACACAGCTGGGCGCCAAGGCGTTTCCGGGAGCCGGCTGCATAAGACAGACACTAGGCTGTACGGGGCCTAGTGCAGGAGCTTTGTGCAGCACCAGCCGGACTTAAGATTTTAAAGTGGCAGCCTGATTATTGCACTGGCCCGCTTCGCTGTTGTGCCTGGTGGAACCGCAGGCGGCCTCAACCATCCATCCTTAGCCTCTCTAATAGCCTGTCAATATATCGATCGTCCTTCTCTCCCATCTCCCATCTCCCACCAACTACTTCTACTGCCTACCCTTCAAACTTCAATAATAATATCGTTGTTGTTCTTGTCCTACCCTTCTCTGGCGTGTCTCGGACGCCCTGTACCCCGGCCAGCTCGATTGCGGCCGAAGCGTTATACAGACCACGAGTACCGCCCTCTTTTCACCTTGCCTGCACCCTTTTTTCAGCTTGCTTACGTCCGGCCTAATTCGTCCGGTCCAACTTGCCAAACGCGTCTTCACCCGCCCAGTGTCAGGACCACCATCGCTTCGCTCTCACAATCGCTGTTCTTTTTCCTCTCCTCCATGGGTCTCGTTCTACCCTGATCGACCACATCGCCCTCCTTTGCCACCACTAGAGAGCCCTTGCCATCATGTCTCTCGTAGGAAACGTTACTACCAATTTCGACCACTCCATCAACACTCGCGGGCCTGGAGATCCATCTCACTATCGTCGGGAGTCTGAGACGGACGTGGGGTTTCATCCATTCCGGTCTAGATCAAAAGACGGCCGCACCGCGAACGATGGCTCCCATCCCGCCCAGGACCCTGAAAAGAAGGGCGAATCTTCCAGCAGTTCAACTGACGACGGCGCGGACCGGGTCAAGGACCTGGCTAGACAACTGACTCGAAGTTCCACCTTCTCTACCACCGGGGTCAATCCTTTTGACACCGAGCCCGATTCCATCTTGGATCCCAACTCGGAGAATTTCAAGCCCAGCGCCTGGATCAAGGCCCTGTTTAAAGCACAGAAAGAAGACGATCGATTTCTGGCCAGGACGGCTGGTGTCGCCTTCCGCGACCTGAGTGTCCATGGCTTCGGTGCCGCCACCGACTACCAGAAATCCGTGGGCAATGTTATTTTTGAAGTCCTCGGCATAGCCCGCAAACTGATGAAAGTCGGCCAGCAGAGAATTGACATCCTCCGCAACTTCGACGGCCTCCTCCTCCCTGGAGAAATGCTGGTCGTGCTGGGGCCTCCCGGCTCAGGCTGTTCGACCTTTCTCAAAACCATCGCGGGCGAGACCCATGGCTTCAACGTGGACAAAGACTCGCACATCAACTACCAGGGGATCAGCTTCCACGAGATGCACAAGCACTTCCGTGGAGAGGCCATCTACACTGCCGAGCAGGATGTCCACTTCCCGCAACTGTCCGTCGGCGACACCCTCTACTTTGCCGCCCGCGCCAGAGCGCCCAGGCACATTCCCGGCGGCGTGTCGCGAGACACTTATGCGTCACACATGCGAGATGTCATCATGGCCACCTTTGGCATCCGCCACACATTCAACACCCAGGTTGGCAATGACTACATTCGAGGCGTCAGTGGTGGAGAGAGGAAGCGGGTCAGTATTGCCGAGGCTGCGTTGAACATGTCTCCTCTTCAATGCTGGGACAACAGTACTCGTGGTCTGGACAGCGCCAACGCCATCGAATTCTGCAAGAGTCTGCGCGTGTCGACCGACATCCTCGGTGCCGCGGCTGCCGTGGCCATTTACCAGGCGCCCCAGAGTGCTTATGATCTCTTTCACAAAGCAGTCGTGCTCTACGAAGGCCGACAGATCTACTTTGGCCCCACGGGCGAAGCTAGAGATTACTTTGTCCGGATGGGTTTTCACTGTCCTGACCGTCAGACCACTGCCGATTTTCTAACTTCCATGACCAATCCCCAGGAAAGAATTGTCGAAAAAGGCTTTGAGAACAAGGTTCCGCGCACTCCAGACGAGTTTGCAAAGGCCTGGAAAGAAAGCCCCGAGCGCGCCAAATTGCTCCGAGATATCGAAGAGTTTGACAAGGCACATCCCATCGGAGGCCCGGACCTGGAAAGGTTCAAGGAATCCAGGAGACTCCAACAGGCCAAACAGCAACGCGTTTCCTCGCCATATACTCTGTCATATGGCCAGCAAGTCAGCCTTTGCCTGTGGCGTGGCTTCCGTCGGTTGGTGGCAGATCCCAGTCTGACGGTCACCCAACTGGTAGGCAATAACATCCTGGCCTTGATCGTCAGTTCCATCTTCTACAACCTCGACGGCACCACTAACTCGTTCTATTCCCGTGGAGCTCTGCTCTTCTTTGCCATCTTGATGAATGCTTTCGGTTCCGCGCTGGAAATTCTGACTCTCTACGCTCAACGCCCCATCGTCGAGAAGCACGCCCGATATGCACTATATCATCCATCGGCTGAAGCTTTTGCATCCATGTTGGCGGACATGCCCTACAAGATTGTCAACAACATCCTTTTCAACATTATCATATATTTCATGACCAACCTACGAAGAGAACCCGGGGCCTTCTTTTTCTTCATCCTGATCTCCTTCTTTTTGACGCTGGTCATGAGTATGCTTTTCAGAACCATCGCCTCCGTCTCTCGCACGCTCAGTCAAGCTCTGGCACCCGCTGCAATTCTCATTCTAGCAATCGTCATCTACACGGGTTTCGCCATTCCTGTCAACTACATGCTAGGCTGGGCTCGTTGGATCAACTATCTCGACCCTGTGGCATACGGTTTCGAAGCACTCATGATCAATGAATTCACTCACCGCAAATTCCCGTGTGCGAATTATGTACCGACTGGTGCTGGTTATGGCGACGTGGGCGATTTCAACAAAGTGTGCTCTACTGTTGGATCTAAACCCGGTCAATCATACGTGAATGGTGACGACTATCTCAACAGCAATTACCAGTATTACACCTCTCACAGATGGCGGAACTTCGGCATTCTCATTGCATTCCTGATTGGATTGTCATGTACGTATCTCGTGGCGGCGGAATTTGTGGCTGCAAAGAAATCAAAGGGCGAAGTGCTGGTCTTCAGACGCGGCCATAAACCAGCCGCACTCAAGGAGAAAGCAGTCCAAGATGCAGAAGCTGGTGGTGCGGGCACTGTGGCTACTGCGCAGAACGACGACCGCGCCCTTGCACCTATCTCCAGCATCATCCAGAAGCAGACCGCCATCTTTCAATGGAAAGATGTCTGCTATGATATCAAAGTCAAAGGAGGCGAGCGACGACTTTTGGATCACGTGGATGGTTGGGTCAAGCCCGGTACCCTGACAGCCCTGATGGGTGTTTCTGGAGCCGGAAAGACAACGCTGCTCGACGTCCTCGCCACGCGTGTCACCATGGGTGTCATCACTGGAGAGATGCTGGTGGATGGCCAACAACGAGATGATTCCTTCCAGCGTAAGACAGGATATGTCCAACAGCAAGATCTGCATTTGGAAACGTCCACAGTCAGAGAAGCTATGAACTTTAGCGCCCTGCTCCGTCAACCGGCACACATCCCTCGGGAAGAGAAGCTGGCTTACGTCGACGAAATTATCAAGCTTCTCGAGATGACCGAGTACGCCGGTGCAGTCGTTGGTGTGCCTGGTGAAGGTCTCAACGTCGAGCAGCGTAAACGACTTACTATCGGTGTCGAGTTGGCGGCAAAGCCACAATTACTGCTGTTCTTGGACGAGCCCACCTCCGGTCTCGACTCTCAAACTTCCTGGTCTATCCTCGATCTGCTAGAAAAACTGAAGAACAACGGACAGGCTATCTTGTGTACTATCCACCAGCCGTCTGCTATGCTCTTCCAGCGCTTTGACCGGCTGCTCTTCCTGGCCAGAGGTGGTAGGACAGTCTATTTCGGCCCCGTCGGCGAGTCGTCCAAGATCTTAACCAGCTACTTCGAACGAAACGGCTCCCACAAATGTCCTCCGGATGCAAACCCGGCCGAATGGATGTTGGAAGTCATTGGCGCTGCCCCCGGGTCACATACTGACATCGACTGGGTCGAAACATGGCGCAACTCGCCCGAGTTCCAAGAAGTCCGTGCTGAACTGGACCACCTCAAGCATGAGCGGTCCCAGTTGACCCGTGTTGTATCCCACAACACCGACAAAGCAAGCTTCCGCGAATTTGCGGCCCCCTTCCACATCCAGCTGTGGGAAGTCCAGAAGCGTGTCTTTGAACAATTATGGCGCACCCCGTCTTACATCTACAGCAAACTGTTCCTCTGCATTGCATCTGTGAGTTACCCAACCAATCCCAGTCCCCGATTGACCGTCGTCTGCCCGAGCTATTGACTAATCATCCTCCTAACCCAGGGTCTCTTTATCGGCTTCTCCTTCTTCAAAGCTCGCAACACGATCCAAGGCCTACAGAATCAAATGTTCGGTATTTTCATGTTGACGACCATTTTCGGCCAACTCGTGCAGCAAATCATGCCTTTGTTCGTGACCCAGCGGTCGCTGTACGAAGTCCGCGAACGCCCGAGCAAGACGTACTCATGGAAGGCGTTCATGATAAGCAACATAGTCGTCGAAATCCCCTGGTCGACCCTGTGCGCCGTCCTGATCTTTGTGACATGGTATTACCCGATCGGCTTGTACCAGAACGCAGAGCCAACAAACTCGGTCCACGAACGCGGCGCCCTGATGTTCCTGTACATTCTCTGTTTCCTACTCTTCACCTCAACCTTCGCGCACATGACGATTGCGGGCATCGCCGACGCCGAGACGGGTGGCAACATTGCCAACTTGGCTTTCTCGCTGACGCTGCTGTTCTGTGGTGTCCTTGTCGGGCCCAAAGCCTTACCCGGGTTCTGGATCTTCATGTACCGCGTCTCCCCCTTCACCTACCTGATCGACGGCATGCTTAGCACCGCCGTCGCACATACTAAAGTCATCTGCGCCAAGAACGAGTACCTTAACTTCGACCCGCCCTCAGGCCAGACCTGCGCCGATTACATGCGCTCTTACATGAACGCTTCGGGCGGATACCTCCAGGACCCGTCGGCGACGACCAATTGCGGATACTGCCCGATTGACAGCACCGACACCTTCCTTGCCGGCATCTCCGCCCATCCTAACCTGACATGGCGCAACTTCGGTCTACTTTGGGCCTACATCGTGTTCAACATCGCCGCCGCCATCTTCTTTTATTGGTTGGTCCGCGTCCCCAAGAACAAGCGCAAGGGAAAGAAAGAACTTGCCAGTCCAAAAGCCAGCAAGGACGCAAGCGTCGTCGACGCGCATGCGACCACCGAAACCACGGAGAATGAGAAGCACACGCAGAGTGAGCCACACGCCGCACCCGTCACCACGACTACAACGGCGGAACCCACACATCCTGTCGATGCACAAGAGAAAGCAGAGCAGAAATAGGGCGGGGGCAGGATGATTCGTCAACACCCCCCGTCTCTTCTTTCTCTTCGGCCGTCGTGTCTTGTCGAGAACATCTCCTGTTCCTTGTCCCTGCGGCTGTGCTGTCTGGTTTTGGCCCCCTCTTGGTCTGGGGATACAGCCTATGCAGCCATCTTGAGTTGACCTGATAAGCAATGTCTTCGGAATCTCCGATGCCGACTTCCGGATGTTCTGGCGCATCACAATTCCAGCCACGGACAATGGAGGGGAGAGGGGAGAAGGGAGGCTGGAGGAGGGAGAGGACAGAGCGGTCCCTTTGGTCCTCTATCTCAAAGAACGGAGTCCCTCCGTCCCAATGACGGGGAACAGTCCCGTCAGGGGGGTTTTTTTTTTGTAATGTTTGTTATTTGCTGGTTTTCAATTTCCGGTGCCAGTCCCGCGATAAAGCTGGTAAAAGTAGAAAGTTTAGAATCGTCCAAGTGTCACATAGATTTCGAGTTGGAGTCTTTTCTCGAATGGTTTCACACAAGAGCCTTGACATACAATACATAGTTAATCCATCCATCCTCGAGCCAGCCATCCTCACACTATAATGCATATCGATCGGTATAATACATCCATTCGGTATGTTCGGTAATGTGCCAGAGGTGTCGTCGACAGTGACTCGAGTCATACAAGCCGTGGCCCAATGCAATGGCTTCGGGAACAATCATCATAACTGGCTCTAGTGGTGGTTGGATGGAGATGTCTACATATGTACTCGGTACATATGTCAGGTAGTTCCCCTGTAGACAGCGTAAACAGCGCTGCTCGGCTGAGACTGAACCCTGACGAGAATCTTTGCAGGTCTATCTTTGTTGTTTAGACATTACTTGATATTACTTAGCTCTTCTCCATCATGTGGAATCTATCTGTGCGCCATGCATCAAGCTGTGTGCAATCCCGAAGCCACATCTAGAAACTTTTCGCTGAACAATCCCGCCATCATGTTGTCATTACACCATGAAGTTCAGCCACCTCTGTCATTGCCATTCATAGCCAGAATATCACGCCTGCGCCCACCGCAATCAAGCAGACCACCATACCCATGACTCCTGCGTCGCTGTACAGTGCCGGCCCAGAAACCGTTCTGCCAGCCGCACCTTTGGAGGTGGCAGAGCTGGCCGCGGCTGATGTGGTGCTGGTGCTAGTACTACCCGATGATGGGGTGACTGTCGAACTGTAAGTACTACTGGTCTGCGCAACGGAAGAGGTTTTGATCGTGATGCTGCCTTTCGGAACACCACTAGGCATACCTGCGGAAACGCCCGCCGCACCCATAGTGGGCAGAGGAGCACTGGGATCAACTGTCCATCCTCCAGCCGTGGAACTGGGGCAAGCTGGTGGAGTGACGGTGACGGAGGCGGTATAATCCGCCGACTTCACACCGGTAGGGGTCAAAGTCTTCCATTGTTGTGCAAGATTGCTGAAATCAGGTTGCACCGGTGTTGGGGTACCTTGACGAGTGAACCTGCAGCCGGTCAGCTTGACTCTTACTCGCAGCTCTGATCTGTTAGCCATCGTTACCCTTGAATGACACTCGATCCTTGATTGACATCCGCCCCGACTTGCGGTCCATACGAAACCAACCCATATTGATTGGTTTCCTGAATCCACTCGTAGATCATTGCTCCGGACCAGGTGTTGACCATGTCCGGGCCAAAAATCGCCGCTTGGTCGTCGAATGTACGTGGGGGAACCGTATTGCAACCGTCCTCTGAGAAGAAAATAGGCACCGGGTAGTTTGCGGCGTCTGCTTGCAAGGCGACATAGCCAGAGGTTTGGTATGTCGGCGTGGATCCGCACCACTCGTAGCTGTTTAGAGCATAGAAGTCCAGGCGCTCCGTCGCGTTAGGACGGCACACCAGATAATCCTGCAGCATGGGTCGAAGGATAGCTGTGTCCGTCGCCGAATAGCCGATAGGGATCTTGCGGTACTTTCGGGCGTCTCGATAAGTCTTGAGATCGACAGCGGCGGATAGGACATAGGGGGCAGCTCCTGCGTCGTCCACTGCAAGGTGTTAATGTCTCAGCCTTGTTCCAAGGGAGTTGCTCAACATACAAGTGTTCAAGACCTCATTGCCCACAAACATGCCCGCGGTGTTGTCGTACTGTTGGAAGTTGTCCAGGACAGCCCGGTAGGATTCCGATTTGTTCTCTGTCCATGAGGCTCCGCTTTCCTGGTCTGCATCAGTGGTGCTGTTCCCTCAAAGGACTTAGCTAGTTCAGGTGTTCGTACGAATCGAATGTATGTCTTGAAACTGTCCATGTCCACAAACACGTATATCCCAGCCGCAGCGAACGCATTCATACACCCTTGATGGTTCGCAGAAGGGTCAACATGGTACACACGGATTGCATTGGCACCCAGTTGCTGCATGAGGGTAGCGTCAAGTTGACATTGCGTAGCGTTGACCAGAGGATCGTCTTCGACCAATTGATAGGCAACACCTGTGAGAATACGTCTATTAGCACATGTCTCGGACGGTTGTGATTGTTCTGGACTTGCCTTTAATAAAGAATTGATTACCATCGCTTGTGAAGAACTTGGAGCCGACTGCTGAGATGGTGGGAATTGAATTGACAGTGACACAGATGGCCGCCAGAACCAGGAGGGCGAAAGTTGACAAACGACACATGGTTCTTGGATTCCTCGGACGGAGATTAACGAAAGAGACTTTTCAGGGAGGCAATTAGACAGTGCCAATGTGAAAGAAAGACTGGAGCGGGCGAAAAGTGAGCTGATGAAGTTTGGTGATCCTCCAAGTGTTGTGTCCTCCGGCTGTAGATGGCAGGCAGGCCCACGGTCCCGTAGAACACAACAGTGTTGCCCAAGAATATGTGCAGGAGAAGAGAGGTCGTTTGCCCAAAGCAGTGAGCCTGTTGCAAAGCGCCGATGAAGGAAAAATTAAGTGAAGATTAAGGGCAGTCTGGTGAAAGCGACGGCTTGAGATAACGGGCAGGTGCAGGTGCAGGCGCAGGCTGTCCTGTAACAGAAGGCCCGACTGCGACCGCAACGACACAGCAGCAACAACGAGAGGAAGGACGATGCAGGTCAGTCAAGAGCGAGAGACATCGCCGACACTCTACCAGCGACAAAGAACAAGGCAAAAGGGACTCGACGGCGTGGAAGAAGAAGAGAGAACACAACACCACACTGTGCAGCTTGACTCGCAGCTATCATTACAATAATAGTAGTACAGCCCCAGATTCCGTAGTGGCTTGCTGGGCACCTTTTAGTCTGCTTCAGAGCAGTCAATCGATCAATCAATCAGTCAATCAGTCAATCAAGCGGAAGTGCAGCCGTGGAAAAAGGACGCGATGTAGGATTAGGAGATGGTGGTCGCCCACGACCATGCCGTTATCCAGTTATCCATGAGACGGGTGAAAGATGCGACGTGGGTGTGGATGTGAGTGTGGGTGCGACAAGGATCACGATAACCTTGAAAGTTGGCAGTAGCCTAAGCCTAGGACGGCAGCTGTGGCACCTATCTGGCATGGAGGGACGGGGGGTTAGGGGGCTAAGCATGCCTGTGGGGTGCCCGGAAGGTCAAAGAATGCAGTGCCTGGCTGCCAACTGTGCCATGTAATTAGTGGTGGTGGTGGTGGGGTTGGTCGGTAGCATAGGCTCCGGTTTAGCGGGCAAAGGACCCGGCTGCCTGCTCCGACCTGAAGAATGACAATGCACGATCGAGGACGGCACCTTCCATGGCTTAGGCGACTGCTACTCACGGTACCTAGCACCTATAGGTATGTACGAGTACTCCGTAGGTAGCTGTCGCCGCACGACTCAAAGCTGCGTAGCCGTCCGTATGTTAGACATAGGAGAGTGTTCTATAGACCCGGTCCAGGCAGTATGGAAACTTGCATTTCTCGAACGAGGAAGAAAAAATGGAGACCTCTCTGGGTTAAGGCTTCGATTCTGCTTCGATTTTTCTTCAGCTACGGCGGTTCCACAGTAGGAAATGGCAACCTTCCCTGTGGTGCCAGATCCTGGATCATGCGAAGCCGTACCACCGTTTGAAACCCATTTGATCGCCTGCTTCACACGCGACATTGCATGGAGTATCCGTACACTTGTGACCCTACTTGGGCCAGGGACGGTTGTTGATCTCGACTGTCTTGCTCTACCACCACCACCACCACCACCACCAGCTCATCCGGTCGAGGAAAACTGCATTATGAAGTAGGCTGTGCCAAGTCACCTATCCAGGCACACCCTATTGCCACGAGAACAGAGCCAGATGCGATAGCAAACCCAGAGCTCGTCGGGTATCTCGTGTCTCTCGTCAGTCCTGTAAACTCCCGAGAAAATGAAAACGAAGCCGCACATTCCATGCTGTTCTCGCTGTCCAATTCCGTAACACCTTGCTGACCCAAGATGCATTCATTGCCCTTTGGTGGCTCCCAGCCCACGAAAGCAAGTGACAAGGGGCATGCATCCCTTGCACAATTACACAAGCGCCCGTCGAATGACAAACACACCGACTTCTACTCCTGCGTTCCCCGCCATCTCCCGGCTGTGGCGGATGCCGTCCACCACCTCTCGCGCCAGCATTCCCGGAGTGATCTCAATTTGGCCCTGTCGAGCTGGCATGCGACCACCAGACTTGTGATAGTCCACCAGGTTTTGTCGCAGGCGAGGCTGCTCTTGTTCCACATACCACTCTTTCCAGAGTGCCCGGTCGAGCACCACCTCGGTGGTTTCAGAATGTACAATCTCGTACCGACTGGGGAGCCCGCGGGACGGCGCTCTTTGTCCTAGCTCCCTGCACATGGTCTCTAGCAGTTGTTGAATCTCTTCGAAGCTCTTCATGCCGGCCACCCCGGCCATCTCCCCTAGCTGTATCGCGAGTTCCATATAAAGACCGTTCAGTAAAACAAATTGCCGAAGGAAAGGTTCGATGACGGGACCGATGTATTTGTTGGTGAATGTGGAACCTCCCACTTTCGTAGGGTACACGAGCAGCAAACTGCCATTATTCGCCGAGAGTTCAAGAAGGCGATCAGCGAGGTAGGATCGTCTGCTCAAACTGAAAAAATCGTCAACTTCTCGAGTCGTCGTGGGCGGAATGTAGCGTTCGAGAATGGAGAGGTGAATACTGCTTGGCGCGGCGATTATGTTCGTCGACCGAGAACTAGAAGGGATGGGCGGCTGGGCATGGGAGTGATAAGCGGGAACCACAGCGGCATGGGTAAAGACGGTCTGATCTTGGAAATAGTCGTCGCTCGAGTAGTTGGTGTTGGGAGTGGCCGGAGGGGACGCTGGTACTTCATCCATACTGATGACCTGAGAGACCGCGTGTGTGATGGTGATGTAGGGGGGAGATGCGAATCGGCCTTGAACCACTTCAACAACTTTCTCGAATACTGGCCGGGTATCTAAGGATTTCGCTTGCGACGGTAATGCTTGGACGACCATTTGGAGTTGCTGCTGATTACTCGTATCTCCTAGAGCCAGAACTGTACCGCTGGGTCAGCTCTAGTTTCAGATGAGGAAGAGAGGATGCTTACCAAGCTGCTGGCAGGCTCGCCCGAGCCAATTAGATCGAGTGGACTCGTCCTGATTCATGTTGGATCTGGCCGGCATCTGTATCTCTGAAGGCCTGGATGTCGGACTCGGGCGGGTCTGGTCCTGATCCTGACGAGAAGATCGGTCCTCGACGTTCATCACTTTGCGCAGACCCTTCTCGGGGTTGAAGTACAAGGGTGTGTCCCAGTCGAATGCGTCAAGATCCTCAGGAGGTGTAAGCGGGGGAAGACCTCCGCAAGACGCGGCCAGAGATTGCGCCCAAGGGTGTGAGGCAAAGGCGCGAATTGGAATGTTTGTAGACACTGAGTTGCGCGCTGCCGCATGGTCCTTATGCTCATCTCTGGCAGACCAAGGCGCGGGCTCGACACTTCCGGTGCAAGGGGACGCCATTGCAGACAGGCGCCCGTGACAGAAATTGTCTTCATCTTCCACACCTTCTCCATCAACTGAGCTTAACGATGACCTTCTCCTGATCCGGGGTCGTGAGAGCCTCTTCTTCATGAACCGTCCTTCACCACTCCTGGGCCTGTCCAAACTCACTCCAGCCCACAACGCTCTTGAACTGTCCCAAGATTCACATCCAGCCTTGTCAACAACTTCAACAAAGCCTTGAGCAGGCACTTCGGGCCATTCTTTTGAGGGAGAGATCAAAGGCACCTCTCGGATCTGAATGACGGCGGGGAGCCGCTTGGGTATTGTGAGCCAGCCATTGTCCAGCGATAAAGGCTGGGAGGGCATTGGCGAGACTCGAAGGGTCGCCAACAAGCACTGCGCGACTGGAGGAGGCACGGCAGACGAGGAAACTCGCAGAAAACGGCTTGGAAATCGTGGACGGGGGCTGCTGGCAGGACAGCCCGAGAAACCGTGCTGATCAACCAGGTGGTAAAAAACAGAAATCTGAACTCCTCATTTAGGCCAAGGACCACTTCTAAGTTCGCAAATCAGTGTGCAAAGGGTCTGACTGCAACGAGGAAATCCGACGTCAAAAGAGGAAGAGGGAAGGATGGTAAAGAACAGACTACTAGCTAGTCGTTGGTCGGGGGTGGAAGAAAGGGAACGATGTCTGGCATAGGCAGCCGGCCACTGCACTGCTAGCTGGTGGTCAGGCAAGAATTGTCACATTCGCACATCGAGGGCTCCGGAAGTTACGTGGACACTTGGACCGCGCTGGTGAGGCATTACCTGCAGAACAGGCACAGACACCTAGCATGCAGAACATTGCAGTGGAGTGTGTCTGCGGTCTGCGGTCTGCGGTGTGTGGCTCAGCCAGCTCTGCCAGTGGGCGAGGGAGGGAGAACGGCTGGCTGACCGGGGGGACTGTTCTAGACTCTCATCGATCGGGCGAGCCACAGGGGCCGAGGAGCCACCCGGAGACGCTGAGCACCACTCAGAAGCCCTCTCTCCCAATCGTCCTCCAGGCATCCCTCGCTACCTTCTGCCGCACCAACTCTGCCTGTTCCACTCTCCAGCAAACTGCAATACGTTTGGCAGGGCAGGCACCAAGCGACCCCAGCGGCCGCTGGCCTTCTCTCAATCTCCATCTTGTCCCATGCTCCAGCTAACTTTGGCCGTTAGCTTCGCCCTCACGGTCCCTCGCGGTGAGTCCTACCCAGCAGGCGGTGTCAGCTGTCCGCAGGCGAAGCTGACTCCTCCTGCGAGGCATTTTTCCTTCGATACGTGTACGCCTACAGTGTCCCAAGCACCGGCCGTCCCTGCTTTGAGGAGGAGGCATGAGTTGCGACCGGTGAGAACGACTGCGGCTGGACAGCGCAGGTGCTGCAAGAGTGGAGGCGGTATTCCCTCGAATCTACGGAGTACCACGCCAAAAAGGCCACATCGAATGTCTTATGCACCAGGTCTGCTAGCTGTAAATCACGGACCAGGCGGCGTTTGTGGCTGCGACGCCGCACCTGTTAGGTGCCTGTTCAAAGCTGATTGCCCAGCCAAGCAAGGGCCTGACATCCGATGTTGTTGCTCTTATACAACGGAGAACGAAAACCTCGCAAGGTCTGCACCTAACTAAAACGGGTTTCGAGAGAATGTTGCATCTGACTGAGCACATTGTATCAATAAGCCGGACTTCGGGAGAATTGGCTTTACACCACCTCCATTCTTGCGAAATTGGAGGTGATGGGCTCTGCAGTCTTTGTGTGTGTCCTACGGCTTCGATAGCCCCCAACTGTTGAATTTGCGCACCTTGCCGAGGATCCTTTTTCCCAGAGCCAGAGCTATATTTGACAGGTTCAAGTGGAAGGTCTTAGAGCCCTCTCGGCTGTTTCAGATTTCGGACTTCCACTAGCAAGCTTGGACAGGCGCCCGGGCACCAGAATGGACACCCGCACCTTACGCCCGGGGCGTCGACACTTTGTGCGCTTGTGTTCGCTCGAGTCGTTGATCAGCTACATGGCCCGGGCAAGCACGACTCGAGTCAGACCCGGCTTTTACAACTGACTTGGCAGAAGGGGCCATACATAAATAAGAACATGGGTCTTGAGTGGAACCCGCCAGGATTTGACAGGGGCCTTTTCCCCTGTCGATCAGTTGTCAGCCAAAGTGCCTCAACTTACTAAAGTCTGGATTCTTCTACGCTGGCCGATCTGTGGCAGAAGCTTCGCTGGTCCCAACAAATCAATGGTCTGCTCGATGCCAGGTTCGCAGCCCTGTGTTTGGAAGCTTTGCATTGCTATTTGCGGCCGACGATCTCACAATGGTCAAGTGACCACTTCGTCCAGCCTGACCTCAGTCAAATGGCATCTTCAAGCTGGCGATTCTTTTGCACGCACATTGTCCTCACGCTAGTTCACGCCCGTCCCTACCCGAAAGCTGTCCGGAGTACACGCCTCAGTACCCGCTGGTAGCGGAAGGGGAGCCTTTGCGATGCAAGTGCCAAAAGGGCGATAGACAACGAAGCTAAGAATGGTAAATTGACCATGCTTTCTTCACATTTGAACTTTGAAGGTTAGGGCGCTGCCTTCGAACCTCGAGAAGTTATCTCCCGCAGAGCCTTGAAATTAATGAGCCGTTCAACTTGGCGAGTTTGACCAAGCAGTCAACTCTGCGGCATCCCGCTGTGCTAACACTTGCCGCTGGCAACCTTCCTCGTCGACATAGTTGTCTCCCGGCCTTGATATACGGGTGCGCAGCGCTTAGATTTGGTGGTGCAATGTTGCTCAGGCCCTCCCTCTCTGCCGAACCTGACTCGATGGCAGCCTACGAGCAAACGCTCAGCCTGCGGCTCGGGAAGGGGTCTCTGTGGCTTCTGGAACCCAGAGCCATATATTCGAACCCCAATATGGATCGACATGCCCTGTGCCGGGAAAAGTTATAGCACCGGACTTATGACCTTCATTATCCGTCCAGATGGTTGAGACACCGCTGCTGGGGCCCCAGCTGCCGACCGTGTAATTGGAAGTCTCGAAGGGTCCGGGGCCTAGGGGTGCGGGAGCCTTGAAAAAACGTCCAGTAGTAAGTATGTGGGTGCTGAGGGTTCGAGACAGGAAAGACAAGCTGCAACAGGGACCTTGGGCGCAAGGGGGCTCGCATCGCTGACGGCTCAGTTCCTGGGAGCGATGAATAATAAGACTCACCATCCAATAAAGGCTTTGGTTTATATTGTCCGGCCCTAGGTTGAACAGGATGCACGGCTCATGCCAGTCACTTCCAACATGTCAGCTCCTCAGGCAAGGAAAGGCATCCGGCGGGTCCCACAAATTTTGACAGATATAGACAGAACAGTTTTGTGCGCAAGGTGGTGAGTCTTCGTCAACTGGGTCAAGTACTGGGACAGCTAACCCTCGACTTGGGAAAGAGAGGTGTATGAAAAGGATGACCAAGAGCAGGGGCAGCTCCATTTCGTGCAGCACAAGCATGCCGTTGCTGAGAGGAAGACTGCGATTGCAAGAAGCAGGGACAGGAAATCCCCGGAGAGAAGACAGTCGGAGCTTTAAAGCAATCGAAAGATTGAAGTGCTTCCATCACTAGAACCTGTCTTCTAGGTTGGACAAAATCGTTGATTGTGCTACCACGAGCACGTACTTTGTCATACCAAGGCACTGGCAACAAGTCCAACCGCCCCTGAACCAGTAACTCAACCTGCGAGCATGGCAACTAAGGAGCATATCGGCGACGAAAGGAACGCTATTCATCTTCTCCGATGGAAACGGTGTACGCCGGGCCACGCCGTCCTTCTCGATGTAGATGCCCATGCCGCGGTCGATAGGACGTGTCGAGAAGAGAAGATAGGATGCGAAGCAGCGAGGGTTACACAGCCCAGGTCGGTTGGACAGCTCCTGGACCTCTACCTTCTCTGGACGCGTTCTCTCGCTGGAGGGCAACCACATTGAGTGTATCCGTACAGAGGTACACCGTTAGGTGACCGTGTCTTGATCTGGATGTCGTGCCACCTTCCCACAGCACTCCATCGGTGGGCGCCAATATGGACACTATTTCCACACCTACCTAGACGATCGATTCCATCTCAATGTCTGTTGTTTCTTTCCACTAGGTTTGCGCTAGCTCGACCAGCAGCTGCTCTAGACAATTGTCCACGCGCGGCTACAGTAGAAGGATAGAAAGGTCGGTAGGAAAGTTTGAGGACACAATGAACCGCTAGTTCTCAAACGAACTACGGATACGTACCGACAATTTCCCCCCAATGCGCCACAAGGAGGGCGTTGAGCTAGTGAAGCTTCATCTGACCAAGCTTTCCCGGAGACCGGAGACCGGCCACCCAGGACGTTTATATCGCTCATTTCGGGGACATGTCAATCGGCTCCAGAGCCGAGAGAGACCCCCTCGTTGTTGCAAGATCACATCCATGTGCCTATCGAAAAAGACGAGAAAGAGCAAAAGGCATTGCGGTGCTGACCTTGTCCACCACGGAGGCCGCCTAAGCACTTCGGGACTCGAGCCTTTAGGCCCTGCAGAGTCTCCGAACGAGGTTGCTTTTGTACGCCACAATACCCCACCGACGACTTTGTTATTCTTCTGGATTGATAACTTATCTGGGCCTGAACTGATAAGGCTCCTCAACCACCACTCACTGTCGTGCTTTGCTCCAATGTCTGGTGTCTGTCCCGGCTCTCGTGATCAGGCTGCCGGCAGTGCCGCCGCCTCCCCTTGGATCGCCTCCTGCGGTCTTGATCGCCTCATTCGAAAGCTTGATTGATCTCTTTCTGCAATCCCGACATTACTAGCCAATGATAATGGCAGGGCGAGAGATCTTAACGACGTTGTTGTTATCCTTACGGCTACCCCTGTCAACATTCCGCAATATGCCCGGCGTGCGGGTTGTTAAAACAAACCAGTCTTGTACTGCATATCCCACTCTCCATTCTGCTACTGTCAGCCTAGAGGATCTAGGGCTCTCCCAGGCTTAGGAGGCCCTCTGCAACCGCGATAAGGGTGATTTTCGACTCTCTGCGGCACGAACCCACCCCACCTAGATAGGCGCCTTCACATCTTTGTGTTGGCCGTCTTCTACGTATCTTTGTCTCTCAAGAAGACTCACTCTGCTTTCTCTGATCACGCCCCTAGCTACTCGGATACACAGTAGCCAGGGACTACTACAGATACCACAAAATGACCCACCATCTGTCACTCTCACACTCACCCCGGTGCTGTGAGTAGAGTTGATACTTCGCCTCCCATAAACCACCACTGCCCACATTCCGGGTACTTATGTCACCACTGTCTTCTTCCTCCACTCCACGTGTTCCGCGGGTAGGGATGGCCCATCTGGTTGCGGCTGCCTTGGACCCTTGGACCCAGCGGCGCTAGACTCCAGACTCCAGGATAGACTTGAGGTAAACATGTCTGTGACATCGATGTCCAGGTGGACAGAGGAGCGGGTGGCGGAGACTGTCACTTCTGCCTACATCCAGTCACATCTGCGACCAAATGAGCAGGAGCTTTTACAGAAAACTCTGTATTTTGGGGGCGACCTTACTGACGACACTTACCTGGACCGGATCTTGAACCGCGCCCGGCGTTTCTTCCTTATTCTCGTTGCTACAGGGGTACCCGAGCAGATATTTGGCATTATCGACGACTCGTATGATGATGAAGACCTACCCATTGCCGAACATGCCGTCATTGAATTGCGCCTGTCCTTTGAGCCGGACCGCTCGCTGGACAAACGCTTTTACAAAACCCAGTTCCGGTTCCTCACCCGTGTCATTGGGGAAGGCGAACATATCCGCTACGCAGATGAAGAGACGGTTCCCATCATTCCCCTCAGCCTAAAGTCAATGGTTCTCGCCCGAAATCATGAGGGCCCTGACAGAGTCCGTCTGGCCACTGATCCGCCAAAGATGTTGCTCCGCCGTCGGATCGCCCTGGACGCCGAGGTGAGCGAGGAAGATATCTTGAGCGAGATTGCGGGTAGCAGGAAGTTGTGCCACGAACACATCGTCTCGGTCTTTGGGTCCTACCTTTACCAAGGAGTGTTTAATGTCTTATCCCTGCCTGGCGCCGAGTGGACCCTCAAAACATTCCTCACTGAAACCCCCAAAATGTTTAGCAACCTGAGCAAGGCAGAACGTCGAACGGCGCTCATCACTTGGCCCCATTGCTTAGCCAGCGCTTTAGTCTGGCTTCATGGGAACGGCGAATACCACGGAGCTATACGACCGTCTAACATCCAGGTTGATGAGTCGTTCAATATCTCCCTTGGCCTGCTAGATGGAGAAGGCCACCTTCGCGACACTGCCCGACCCGACGACATTGAAGCATACCAGTATGGCCCACCGGAGAGATGGAAAAGAGCAGTTACGGTCCAGAATACGGGACCGATGGCCATTGCACTTCCATCCGGAGGACGGACGGGACGAAGGATCGGCCACAACAGAAAAGGCCTTTCTCCGGATGGCAAAGACAGTACAAGAAGCAGGTCAACCTCTATCACCACAACTTATACTTTCCAACCCACATCCAAGGGAGCTTACGCTCGTCTGCGACTGAATGTAGCAATGAGTCCGGACGTGACACCCGCTTCAATTGGGCAGGCACAAACCTTGCAATCGCACCCTGGCAAAGACTCTGTCCCGACCCAAGCCACACCGCGATCTCCCCTCCACAGCATGGTACGCGGAAAGACGCCCTCGGTCATCTCTTCCGACAGTTACAGGGTGCAGCACAGCAGTCAGGGGTTCGGCGGTCCTATCTTTGTGTCTGCCCCTGAAAGTCGCAGCGCCGTTGTGCAGACGTGGCAGTCCGTTGAGGAGGACATGTTCGCATCAGACATCTTCTCACTTGGGGCGACTATAATGGACATCATGAATCTTTTGTGTAAGAGGAGCTATAGTTCATTCTCCAGACACCGATCAGCAAGAAACCGAATGGCCGGTCGAGGCGGCGGTCTTGCTGATGCCAGCTTCCATGCAAATCTCGGCCAGGTCTTTCTCTGGGCGGAATCCCTACACAAGGAAGCTGAAAAGAAGGCACACAAGGACGAGAGCCAGGTATATCATGCCGTCGGTCCAGTTGTGCAACTTGCTTTGCAATGTCTTGAACGAGATCCTGCGGCGCGGTTGACAGGTGTCCAGCTGGAGAAACGACTAGAGGATTGCATATGTCGCTGTACTGGCATGGGCCAACTACACTGCCGGTCGGCACGAGGCGAGAGCAGACAGCCGACCGCGAGCATTCCTGTCAGAGAGCACACCTCTTCAGGTGGAGCTATCAGAAACACCAAATCAGTGGATCGACTGCGACAAGACTTGCAAAACTCCAGCTCACCGGACGCAGAATGGAAACGGCAGCAGCAGCACCTGGTCCTTCCCGATGCCTCGACTCTACAAGCACATCTCGGTCACACTCCTCCGAGCGTGGCCACCACACCTGGTGCGACATCTGACAACTCTCTTCTCGCGTTTAATTTTGATGGATTTTCGGATACGATCGTCGCAGAGAGTCCCCGTCTTGCGGAACACTCGCCACCACGGCCGAGCCGCCGAGGTGAGGTTGCCATCCCTCGTCATGAAGTCGTGTGGTCGGCCGATCAAGCAAGTTCCAAGAGAGCTTTCTGGAAAACACTGCAGAACAATGACAGTCAGGTTGATCCCCGGCTGTCATTCGGCGACTCCATCGATACAGGAGCGTTCACTTATATCAACTATAGCAGCAGTGCATCCTCGGAGGAAGACCATATGTTTCTCCCTCGATCTTATACTGATCCTCCCAGCCCGGCGCCCAACCGAGCATTACCCGCGGTGCCGCCACTTCAGACCAAAGTTCGCTCGACCAGACCCGAGAGGCAGGTTGCCCCTATCAAACGATTAGAAGAGACTGTCGCTCCGTTGGGCCGCTTCTCGGATAAAGCTACGGGCAGAAAGCCCCCGCCGAGGGTGGATAGTCTTCCAAAGATGCGATATCACGAGGAAGATGATTACTGGGATAGTCTGAGGCACGCCAGACCGCCGGAGGCCATGAAAGCGTCTTCCCGCAGCCGCTCCCGACATGGACGCGAGCGAGGGTATGCCATTTGATCTGGGGTAGACGAGGAACCGCTTTATTTGGCATGGCTTGGTTTCGAAAGGGAGTGAGTGGACTTGTACCTCTAGGAAATATTGTGTGGAATGTTGTCGGATGACCAGACGTATACAATCGGCGCATGGGATTTGCCGTATACTGTATATTATCCATTGTATGTACCATGATGGTCGTCCCAATCCTGGAGTTCGCAATCAGCCAAAGGAGAGAATATCAGTGCCATAATGCGTCCCGTATCCCTACACCTGGCTACACCAGGCTCTGTATGGTGCATAGAGTGACCCAGATGACTAAGCCATTCTAGTTATACGGCAAAACAGAAGAGGGTACACGCAATATCACTACGGCGAAGTATATGGACAACCTCAGTCCTCTCTTGTTCTTATCATAGCTGCTTGGTGCCCAGCTCAGCTCGCTCAACCGACTTCGTCTGTAGCCGGCACTTCATCCCAATGCATTCTCCTCCTCCTCGGTATCTGCAGGACCGACTTCGGACTTGGGATCGCCTTCTGGGAAAAGGCATGACACCACACGCTCCCCTTTGACCTCGTACTGCCACTTCCAAGTTGGAGGAACGATGACCACCGCGAGGAAAAGGAGAGCCAGAGAGACCAAGCCCAAGACCAAGACTTTTACAGGGTACCACCGCAGTGTTTCTTCCCTTTGGACCTCTCCACTGTCTGGATCAGACGCTGACCAGAATCCTGCACCTGACAGATGCTGGACTTGTCGAGCACGAAAGGTCAAATGCGACTCCGCACGTCCGGGATGTTGTCGTTGCGAGAAAGCTGGCCTAGCCTGCGAAGGATACGATTTGAAGCTGTATTGGCTGACCGACGAAGACACAGTGGCACCGTCTGCAATCAAGCGGCAGGCAATGACTTTGCAAGGTAGGTCTGCTCTGACCTTGGGCCAGCTCAACTTTCCGACACTCTGGGCCGAGGGAGTCTGATATGCCGCAGCTACGGCATCTCAAAGGCCTTTACTGACCTATGACTTCAGGTTACCCGATGTGGGCATTCCAACTGGATGAAATCGACCAGCAAATAGCAGATATCGATGCTTGCGATACCGTTACCTCTCAGGACGTCTCGGTGTCCATCGGACCGTTTAGTGTTTTCTATGCAGGGTTGGCTACTCTGAAAGGATCCCAAGCACCTGGTCTTGACAGAAGTTGCACCCCTCAACTGGAGTTGAATATCCGAGCCCAATCGGACGATCCTTCCCGGTACCATGATTCCTCCAGACACGATTTGACAGAAACAGAAGCACTACAGGACATGCAATCCCCACGTGGTGTCAACAACCAGCTTCAAGTGTCTTCACCGAGAAGGGAAGCCTCCCCCTTGGTATATGGACTTAATCAGAGTCTCTTCCGGGATCCTATTATTCATCGACTCATGGACAACTACATCCGCACCGTTGCCTATCTCCTTCCGCCGTTGCCACATCCCGAGAACCCATACGCCTCGATATATGTGCCTAAAGCCATGTATGGCGCTTCGAACCTGCTATTGGGAATCGGCTACTCTGCCTCTGAGGTACCATCGAGCAACGTTGCTATATTTTATGCTCTTCTGGCAACGTCGGCGTTTCACTTGCGGGGTTCTGAAGCACACGGTGCATCGAAATTCGACCTTATAGCGCGCCGTTTCCGGGCAAAAGCCTTCGCCTCTCTGCAGAAAGCTCTTCAAGAGCCGCTCAAAGGTGGTGAAGAGGAAGAGCAGTCCAGCTCCTCCTCAACCTCCCTTCCCCAAGGCGAAGCCGTCATTTCAGCAATGCTGACACTGATTACCACTGATGTAAGTTGGGCTCTTGCAATCGAGGATTTCTCACTAACAGCCAGGTCAAAGGTCATGGAAGGGTCTATGAGTGAATACTGGATTCATCTCCATGGGGTCAATCACCTTGCCCGGCAACTGCGCGGCCAAGTGGAAGAGTCGTCGCAAATTGACCGGTTGATTGCGATTTCTTCATTCCTTGCCACTCTGGCAAACACCACTTCAATCGATCTCCCACCAATTCCTTGGTCGGATGACGACCTCGTCGTGCCCGACTTGAGCTACTCAAATTCACTCGTCACGGATGGGCTGGAGTTTGCGTATGGCATCACACCGACCCTAGCCAACCTGATGCGGCGGGTCGTTGTTCTCTCACAGCACATCTCCTATTACGTCTCGAATTCACTCAAGCTGCCTCCACGGTTGATTGCGGCGTGTATGAACTTCTCGATGGCGCTCTTCCAATGGTCGATTGATTCCGAACCGCTCTCCAACCTCCTCTGCGGCACAGACGCGGACGTTGATGTCGCCTTGCTACTAGCTAAGAATCATATTCTGGCCTTTGCCCATGGCCTCCGAGTCTATTTCCACACTCGCATCCTCCCATGCGCACCGTCCGATATGCAGCATTATGTCGAGCGCGTGGCAAGCCATGTGATGACCATTGAAGACATCAAGGCCCGGGCGGGCTACGACTTCAACATTGCCGCCACCATCACGTGGCCAGGCTTTATTGCGTCTTGTGAGGCTGAAAGAGGCCGCCCACGCGAAGTCTGGTACCGCTGGTGGAATGGCATGGTAAGGTATCGGATCGGCAATATTGCCCATCTGTGGATGATTGTGCAAGAGGCTTGGAGATTGAAGGATGAGGAGGGGTCGACCGAGGTTCCTGCTTGGATGCCCGTCCTCCGACGCAGCGGAAAGCGGATCCTTGCCGTGTGAAGGCAGCGGCCTCCTTTCGCTTGCGTTGCAAGATCGTTATCGGCCTGACTGTTCTTGCAGTCGCCCCAGCGAAGCCCACCGTGTCGCCAAGGATGGTGTGCCGGCTTCAAGTCCCGGTCTTGGCCATGGCCTGCTCCAGAACCTTGCCCAGCCTCCGGATACCTTCGACAATGCGATGCTCATCTTCCCAGGTAAAGCAAATGCGCACCCCGTGCTTGATTGGCACGCTGGCTTCATCGCCCACCACCTCGAAATTCTCCCCGCTGCCCACAATGACGTTTTCTTGGCGTGCTGCCTGTTCGGCGAACCGTGTGGCATCGAGCAGCTTCGGAAGCTGGATATAGATATAGTATCCGCCTTCTACGGCAGCGCACATTTGTCGAGCGAGATTCGCCTTGTTACTATCCTTGATAGTGACCAACACGACGCCATGAGGCAGCAGATACCTTTGCACAGCTTCCAACGCCATCGCAGAACGCTGGCGATAAGCTGGGATTAGGACATGGTCGAGATACTGCTGAAAAGCGCCCGTCCGGAGGGACTCGGCAATTATGGACGCGGTGAACTGGCTGGGAGATCCGCCGCTGCGAGTCGAGCCGCACTTTGACAAGCCCAACGCGAACAATTCCGTGGATTCTGTCCACCCGGTGCGGAGGCCCGGGCCCAGGACTTTGGAGAATGAGCCATTGCTGACGACATGTCCGTACGGAGAGGACACACCGCCGTCGAGTGTGTGATCAATATCCACGAGCCGCGGCATAGCAGCTGCACCCAGCCGGGCTGGATTCCAGTGCAGCAGGTCATAGACGTCGTCGGCGATGATCAGGGCGTCGTGCTTACGGGCCAACCGGACAAGTTGCTCTCGGCGACCAAGAGACATTGTCTTCCCCGAAGGATTGGAGAACGTGGGAACACAGTATATGATGTTCTTGAAATGCTTTTGACACGGAAGGGGGCGCTTGGTGGCCTGCAGGGTACAATGTTTGGTTAATGGAGCCGAGTGCTGCAGAAAACGAGAAGTCTACTTACCCTTGCATCCAGCCATCCATTTTCCAGGTCGTCGCGAGCGAGCAATTCCTCCAACCTCTGGATGTCGATGCCTTCTTGGTCCTCGGGGACGGCCACCAGCCTGCCGGCAAAGCCGTTATCTTCGAAGATTCGACAGGCCAGAAAATAAGTCGGGGATACCATGTACACGTTTTTGGTGTAGGATGGATCCGAGTATACTTGAAGGATGCACGCCAGACTTTGGCTGGCGCCACCGGTGATGGTTAAACGAGAGGACGATGTCCATGACGTCGAGTAGAACTTGGACAGATACTGGGAGAGATGTTCCAAGAGACACGACGGCCCTGGATCCGGCCCGTACAGGAGTGATGGCGTGGACAAGGAGGGGTTGGAAAGGAGTGTTTGGGACGCGGCCTGAAGAAGTGAGGTCGGCAGAAGGCTGGGAGATGGCCAGCCTTGGAAGAGGTCAATCACAGGATCCTGAGACGACGGCATCTGGGATGTGATTGAAGAGAAGGAATGATTATCTCAAAGCAGGACCGCGGGGTGTGAGACGTTGATGATGAACAACAAATTCCCAGAGGAAGAGCGCGAACCGCCCCAGGTATCCATGGTCTAGACAGCCAATTTGCTATGGAATTGCCTTCTACAGAGTGATCTCTGGGTAACTATTTCGGTTTGGTAAAAGAGGAAGTGCTCAGCAGAGCCGAGGACAACCCCTCGACGCTCGACCGGCCCTTGGCCGAAGCTTATCATGGAAAACCAGCAGTCGGAGGAGTACAGAGTAGCAGTCAGCGAGGAAGAAGAGGAGATTGGAGATTGTTTCATTATTGCATCTCGTAAGACGCCTCTTCTCCCGGCCTAGTAACTGATGGCAGTAGCAGCAGCAGCAGTAGCAGCAGTCAGCGAGCCCGGCTTAACCAAGGTGACAGGAAGCAGTCAGCGAGCCAGTCGAGACTTGAGCCGGGCTCGCTGACTGCTGCTGTCAATTAGCAGCCAATCAAGGCTGAGGTAATGCCACGAATGCCAAGAGTCCTCCGGGCCGAGTCTCTGCTGCTCAGGATTTTCGGGGCTAGTCCATTTACAGCAAGAGTGCCAAGCGCTGCCCCGGCGTAGATCAACGTCGCCTCAAGTTCAAGATTTTCGGTTGTGCCCTAGGTATAAGGTCAACGGTGACTACTGACTACCGACTACCAATAAAGAACTGTTGCTTATCTCTTCCAACGGTGGCTGCTGGTATGATGTGACCTCAACAGAGAATGCCATCTGATCAAGGTAAGCGTGATACCCGCACCCTTCCCTCCGCAGAAGGCTGGGTCGTCCACAGCCTCGACGACTGGCCACTGGCCACAGGGATCCACGCATACCACATACCACGGTCCACCCTACAAGTGGAATCTGAACTTTCGGCGATAGGGTGGCGGTTGAGAGATACCGTATTCACCTGATCCTTGACGTCCGGGAACCAGGATGCAAGCTGTTGGTCTGAGGTTTGACATTTTATCATTGTTTCCTTATCTCGACAAGACACCAGCAAACCAACAAGCATTCACAAGGGTGGTCGAGTCGTGTATATATATATCTCTCTCTATATGTACATCACCTATGTGGCCAATGTGCTGACCTCACCCGTCAAATCATCCATTGTGCCTGGATTCTCTCCCCCCCAGTGCTGTTGCCATCATTATCACTTGTCTCTAGCACATCTTCTTCCTCTTCCTCCTCGGCCATCTTATCATGGGTAGCCAGCACCCGAATCCTGAAATCAAACCCGCCCAAGACGGCGACGGCGAGGTCGTTTCCGAAGTCTCCTCTAACGACAACCCACAACCATTCCCCAAAGGCGACTTGTACGAACGACGCCTCTCTCAGGCCGACTGGGCACAGTATGGCCAGACCAAGCGCGGGCTGAGTCCTCGCCATGTCCAGCTCATGGCCATCGGAGGCTCCATCGGGACGGGGCTCTTTGTGGGGATCGGTGGCAGCCTGTCGAAAACCGGGCCGTTGTCGTTGCTCCTGGGCTATCTCTTCTGGGGAGTTTTATTCATCTGGCCTTGCAATCTATGCGTGGCTGAGATGTGCGCCTGGTTACCTGTCCGTGGCACAATCTTCGAACTTGCCGGGCGTTATGTCGACCCTGCATTGGGCTTCGCCATGGGCTGGACCTACTTCTTTGCCGGCGTCATGTTGGTCTGTACCGAGTACTCGGCCGTCGCGACCGTGATGCAGTACTGGACTACGGACGTCAATGCGGCCGTGTGGGTCACCATGTGTCTTGTGGTTTGTTTTGTCTTGAACGTGGTGGCGGTGAGGTGAGTTGCGGAACCTGGCAACCTTCTTTCTTTCAATTTTGCCAGCCTGTTGAGCTTGTTACCTGCGCCAATACCTCCTCCATCATACAATCAATATTCTGACCTCTGAGATGCAGATGGTATGGCGAATCGGAATTCATCATGGCATCGACCAAGATCCTGCTGCTGATCGGCTTATGTCTCCTCACGTTTATCACCATGGTGGGCGGCAACCCCAAGCACGACGCGTACGGCTTTCGGTACTGGAAACACGGCCTGGCAATGCACCCGTATTACGTGCACTCTAATGCTACCACCGGACGATTTTTAGGGTGGTGGTCGGTGGTGCGATACGCCGCTTTTACCGTTGCCGGGCCGGATCTGATTGCCCTGGCGGCAGGGGAGATCCAGAACCCACGCCGGACGATCCCGCGGGTGGCGCGACTCGTCTTCTACCGTCTGGTCGGATTCTACGTGGTCGGTGTGCTGGCCGTGGGCATCCTCTGCTCATCGCGCGACACGCGGCTGCTAGGCGCGCTGAAGAACGGATCGGCCGGCGCCGCGGCATCTCCGTGGGTGATTGGGATCCAAAATCTGGGCATCACGGGCCTCCCGGGGTTCATCAATTTCTTGATCCTACTGTCCGGCTGGTCGTGCGGCAACGCCTACCTCTACTCGTCAAGCCGGACGTTATACTCGCTCGCACGAGACGGGCAGGCCCCCAAGTTCTTCATGAAGTGCACCAAGTCAGGCATCCCAGTCTACTGTGTGGCGGCGGTCAGCTTGATCTCGTGCATCACGTACCTAGTAGCGTCGGACAGTGCGGTGACGGTGTTTTTCTGGTTCGTGTCGCTCACCACCATCGCCCTCATTGCCACCTACACGGCCATGCTGTGGACGTTTATCGGCTGGTACCGCGCGCTGAAGGCCCAAGGCGTCGACCGGAATTCGCTGCCTTATAAGGCGCCACTGGCGCCCTATACCGCGTGGTTCGCCATCGGCGTCGGCTGCGTGGTCATGCTGTTCATCGGGTTCGACGTCTTCGTGCCGTGGGACACGGAAGGGTTCGTGACGTCGTACTTTGGCCTGGCCTTCGGCGTGGTCATGTTCGTCTTCTGGAAGGTCTTCAAGCGCACTCGGTTCACCGACCCCAAGACATGCGACATCTACAGCGGCAAGGCCGAGATCGACATGGAGTGCAGACACTGGGAGGAGGGGGGGTTGGAGGAGAATGAGAGGAAGAGATTGGCGCAGATGAATTTGGTCAGACGTACTTGGGAGAGGATCTGGTAGGGTTACCTTGGTAGGAGTTTGCCTTGGTAGGAGTTTACCTGGTAGGAGGGATTGCACGCAGGCACTGTACAAGTACCAAAGTCACTGTACAAGTACCAAGTACCAAAGTCAAAGCACAAGCGTGATATCGAACACAAGCATGTCATGGCTCGAGATCGAAGCTACAGCAGTCCGACTGTCCATAAGTGCTGCACTGTATGTTTTTGTCCACTGTCGCAGATGACAGAGCGACATTCCAGAAACCACCATTTCACTTACCCTCTACCCTCTACCCTTGTAGTGAGTGCCTTACCCTTAGGGGGCCAAAGGGAGCGTGATTAGGAAATACGGTAACCCCAACAAGTCACTATACCCCAAGCGCTGCTACACCCTCTAGAGTCTATGGAGTACAGAGTACGGAGTATGGAGTACTTCTACCCAACCGGCCAACCGGCCTCTGTTGACGCCGACTCGGGGAACAACGGGACCTGCTTACGTGACAACCATGACCGATCTAGTTTGATGATATAAGCAGCCACTGATGTCATGGTTACCTTACCTAGATCGCAGTCGTTGCAGTACAACACTACTACACTACGACAGTACTACACGCAACGCAGTACGGAGTACTATTCGCCGTACTCCGGACTACAGAGAACACCATCATCTACTGGAAATGACCATCGCGGTGTTAGGTGCTTAGGTGTTAGATGACCGCCGGTGACTCTAGTCCCGCGAGCTTGATATGTAGGTAGGATTCCAGCTTCGTTTGTTGGTATATATATCCCCATCCTCTCAATACTTCGACACTCGTACTCAGCATATATACACTGCACTGCACTGAGCACCATTATTACACTACTCTACTTGTTGATTGCCGGCACGTCTAACCTTCAAGAAAGAGCCTTGACTGATTTGACTTGAGATATTCAATACCACGAACAACAGATATCAGGGGCATATATACAACCTACACCTGAACCTCCATTTCCACCTCACCTACACAACCACCTTCACCTCAACTCCACCCAATCTATATTTGACCAAGAGGGTTTCTATATCCATATCCATATCATATCCATATCTACAACCACATCCATATCTACAACCACATCTACAACCACATCGCATCATGGTCTCGTACTCAGACGTACTGGCGAGCAACGAGTCGCTCGCCGCGGCCAGTGGAGGCAGCGGCCCCGTGGCCGTCGTGGTGGGCGGCACCAACGGCATCGGGCTGACGACCGTGCAGGCGCTGCTGAAGCACACGGCCAAACCGACCATCTACCTCGTGGGACGTAGCGCCGATCAGCTGGCCAAGTTGATCGACGAGACGCTGCAGCCGCTGAACAAGGCCGCCGAACTGATCCCCATTGTGGCCGGGGATTTGACGCTGGTTCGGAATGCGCAGCGAGCGGCCGACGAGATTGTGCGGCGCATCACCAGCAAGAGCACACCAGGGTCAGGGTCAGGGTCAAATTCGGCGTCGGCGTCGTCCCCACACATCGACCTCCTGATCATGACGCCCGGCTACCTCAACATGTCGAGCCAGCCGGACTGGTCGCCCGAGGGCCTGGAGCGACTGATGGCGATCCGATTCCACGCACGCATGGCCATCCTCATGAAGCTACTACCGCTGCTGCGTCGCGCCCCCAGCCCGCGCGTCGTCACCCTGCTCGCAGGCGGACAGGAAGGCGAGCTGAAGCTCGACGACCTAGGCATGACGGCCACGAAGCCCAAGACCTACGGCCCACTCTACGCCATGGGCGCCGCAGCGAGCATGACGTCGCTGTTCTTGGAGAAACTTGCCACGGCCGACCAAGAACAAAACTCCAACATTGTCTTCATCCACGCCTTTCCCGGCCTGACGCCCGACACGGGTCTGCAGATCCACAAGTCAGTGCTCTTCAACTTCATCTACAGTGTGGTCAAGGTCCTCGCCGGCTGGTTCGGCAAAACCCATACCGCCCAAGAAGCTGGCGAGCGCACCCTGTTCGCCGCCACCAGTGGTCGCTTCCGCCGACTGCAGCCTCGCGATGCCGATGCCGCTGTCGGCACACTCCTCCAGCCCGGCAGTGATGGCGGTCTAGCCAGCGGCGTGTTCTTGGTCGGCGAGGATTCCGACGCCGTTCCGGATGGCGGGAATGCCGAATTGAAGAAGTTGAGGGCCCGAGACGCTGCGTCTAGGGTGTATGATTATACCTTGGCGGAATTGGAGAGGATCGAGAAGAGTTGAGTTGAGTGCTAGTGCTGGTGGTATTGGAGCAGGAGAGAAGTCGAGTGGTGTTGGAGCAAGATCGAGAAGAGTTGAGTGGTTGTGCTAGTGGTATTGGAGCAGTTTGTGAGAAGTTGAGTTGTTGTGGTTGTGGTAATGGAGCAGGTGAGAAGTTGAGTGGTTGTGCCAGTGGTAATGGTTGTGGTTGTGGTTGTGGTTGTCAACAATCAACACTGCAACAATCAACACTACAACACTGGGATGGCGAGAAGATCATATGAATCCTTGACGATTGGTTTGGCGGTCACGTATGAAAGGCTTGCAATATTCGGTACGAGTTGATGTATATAATAATGAATACGAAGTACATACATACAAAAGCAGTTGGCAACGCCTGGTTCCTAACACCATAACACCACACCGTCCTATATAGTATAGAATATCAGGGCCAGAGCAAAGATCTGTCAGAAGCTTCCATATCCCGCACTTGGTTCGCAACATGGTTCACAACCATAGAATCAAACATCTCGTCAGCTAGGTGGCGAAATAGGCTGGTGAAAAAGAATATGTTGGTCCAATCCCGAAACCGATGCCGCCCCAAAAGTACGCGCAGTACTATGGAAATTTCTGAAGTTACGAAGCGGCCCCCAACAAACCACAAATTCCAGAGATTCGCCATGACAGCTTCCACAACAAGTGGCGAGTGATATGTGTCAAAGTACTTCGAACCATTGATCGAGATGTAGTGATCTCGACGAAGGAGCCAGATCAAAAGCCGGAGGCTCTGCAACGATGTGGCCAGCCTTTTCCTCGTCTCGGAGTCTAGGTCGGACATGCTATAGAGCTCGTGGGCGTAGACCTCTCTCTGGATCACACCTCTGCTTTCGTAGATTCGCAAGGCTGGAGTTACGACGCGCATGTAATGCTGCTGCATCACAGCTTGATCTTCGAGTCTCCGGGTGTCTTGTTCTGGCTGGGGAGGCGGTGCTGCGTTGTTCCCGGAGATTTTCAAGGCGACCACACCGTGGCGTTTGCTGACTTGTCCTCGTCGTGGGCGTGCGGGTTTCAATGAGCGCGGATGCTGACGAGTTGGTAGTAACAGCATCCGTTGCATGGATACCAACCTGGCTTCCACTGCATCGAGGAGCTGACGCTGCATCGTGTCCGAACGGGCCTCGATGGAAGCAAGCGCTTCAATGACACGTGTCTCCAGAGAGGAAGTGGAAAAGGCAAGTCTCTTGACATCCTGGTTCGTCTCCAAGTCGAGTTCGACACTGAATGAATGCAGCCGAAGACTTAGATTCTCTCGCTCGGACACGAGTCGGCGATGTAAAGGCCCAAAGAAGTCGTTTATGGCGGCTACCTTGACCCTTTTCAACCGCGAACCGCCCTTTGTACAATGTATTTCTGCCACCTGTTCGTCCATCTCCGCGATGGTGGTCTCTCATTTCGACACGGCCGAGTAGAGCGCGTTGACAGATTCGACGGGGAGGATGGCGGAAGAGGTGGCCCGAGAGGCGAGATCTTGAACAGCGGAAAGGGATCCTCTGAGACACTCGCACTCTTGCGCGACATGTTGGGCGTTTGTCGATGCTACCTTGTATGCTGAAATCGCTGCGTACACTTTCGAAAGACCACTTAGTGCCTGGCCCGCCAGAGACACCAGGCCTGCAATGCTTGCAATCTCACCGACGACAGACATTGCAAGAGTGTCCTGCTAGAGCCGGAGGGGTGGGAGTGTTTTCAGAATAGAGGGATGTAGTGTCCTCGAGGATGATGAGAGCGCAGCTAGGAAATCGGCCAACTTCGTCCGCAAGGCTGTGTATCTGCAGTGTGCGCTCTGCTGTGACTCCGCCACCAGCCTCATGCAGGCGGCATTGGCTGAGTATTCCCGTGAATGCTCATTGGCCTATGTCCACTCCCTCAGCCTCACAACTCTACCAGGGTCCAGGGCATTCCGGAATTCTCAGATCGTGACATGAACCAAGTAAACACAGCCACAGCCTGCCAGCATTGATCCGGGAACCCGATACGGACCGCTGGAAGACATGCTCTGTGCAATAACGGAAGACTGTCGATGCACACTCGCAGGAATATACTAAGAGCACCGTTTTCGACGTACAGCTGTCCCAGTGTGTTAAAAGAAGTCCTCGACGCCGATGCAGCCACCCCTATTCCCTCTCGGCCTTGCAACGTGACTCCACCTGTCGATGTCTTCGATCTTGCTTGGGGATTTCAATCCAAGCGGCAATGACAGCCTCGAAGTGGATTTCGATTTCGACTTCGCCTTGGCCTTGTTCTCTGGCGCTGACCGCATGCTCGTCATCGACGGCGAGGTCAATATCTTCTTGATGAAAAAGACCTCCCCGCTTCCATCACTTGATCTGGATCCACGATTCCACCGGCCTGTACACATGCCTTGTTCTTTCTGCTCTGACTCTGTGATACTTTCATCTTCACTGTCCTCTTGCATGTTGCACATGCCGCCTCTATGGGCCGCGTGGCCTAGCTTCCTACTGGCAACTCCTTTTACTTTCTCGCTGATCTTGAGTAGGTCACCCCAGCCAATTAACCCGCCATTTCCATCGTGCCCAGGTACATCTGGCACCAGATATAAGACTGGGGGATCTGGCCCGTCAGCCGGGATGACAGTGGTCGGAGGACGAACTGACGGTGGTTTCCTATGACGCTCTTCTGGCCGCAAATCAGCTGCAGAAGGTGGATTGAGCTGATGGACCGGGAGAGGTCCGGGGCGCCGAGGATTTTGAGGAGGAAGCGAGCCAAGGCTAGAGAGATCTGGATTCGAGATTGTATCACTGGTGCAATCGCAGATACTCCCTCTACTTGTTGCTGATCCCAGTTCGCATTGACATATACTCTCTCTCTCCGAGCTATCAGACGCAGGAATGCAAGTCATCCTCTTTGAGTCTGCAACCACTTCTTTGTCCGGGTCTCCCGTAGAAGGGCAATTCGCTCTATGATCGGAGGCAACAGGAGGAAGTTGGTATAGACGGTGGCCCGGCCGAGTTTCGGTAGGCTGTGCACTTTTGTCTGATAGAATAGAGACATCATTGGCCTGCGGATCGACAGAGGAGGTTGATCCTTCGCCCGTAAGTTGCTGCGGGAAGAGAGGGTCATCGTTAATGAAATGTGCCATTGAAGGATCCGATGCAGCGGAGGTCTGAGCGGACCTCTCCTTTACCATTTGTTCAACGATAACATGAGCTCGCACACGCGCCACGCGTAGGGAACTTGAACTTGGATTCTCTTGAAATTGACGCAGATGCAGGTGGTCATCCAATAACAGGGAGTACCCGCTGACCGTGGGTTGGCACACTGAATGCAGAACACCCCAAGGGGAAATGTCACGGGGTGCTCGCAGTTGTCTCAATGACGGGAACCCTCTGTATGCTATTGAGAGAGCAAGCTGTGTGTTCGGCATATGGTGAGGTGTTCGGATGGACTGATTCCATGGTGAATGTAGTGGATGGTTCCCGAAGGGCTGGTGAAGTGTCTGGTAAATATTTGGACCCATGGAGGACTCTACCTCGTCGCAGAAAATGTCCCAGTGGAGGAATCTCAGCGATTCTGAGGCTAGTACAGGTTGGATGACGACAAGTCCCTTTTCGACAGGCAAAGAAGGTTGGACGTCGTTTTGCACAATGCTGAATTTGATCAATCCATCCAAACTGGTAAAGATCTTTGACAGTGTGAGCAAACTAACAATATTCTGATGTACCAGGCTTAGTTTTTCTATGTGAGTGGCATTTGGGCTTGAAGCCCATTTAGTTAGGCCAACATCTGTGACTCCATAGCATTCTTCAAGGCGTAGAGAAGCTATTGGGGGGAGGGCCGCCAAAGTGCCGTCATGAAAATCATCGGCGTCGAAGGAAGAAACGCAAAGATGTCTGAGCGATGGTAGAGAATGAAGAACATCAACAAATAGATCATGTTCAATCACACCAAGGCCTCCGGGTGAGCATAGCATGAGAGTTTCCAGCAACTTCCACCGCTCGTGGTACTGTACGAATTGATATCTCTGGTATTCATCCAAAAGTCCTGGGGCCAGCTGCTCTTGACACCGTGATCTGATGTCGTCGTTCTCGGCTATGACCCAGATATGCTGGCGCAATCTTGGTCTTGTCGACAAAGCGTAGGTCAATCGATCAAACGTGTGATTGTAAAATGGGACGAAGCCAGTGAGGGCCTCGAGATTGGGACAGATCATGACCACGCATGCCAGCGTGCAAAGGTATGCATCGTAAACGGGATTCGGGTCTCCATTTTCAAGGTACAGCGGTATGTTTGGATCGGGAACGTGGATTGTTTTGACTAGAGTGGCGAGTAGAGACCTCAAACGAAGCGTTGCCCGAAGCCGAGTCAGGCGTGCTGCTCGCGGGAGTCTCCATTTTCGAAGCATCTTCGGATTCTCTGGTCCAACAATTTGAATATGGGTGTATCTATCTCGGTCAGTACCGGGTGGAATGCATCAGAGCTCATGATTTACAATAGGGGTTGAGCAGTAGAACACCACGCTTTGCAGGTGAGGACCACAGCAGTCAGATCTCTCAAATAGCACGTTGCACACGAGGACCCCGCCAGGCCAAGATGGCTATCCCTGAGCCGTTCGAGTGCAAGGTCAAGGATCGACGCTGGTAATCGCTTCCAGTCGATTCTGGCTCTAGGTGGCATGAATGGTAGACTTGCCTGGCATCTTAGAGTCCACGATGGCAGGGACAAAGGGTGTGACCGGGCTCGGGAGGGTGGTGCATCTTTTCTTGAATCTGTAGCCTCTAGGCTTGACAGCAGTTGTAGTTGAGGCTTTGAGGCAAGTGCAAGCGGCTGCTCATGGCGGTGTTGCCGAGCAGATACACCTTCGACGTCCATGGTGCTGAATGTTTGAGGCGGATGTCGCTGTCGAGAACTCGTGAGGGCTGTCAGTCAACGGATCCAGGGCAAAAGCCATATGAGGTGACTTCGCAGAAGGAAGAAGGGAAGCAAATGTCTCAAAACTAGAGTCAACCCGTTAGTTGTCTCGTCAGCTATATTTGGCAGTAAGGGAGCACCCTGGCACAAGTACATGGCGATTGCAGCATCGTAGTTGCAAAGGCGCTGGAACAACAGCGAATGACATTTCACAACCGAGTAGAGGATCTGTATCATAAGCTTGCAACACGCCTAAGCAAAGATTCGACAGACGGGCCAGAGTGCAAAGTTGGAAACACTCTTCAGAGACTGGGAACTGGCATCGAGCTGGGTTGGCGTCAATCCCCAGCCAATGACGACGCAGCATCAGCATCAGCGACCATAGCTACCTCGGGTCGCGCAACAACTTATGTGTACGGATACATACGTCTATGGAGCACTTGGCTACATTGTAGAAGACTTGACAGAATACCAGAAGAGAACAGAGGAGATAGACGGTGTCCATTATCAGTGCTGGTCAGCCAGTAGCCGCTCGGCCAACATTATAGATCATGGCATCTCCATGACGATACTCTATCTAAACACCACATCCCTATGCCGTGCCTGCTGTACATGCCGCTCCCCTAGCTTCATGTTCCAGGCTGTGTTGCTGGATGATAGGAGACTATGCATAAAAGTTGACCCTGTGTGTGTCAGTATCTTGAAATCAAGGTATAATCGGAGACAAATCAACTTACGTGTCTTTCTTTTTCGCCTGCACCTCGTTGATGCCGTCGACAAAATGCTCGTGAAGGACCTTTGAGTGTCCTTTGCGAAGTGCGATCATCCCTACAAAAGCATTCATCAGTCGAGATTCTTGCCAGGGGGCGATCACTGAGGTTCCCGTCGGGGGACCACTTACCCGCTTCAACGCACACTGCCTTGAGTTGTGCACCGCCCATTTCGTCGGTCGATCGTGCCAACTCTCCCCAGTTGATGTTACCTTCGTCGATGGTCATCTTTCGAGAGTGTATTCGGAGAATTTGTGCGCGTGACTCTTCATTGGGGAGTGGGAACTCAATCTTGCGATCCAGTCGGCCCGACCGTAGCAAGGCAGGGTCGAGCACGTCGATTCTGTTGGTGGCGGCAAGCACCTTGATTCTCTCATCTGACGCAAATCCATCCAGCTGGTTCAGCAGCTCCAACATGGTCCGCTGAACCTCTCGGTCACCGCTCTTTTCCGAATCGAATCGTTTCGTCCCGACGGCGTCAAGCTCATCAATGAAAATGATCGACGGCGCCTTTTCCTTCGCCAGGGCGAAACAATCTCGGACAAGTTTGGCACCATCACCGATGAACATCTGGACGAGTTGAGGGCCGGCGAGCTTGAGAAACGTGGCATTGGTCTGAGCAGCGCAGGCACGAGCAAGAAGGGTCTTTCCTGTTCCCGGTGGCCCGTACATGAGAGCACCTATCCCTCGGAGTCAGCACCCTGCCATCAAAGACCGAGTTATCGAACCCTACCTTTAGGGGCCTTGATGCCAATCTTTTTGAATCTCTCGGCCTCTTTCATTGGCCATACCACCGCCTCCACAAGCTCCTCGATTTGTTTGTCAAGACCACCAACGTCTGTGTACTTCTCGGTCGGCTTCTCATCCACCTCCATAGCCTTGACTCTGGAATCGTACTCGGCCGGCAGCGTGTCCAACACAAGGTATGAGTCTTTGTTGACGCCGATAAGGTCAGCAGGCTTGAGTTTGTTGTGGTCCACCAGGCCGATGAGCGGCAGGAAGATGGTCTGGCGAGTGCTCGTCTTGATCACGGCGGATTTGCCCACTCGAGTGGCATCGAGATCAATGTTTGCGCCTTCTTCGGCGGCTTCGGCGTCAACGTCGAGATCAAGTAGCTCGACCACATTGCCCACAAGGTACGGCAATTGCCTGACCACCGACAAGTCAGCCACCTAGAGTGGTACAGGTGCAGACAGGACAGATCGACTCACCTATTCTGCTCAATTTTATCCAAGTTGTCCTTGATCTTTTCTTTCATCGTGGTCTCTTCATGTTTCAGCCGTTGGAACTCGCTCTTAAGGATCTTCAATTCGTTCTCGAGTAACCGTCGCCGGTTGATGACGTCTCTTGTACTGGAGTGCAGGATTTCCTTGTCGATGTAATCTTCCTCTTCGTCTTTCTTGCCAGGCTCTGCATCCTTCATCTCGGCATCATTTGCCTCGCCGCCAGCAGGTTTCTTGTCCTTGTCCTCGTTGTCCTTCTTCTGGTCCTTCTCATCGCGCTCCAAGTCATCGAGATCTTCAAGGGTCGACATGGTTGCTACCGGTCGTCAAAGCGGGTTTGCGTGCGTAGGAGAGTTGTATCGTGAAAGGGGACAAGAGAATGGACAATGCAGATGATGAAATGGCAATGCGGTGCAATACGTGAATTGTATTGGCAGATGGTTGGTCAGGTACCTAGAGTACGGCTCAGATACAGCTCACGACGCCTCCAAAGTCCAGGCGGCCCACCCTTGCCTCCGGACTTGGCGCGTTCTGCGGACTGCTAACTGCTACTACCACAACCACCGCGTCACTCATCGCAGCCTGGCGTGATGCTTACCGACCGCCGATTCCAGCCTTCCTATTCTTCCAACTTCTACAGATGCAGGTAGGCTCGATCTATCATTTTGGAGGTCTTTCTAATGTGTTCATTCAGTTTGGGCCAGCTGAAATAAATACACGCAAAATCGTCGCTATAATCTATCATGTGTATATCGATATCCCTCTGAGCGTCAAACTCGTTGGTGAAGCAATGTAGCAAAAAGGTCGGTCACGTTGACCGACAAGTCCTGTTCTACCTCAAGCCAGCACCGCCATCTAACGGTGTGTTGTGTCCTCTGCACCTCGTTCGCGGGACCAGCTCGTCGCACATGACTAATTACAATAATGGAGACACCCAGCGATCTAAGCAGCGGTTGACCTCCCTTAAGTTGGCTCGCTATGCAACCACTCCTGCACCCCCATGTCTTGTGGGATTCGCACGGTTGTCGAGGAGAACCATCATAAAAGCAAACAAAAATAGCAAGTGTGGGAAAGAAAGAACATTCAGAGCTCATGCGTAAATATACCGCCACCCCAATCATAACGCCGAGCAAGATACACCTTCCCCGAAGCCGATACTTTTTGTGACTTTTGCCTCATGCGAAGGCCCTGACACCACCCACCCGGTCGTGAATGTATGTTGTGATGAAAGGAGAAAAAGGGAAACCGATTCTATCACTTTCGAGGTTGCCCGCTGTTTTAGATGCCGAAGAACGAAAGACTGAAAGTGCGATTCGTAAAAGGTCGTTAAATGTGAGCTCGATTAGGGAAATTTTGACTCGTCCCAAAGCCGCTCAGGACGCAAGTGGGCTTGAAGCCCATGATAACAGGCTCTTAGCCCAGGATTGATACCCACCAGGAACATTGGAAGCTCCACCCGCCAGTGGTAGAAAATGGTCGAACCCGAGGCGGTGGTTCCAACAACTTTTAGGCCATGTCAGAATCGCTAAACGCCGGAAGGTCGCATGACTTTTCAACTTACGACAGTCTGGACAGGATACCCCCCATGACTGAAGTAATATTCGGAATGTTTCGCATGAAGAGAGCAGTTGCAGTTTGGTCCGTGCGGAATCCAGTTGGCCGGGGTCAAACTGGTAGGATAGGAATAGGCGTGGCTGTACGCGGGGGCGTGGCTACGCTGAGACGAGAACGCCGGCGCCGCCCCAGAATGATAACTTTGACGACCATATGCCGCTGGACCAGTAGGTGTGTAAGACCATGTAGGCGTGTAGTAGTCAGGTGTCGACGGACCACTGTGAGGAGCCGACGGAGGCGAGTATTCCGAGATGTAGGGCCGCACCCATCGTGTGTCAAACTGCGAGCCTTGTTGGTACTGAGGAGGAATGGGGCCTTCCGGAGACATGAGTGGCTGATGCTGTACCGAGTGACTGCGATGGAGGTTTGTATCCAGCGGGGCCAACTTTTGCATCTCCTTGACTTTGGCGAGCTGAGCCTGCTCCTCGTAGGCGTGCCAGTGTTCCACCCACATGAAAAAGCCTTCGTCTTTATCATACATCATCCCGTGAATTTCCCAATTGAAGTCTGTTAGCCACTGCAGTTCCATCATGTTCAATTCATGCACTGGGATGCTGCTGACTTCAGCCCAGGATCTATTCTGGAACGTGTTGTCGTCAAGAAACTTGCTGCCCAACAAGAGACAGGTCGTCAGCATGCGGTAGAGGATGCCAGAGGACGAAGTCGATCGGGCACGTTCGTTAACGGACTTCATCCGCGACGACAGGTAGAATAACCCGAGCATAATGGTGGAACTCGGCAGGCGAGTGGATGAGAGGATCTGGGAGACGTATTTTCGAAACTGCGGCGTCGGCGCAGATTCCGGCGTCACACTGTCGAGGATGTTAGATGTCAAACGGTCAGTGAGTTTCAAGGTCACTTACAGTTTTTGGGACATGTCAGCAACAAAGTTGGACATCAGATCCATGTCATAGTCCAGATGCTGGGCGACTCCCCCTGTAGGCTTGTCCTCCTTAGGCTTTGTCTCGGTATGCTGGGGCGCATAGTGAGTCGAATAAGGATCCAGAGGCTCGGTTACCCGAATGGGAGGCAAGATAGGAGCGCTAGCGGTCGTGAATCCATACTGATTGCCATGCTGACCATAGGATTGGGAGTAGGGGTATTCTCGCGACGTGTGAGCATGCCCGTGACGCCCGCCTTGTCCGTTCAAAGGCTGCTGAGCCGTGTATGCCGGAGGAGGCTGATATCGGTCGTTGTATTCCCGCGTGGAGAGAGACCGACGGCCCCCAAATGCATGGGAAGGATAGAAGCCATTATCACCAGCGGCACTCATTGATGCGAGGTAGTCAGTCTGGTACTCTGGAGGAGTAGGAGGAAGGCGAGAATGCTGGCCATTTGGCCCCCAGCTATGATAGGAAGGCATGCTCGGTAGGTGAAGGGCAAGCAGTGCAGACAGCCGAAGCCCTGGCATTTGTTAGAACTGGGGAGACTTTGTATGTTCAGCGCAAGTTCCTCTTACCGTCTGCCTCCGCGTTCTGCGACAACGCCTTGGGCGTTGAAGCCGAAGCTTTCGAAGCTAGTGTTTAGCCCTTACTCAGAAGCAGAGCATGTGTGAGGAAGCAATGAATTCGAAGGCCGAACGCTCAACCCTCAAACGAGTCCTCAAACGGGACAGGAGAACCGAGAGGTCAATTAGCAAACACTGTGTGGTGTACAACGATTGATTCGTGACCGGAGTGTCGACAAACGACAGATCGTATACAGTTAATTTTTCGTGAGTGATAGAATCGAACAGTTGAATATTTTGGGACAAGACTTAGTGAAAAGCTCGTCAGGGAGGTATGAGGAGTGGTCGTAGTGCGGTAAAGAGGGCTGAGTAGGAGACCTTTGTCCGATAGGCAACCTGCAGGAAGGAACGGTTAGAATGATGTGTTCCAAATGAAATCAGTGGAATGCTCGGCCAGGCACCGAAATATTAGGGAAGTAGGTGGTTGACGGGGAGAAGTGGCCGAGTGACGGTGAAAGACGTACCAGCTGATCGCCACGTCCGGGTTGCGCACTGGCTCTCAAGCAACCAAGGGTGCACTGCACTGGCAAGAGAGACTGCGGCGCGGTTGTTTTTGGTAGGAAGTTGGCGAGGACAAGGTGTTGCGATGGACTGCGTCTGAGATGAGGCGCGGACGGACAGGTTGCGCCAGGGCCCTTGAGGGAACTCAGCCACTAACAAGGCGAGAGAAAAGACCGCAGCCGAGCGATTCTGCCACAGCTCTTACCGCGCAAGTGCTTCGTCAGGGAAGCCTCAAATTGGCCACCAACAAAAGAGGGCTGCCTGGGCGACGGGGAGGTGGATGGTATGGCAAAGACCAATGCGTAGCCTGGCGACAATGGTGCGGCGGGAAATTGTGGTAATCAAGCTGACCGCAAGGAGTCGGCACTACTCGACAGGCAGGCGTGGGCCCGGGTCCGAAATTACCCAGTGGCAGATTCCTTCCACTCTGGCCGAGAATAGCAATGGTGGCGGCACCAGTGACACGTCGACCAGCAGCGAGGATTTGAAGGCGGTGTTGAGAGTAGGAGGAGAGGAGTGAGAGTGAGATGAAAGGAAAAGGATGCGTAGGATGAGGCAGAGGAAGGATGATGAGAGCGGGAGGACGAGAGGGGTGAAAGGGGATGGAGGGAAAAGATGGCCACGCCGATGCACTGATGCAGGGTGCAGAGGCCCAAGAGGCCAGAGGGTGAAGGACCGCAGTGGCTTGCCAGTAGGAAGTTAGTCGGTGGGTGAGGGCTTAACGATGGGATGGCAAAGGCGAAGGCGACAGCACCGGCTAGCGGGCGGCCACACAGGGGAGGGCGAGGGCTTAGGGGCGAGCACCAGAGCGCAGGCAAGTAGTTCTACTGGCCAACGGCCAGGGCCCCAGGGCCATTATGGGCGAGCCAGACAGGCAGCGAATAACGAGGGCGGGCCGAAAGGGCTGTGAGCCATGCGGCGAAGAGGACCCGGAGACTAAGCTGCGACTACGCCAGACCCCTACGACTAATACCCTGGATCCAGTGTCAGCCACCTCGCAGCGCAACGCAGCGTGACCAGTTGGCAGCCAGTCAATGCATAACACAGTCATATGGAGTACAAATATACGTTAGGTACTCTGGAGACTCTGGAGAGCCACCTTGGGCCCTGATTGCCAGTGCCAGTGCCAGTGCCGATCAGGATTTACGGTAATTACTACGGGTGGCTGCGCAGGCGCAGAGGAGAGAAAATTGGGTGGTGAAGGAATGAAAATTTCGGACCAGTCAGAGTAGAGTGAATGACACTGACGACGCACTACGGCGTACTGGCATAACGGCACGGCAGCAGCATCACGGCATCAGTCATTGGGCTGTCAGGCAGACTTTGGCCAACTGCCTCAGTCATTCATAAGAGCGACGCTGGCTCTGTATCCGTACTCCGTTCCTATCCAGGTAGGTTACTAATTACTACTATTGCTATTGTCGTTGTCCACTGTGCTTTGCATCTGTTCTCACCCACCACCTCTGAGAAGCGTGGCTGTGGCTGCGGTCCTTCTGCTACCTACCTACCTAGGTGCCTGCATATGTAACTTGAAGGCAGCTGTCACGACTCACCATTATTATTAACCAATGTGCGCGCCTTGTTTGCTCCGGTCCGCCCGAGTGCCGCCTTGGCCGCTAAGGTACGGATAGTCGGTCACGGTCACAAGCTGGATCTTCCGATTTTCCTTGTTCGGCCTTCTTCAAGTTTGGTTATTTTCGTCCCTAGTTAGTAGGCAAAATCCAACCAGCAGTGGGCGGCGTGGCCAGGCAATTCGGCCATCGCCATCGTCATCGTCGTAAGTGTGTGGCCGGGATCTGGTCTCACGCCGGTTCGCATGACCAGCAGAAAACTCAGGACGACTCGACCTGCCTTACGTTTGGGTGTTGAGAAAAACCACTCGACTCGTTACCCATACTACTCCATACTTCCTGAGACCCCTAGAGACGCTTGTCTCTCGGCCTCGCCTGCCACCTGCCACTCTTCCCGTCCTCTCTCCGCCACTCAAGGATGACGACTCGCACAATGTGAATTTGTCCTATGTGTAGGCCCGCAAACAGCCACCTTCATCACGCAGTATCCATCATTGCGTGTACGGAGGTATGGACATTGGATAGAGTGTATGCGCTCTCCGATTTACTTTCATGGTTGCTGCCTTGACACCGCCTGGTTTCTCCTTAATCACGATTGATGATGAGGATGGAGCACTATTTACCCAGACCTGAGGCTATGGGTGGTGCCTAAGGTTGTCGTCCGCCCTCAGCCACAGGTTCAGCTTGAGGGAAAGCGTCATCAGGCCAACCGGTGACTGTGGTGAGGACGACGGGGATTCAGCTCCTCTCATAGCCCCGGCAGAGCGCTCATGTGCGACGACATCACTGCAGGGTGCACCTTCTCACGTGATTTAGTCAAGTGTCCAGGCTGCAGGGAGATATTAGTACCACCAGTACTGACTGCACATGATGCCCTAACATCCTTCACGTGAGTGCTGGCTCATTCGTCGGCTTACCCGACTGCCCGGGGATGTTGGCCACATACTACTACATGACGCTTTTTACTGCCATACCCGCGAGTCCGTCACAGCATCAAGCAACTGCTTCATGCCGACATGCCGTCCAAGAAAATTCAAACGAGTTCCTAGTCGCCAGAGATTTCTCTGCGAGTTGGACGGACAGCCTGCTTCGTTGGCTACGCTGCCGCTGGTAACAAACAGGGCAACCGATCCAATGATCTTTCCATCATGATCCCACCCGCTGTCGAAGACCGGTTTCTCTCATCTCGAGTTCGTGCGCCTCAATGCTCGAGTTACTATTCGACCTTTGTTGCTCCGCCCTTGCGCCTGTCGGGATCCACCCCGCTTGCATAGTACTCTGTAGTGTTGAGTTTTTATGTTCTTCCGCCCCCACGCACACCACACGCCGTCAAGGGAGCCTGTGCACACTGCATACAGAGTAAATGTTGACCAAACAATAATGTCCACTCCATCGCTTGGTCTGGACAAAATCCTCTTTTGTGGTTAATAATGTCCAGACATTCATTCAATGGTGTCGGGTTTGGCTTGCTGCCTCGGGCTGTTGGTCCATGCGTGCTAGGCTGCTGCATAACCGAATTTTGCAGACCCTTTCGCGTGACTGCCTCACCTCAGAAGTGCAATCCGGGATATCGGGAAAGAATGGGGGTGGTCGTCGTATCCTCGGTTCTTATGCGTCAAGAACGAGAACGTTATGCCATTGTATGGCAGGATGGCGAAATGTCTGATGTGTAATCGCAGGATGATAGTTCACTTTGGATACCAATCGATCGATGTCAGGAACCGTGCTCTGAGACCATCCTCCTGTTCAGTATGCCACTTGCCACGCCATTCGGCCTCACATGCCTTGGCTTCTTCCAGCGCACGCAAACAGTCCGATGGGAGCTCTTCGAGAATCGTTGCTGGAATTGAAAAGCAGCCCTCGCCCTCTTCGCCTGAACCAGGCGTGCCGAACCATGACTCGGGGGTTGATTCCAGGCAGAAGTCATGAATACGAAAATTTCTGCCATAGACCGGGTCCAGGTGAGGAAGCTTAGATGTCTGCTCAGGGGTGTCGGGAGTCTTTTCATCGTCAACGACCTCCCATCGGGCATGCGTAGGCTGCATGTGACTGGGCCAGTGCATAGCATTCGTGTGTATGTCATACACGCCCTTGACGTTGTCTAGACGCGTAGCCGCCAGCATTGAGTTGAACCGGCTAGAGAACAAATTAGCATCGCCTCGGTTCCAGAGAATAAACTACCATACCTGGCTTCTCGTGCATGTTCAAGCATCCAATTGTCGCTCGTCACCACAATCCTACGTCTCTTTGCTTCCTGTATCTTAGCATTGGGAAGCGGGATATTAGGCGTGTTGGTGTGGTAGACTGCACTCGCGCCATGCCATGCGACGTATTGATTGCGGTTGTAAGGCTCGCCTGGAAGCGGAAGACGATCTTCTGGAACCGCCACTTCGCCCTCAACGTCCCCGCGTTCTCGTGCTTTCTGCGTTTCATAGTCGTCGATCACTTTCTTCCCCCCAATGACGATTTTGGCGCCGAATTCTCGAAAAACAGATCGTGCGGTGACCACGCCAATCGCGCGACCTTTGTAGGAATGAGGGATAAGGTCTCGTTCAATGAGATCCCGCTTTTCGTCGTCGTCAATGATGATCTTATAAAGGTTTCGGTGCTTCTGGAAGAAGAGATATGAGTCGCGAAAGCCAATACAACGTGCTGGCTCGGTCGAAAGCATGTAGAGTCTTTCACCCCTTCCGAGAATCGTGAACGTTCGTACTCGATACTCTCTTCCGCCTAGGAGACGGCCATTTTTATCCACTTTCTGTTCTCCTTCCGGGTCTTCTGAGAGCTCAACTTCGTCATTAACTATCTCCATCGGATTCCCATCAGGGTCGACAGGAGCCTGCGACGGTCTTGAGCCACCTGCCCGATACTTGGCCCATCTCCCACCTCTGTGACCGCGAAAGCCACCTCTGCGCTTTGGCGTGCTCACTTCGGACGCAGCATCATTGTTCTCATCGTCTGAAGCGGCAGGGACGGAACGTTTGGGCGGCCTGCCTAGTCTCTTTCTTCGTGGAAGAAGGGATGTCTGTCTTCCTGACCGTCGAGGCGTCGCTGAACGTGAAGGCTGTTCCGAGTCTCGTGATGGAGTCGGGGCGTCTTCTGCATCATTCACATCATCATCTTCTTCTTCTTCCTCGTTGGTGCCATCCGCCTCGTCTTCTTGCGGGGTGTGCGCTTCGGCGGGAGGGGCATCTGCCATTTCCTCGTCTTCGTTGTCGGATATATTTGGTATAGGAGTTCCTGTCGAAGGGTCAACAACCAGTAATCTAGGTTGGTGTATTGTCGAGGGCTTACGCATTGAAGCCGCAGCAGCTTGTGCCGCAAGGCGCGGGCGTCGAGCCATAACGGTAGAATGAGACTGACACTGCGCTGGCTTTGGGGCTTTGGGACTGCAATTCGTGAAACTGCGGACCTGTTACGACCAGACTCATGGAAAACGCGCCGCGTGCCAGTGAAGCACCGCCGGGGGCAGGCTTGGCGCAGATCATGCTGCGTGGGACGGCGGATGCTTAAACGTAGTCGTATGGCCTACGGTGGAGCACCTAAACACCTTTTCCAACTTGTATCCTGCGGCCACTCAGCAGCAGCAGCAGCAGCAATAATGTCACTAGACCCCAGTTCAATTGCTGAGTGCCGTGAGATATCCTGTACGAGCGTATGATCGTACGATATGGGCTCTACGCCGACCTACCTGTCCAACTGACATGTAACTACGTTTGATTGGTCCTGTGGGGATGAGAGATCGAAGTGATGGCTTAAGGACTTGCCATCCTGCCTCTATTCTCGACTCTCAGGTTGCACTGCGGCTACGATTCCAGTTTCCTTCTTTCGTTCCACGAGTGATGGCAATGTGCATCTCAGCCTGGCTGGAAATAGAAAGAGCAGAGCATGCCCGAGACATGTTCCCGCCACGCGTTGGGTGGAAGGGTCGGGTGGCACAAGGAAGCCTCTGTCATCAGATTCATACGTTGTATGAGGGCAACGATTCGGACTTTTATACTCCCTATAGAGAAGGTTTTTGGGTTCGATGCGTCATCGAATTGTGCAGTTGTTCGTGGAGTTAAATAGCCGCACCAGGCGTAAATCCAACGGAAAAGCAGGCAATTATGTCTTATCGGAGTTGGGAGATCTGCGATATACTAGCAGATAGCCGATGAGCCAGTGGTTTACCTCCCGGGATATTGTGGCAGGGGAGATCCAACGGTTTTGTCTGGCCAGTCATGGTGGTCCTGTCTGCGAGGTCCTGCATAGCCTGGCGGCGTCTCCGGGGCTCGAGATGCTGGCATGTGCGTTGTGCTGCTGGGGAGGGACGGAGTCCATACATAATCAGGGCACATGCAATCGGCGGCTACCGCCCACGGAAACGCCCCTAAGCCCCGAATCTCGCATTTTCCATGAACTCTGAGCTTGAGCCACCGCTGTGACCGATGTGCCAGTGCTCAACCGTCTGCAAATGGATGTCCATGTCAGCCGGTCTGGTTCTTTCCGCTGCCCCCCTGACAGATCGGGGTGACAAGGGAGTGTTAATATTGGAATACTCAGCCCCGTGGCCCAAGCATGACTGCAATAACTTCGATGAATGACGTCGACCCTGGCCCCTCAAACCTGTGTTCCGACCAGGTTATGTTGCACCTCTCTTTACGAGGCGAACGAGCAGTTCCGGGAGGAAAACGTGCAACCCGGAGTACAGAGATCCAAGTTCGGCCTGTCAGGATTCCCAAGGCCTAGGTAGGAGGATGGCACAACATCGTCCAGCTGAGCACTATCTCGAGGGGCGTTAGGTGGGCGTTATTTGAGGACTTCCTAGATGTGCCCACCTAGCGGGCGAAAAATTCGGGATGACAATAATGGGCGACCACCCGCAGCGCAGCGAAAGACGCCTGGCCTGAAGATCCTTACAAAGTAGACTTAGGGACCTGCTGAGGTGCCTGGACCACAGTCCACTAAATACGTACATACTTTTACTAGGCACCTATAGGTCCCTAACTTGAAGCTGCTGACAGCCCGCGCAAACCATCGTTTTTTGCCTGCGACTGTGACCGTAACTTGACATGCTAGGCTTTCGCCTTGCGCCATCATCATCGCACCACTTGTCCCCATTCCGCTACGACTAGTGATCGCTCTGCGGTACCCAGACCACCAGAACAAACCTAAGGGCCGCCCGAATCCCCAACCCTCTGCAACCTCGATTATATCACCGTCGTTTCCCGCCCGTGTCGAGCTCGCTGTCGTTACCGATCGAATACCTTGTGGCCCTACTCGCCACTAACATTCGCACCCTGCGCTCGCCTTGTGCTTAAAACCTTCTTCTCACCCTCCGTGAAAATTTGGTGAGCCTCCGAGACGACGCTTGAAATCCCTGCCGGCCGCCTTCCGAGAATCTCCAATTTCTGCACCTCTTTCGTCACCCCTCCAAGCCCGCGCCCGGGAATCTAAGGAACCCTTCCCCTCCAGAAACGGGTGACTGCGGCGATTCTAGACGGCCCCTGCTTTTTGCTTGATCGACCAGAGACACAAACGAAGTCGTTGGAAATTTGAAGAGGAGGAATTGCACAGTACGTCGCCGGCATGGCGCACACTGGAGTCAACCCGCATGCAGCTGCGGACCTATTGAGACAAGCGATGGCACAGAAGTACGTCCGATATTTTTCCTTCTAGCAAGCAAGAGAAATGGTGTGACTGGGTTTATGGATGGCCACGTTTGGGCGGGGCTTGCATCTCGCCTAGGCCTCTGTCGGGGACCTATATTGGCCTTGTGCACCTCGCAACATCTCGAGTCTGCTGCCCCTCGAGGCGATGTGTATGAGCTGCTGTCTGCATTGTACCTGGCAGCACTGCACGGCGCTCATCATGTATCGCCCACTTGGGCTGGGCTCGAGTCATCCCTCCAACCAGTCTCTGTTTGCCGGTAGCGGGCACCCATTCAGATTCCTAGCTAACTCTCTAAACAGCAGCGCGAGACATGACAACCGAGAGGAATTCCCTGACCAGATCGGTTCCAACTCACCCACGCCCTCGGGCGTGGAGACGCCACGACCAGACCTCCACGACAAACGACTACCAGGTATAAATCACAGCTACTTTGGCCAGGTGGGTAGAGATCCTTCTCAAGACACCCCGTCGCGGTCATCTCCAGCTGCCACGGCCTCTGAAACAAATGATCAATCTGCGTATTTGGCTGGACAGAGCGAGAAAGAGAAAGAAGATCGCCGGGCATCGTTTGCTTCGGTAGGCTCGATGGTGATGGTAGAGCGGGACCAGGGATCTATTCCTACGCCACCGCCCGATGAGCGTCATCCAGAGCGGATGAAACCTGTCGAAGAGACTGACGCCTCTCGGTTTCTGCCCACTCCGATCTCGTCCGCCGCTTCCGTGGTGCACCGAGATGGCGAGGCCGCAGAGAATGGCGCTTCCATGATAGAGGGCGGCCTGGCTACCATCACGCAAGCTTTGAGGAATTTTGTTCTTCCAAAGACTGCCTTTGTGATGAAAGAACGCCGCCACCAGTCGCTCCCCGTGTCCAGTGTTACCAAAAGCAATGTCTCTGCGGCGCACATTTCAAACCCTACCTCGTCCACACATTCCTCGCGACCACAGACCCCCAGCTCTTCATCTCCAAATTCTGCTAAGCCACAATCGTCTCAAACTTTGCAAGAATCAATTAAGCTAACTTCAGACGTGGCCGCTGTGCCGCGTGATAAGCGCACCCCGCCTCAAACTCCTCGAGCCTTATCCCAAGAAGACCGCCGTGTCGAAGCGCGGTCACCACTCTCCAGCACCAGTACCAGCACCAGCATCAGCACACCTGCCGCTGATGCCAATGCGGAGACTGAGAAGCAAGACGAGGACTTGGTCAAAAATGATATTCCAAACAGTACACCACGGGGCAAATTGTCCATTAAAATCGCCGAGGGCCGGAACTTGAAGCCCTCATTCGATCCTTATGTGATTTGTCAATTTGAATGGAACGAATACGTATCCAAGGGGCCTAAACATGACACGATGGATATCGACGATGATGATCGGAAGGGACCGGTTGCGGCCCTGCAGTCCATCCCAATCCGAAGAACAGATAGTGATATGGGGAAGCCGATGGCCATCCCCATGCGGAGTCGCCAGAGCAGCTCAAATGGCGCAGCTGAGGACCGTCCACTCACGAAAGTCACCGATCCTCAGTGGGACCATGAGGCCACGTTGTAAGTCGCACAGTTTTCGGTTTCGTTCCGGGGGCTTACTTGCTGACTGCGCCGAAGTGATGTGGTTAGTAACCAGTCCGAACTGGATGTCACGGTCTACGATCGGCAAACGGAAGAGTTTTTGGGCCATGTCCGGCTATGCTTGATTCTGACAGAACAACATCCGATCCTGGAAGGGTTCTTCCGACTAGAACCACGCAGTGCAGAAGACCAGGACGTCACCGGCGAAATCCACATACGGATGCAGTTTTCCAAGGTGGAGAAGAAGCACTTTGGACCCAACGACTTCCAGATTCTCAAGTTGATTGGCAAGGGAACGTTTGGCCAAGTCTATCAGGTCCGCAAAAAGGATACACAACGCATCTATGCTATGAAAGTCCTATCAAAGAAGGTGATTATCCAAAAGAAGGAAATCCAGCACACTATTGGAGAGCGGAACATCTTGGTCCGGACGGCTACCACTGAATCACCTTTTATTGTTGGTCTCAAGTTCTCGTTCCAGACCCCTACCGATCTGTACCTGGTCACGGATTTCATGTCGGGAGGTGAACTTTTCTGGCATCTCCAAAAGGAAGGACGGTTCAAGGAAGACCGGGCCAAATTTTACATCGCCGAGCTCATTCTCGCACTTAAACATCTCCACGACCACAACATTGTCTACCGTGACCTCAAACCGGAAAACATCCTTCTAGATGCCAACGGCCATATTGCATTGTGCGACTTTGGTTTGTCCAAGGCGAACTTGACCCAGGATGATACCACCAACACGTTTTGTGGAACCACCGAGTATCTAGCGCCCGAGGTGTTACTCGATGAACAAGGCTACACCAAGATGGTCGACTTCTGGTCTCTTGGTGTGCTGGTGTTTGAGATGTGCTGTGGCTGGAGTCCATTCTACGCCGAAGATACCCAGCAAATGTACAAGAACATTGCGTTTGGCAAGGTGCGATTCCCCAGGGACGCCTTGAGCACGGAAGGGCGAAATTTTGTCAAGGGACTGCTCAACCGCAATCCTAAACATCGACTCGGAGCGCGTGGCGATGCGGAAGAGTTGATGCGACATGCGTTCTTTGCCGACGTCGACTGGGACGCTCTTGGGAAGAAAAACTTGGTCCCCCCTTTCAAACCAAAATTGTCCTCGGTCGCGGATACCTCCAACTTCGATCCAGAGTTCACCAATGCTCTAAATACTTCGTCTTCCTTGAATGCTCGAGCAGCCGCACTTGCTGCAGGCGCAGCTCCGACATCCACGCCGTTGTCGCCGACCATGCAGAATGCCTTCCGAGGCTTCACGTTCGTCGACGAGAGTGCCATGGAGGAGAGATTTGGCGGATCCCATGAAATCGAGGACGACAAAATCGACGAAAAAGACGAGCAGTCTCTATCACGATCCAGGACTCGGGAACACCGAATGAGTGGGGTTCAACGTACAGGAGAGGAAGGGTTCTTCTTCGAAGAATGAGTTGGACGGCTTTCACGGACAACGCATCCTCAATCTTGGACACCAGAGCAAGCACCACGTACCACCCCACGCACAGCTGCGTGCTGGACGTGTTAATGATAACCGGCGTCACCGCCTGTGAGCGCAAGGATGAAGACAAAGGGGTTGTCAACACCCTATTAATATTCCTTGTCTATATGCTGTCCTACGCCCTGGTGGGACCCGTTCAGACGACCAAAAACGCCAGGAACGATTGAGTTGGGGAATCCAAAAAAATGGTCTTTATACTTGGACAGTTGGGTGGCCGGCGGATCTGGATCGTTTGTTTCTCGCTTACGAAGACATGTCTTTCCTTTCTGCCTCGGGGGCGGCAAGCTGTAACTCAAACTTATGCAATTTGTGATGGTGAAAATGCTCCCTCAAGGACCCAGCATAGCAGATATCTGATATCAGTTTACAAAAAGCAGAAATATCACCACTATAGTGGTTATTACTTTATCACGGGCTGTTTCGGATTGATCATAGTTTTCTATCTCTGGTACTTGTCACAATGGTAGGGAGGATTGAGAAGTGCGATGCGCTCGTTGTCCATGCGTGTTCAATCGCTGGATTATTCGAGACTCGGGACTGACAAGCTGATCATTCTGCCCATTCTCCCACCTCTCCACCCCATGCTCCTCGCTATCCACGACGCGGACGTGTGGACGTCGCTTGCCCCTTCATTTCGAACGGTACGAAAAACGAGGGTACGAATCTCTTGCTAGGTCTTATCCCAAGCCCACTCGTTCGATCGGCCTGATCAGTGATTCAGATCTCACTGCGGCCCTGTGCCGGTGCCGTGGCATGTAGGCCTTGAGCCTGCTCGGGAGCTTGAGTTGGCACGGTCTCTTCCCTCGTCTCAGAACCGACGGGCGGTTTGCCAGTCTTTGCAGCCAGCCTGGAATCCTCGGCATTCATCTTCTCGAATCCTTTCTCCGCCATGTCCTTGTTGCGCAGTGCCGTGCCCGCCGCGGCCTGGAGGCTCCCTGCCACGCCGTGGACAGCGCCCTTGAGGTCGCCCGTCAATTTGGTGGTCGGTTTGGCCTCCGGGTGTGTGGTAGGGTCGGATGATGCGTAGGACTTTGTGTTGGCTTGTTCGTCCGTGGGGTTGGGGGGAGCTTGAGAGTGAGGGTGGGTAGTCTTTTCGTGCGTAGCCGCGTGGGAGGACATGATTGTGCTCAGATATCGAGGGCGTTCTCGACGGCGGGGTTGGGTTTGGTCTGAGTAAGTAGGCTGAGGTTGAGGCTGAGGTTGAAGATAAAATTGAAATTGGAATTGAAATTGAGGGCGGGAGTGAGGATACGGGTAAGCTTAGGCGTGAGATTTATAGACAGCACAGAGCAGTAGGTACTGAGTAGTTAGTTCTGCCGAACCTGATGGTAGAGTTGGTGTTGGGTGATGGATGGCTGTTTGTCTAGAAAATCATGTCTCGGACAACCAGGCCTTGTTGAAGCCTCTGGCGTCGGGGGGTTCACTGACTTGCGTCACCGTGTCACAGTGGCCTGAGATCACATGCCAGCAACACATATACAGAGTACGGAGCACTGGGACCCTTGCCAGATCCCTGTCGGATCCCTGCGCTACTGTTGTGGTCTGTAGATGAATGCAGTGGACTCTTGAAGGCCATATTCAATGACGTGTGGCTGATGTCACCGATCACTCTCCCTGAGGAAACAACTTGAGGGGATTCGAGTTACCTTTACTGCGCTGGGGCGGGATATGCTCTGCATTATCAGAAATATCAGTTCTGCATATCGAATCTCTATGCTCCGGTAGAATGCCAGACTCCATTACTTCCACTGCAGGCATCAAGGTATCAAGACATCAGACATCTGACATCAGACATCTCTCTCTGGATCTTGGTCTCGAAAGCACCATATCACAACCCTAAACCCTCTTCGGCGGCGCGAACAATAAGCTCAGCAACCTTCCTTTCGACCATGTAACCATCTCCTCGCAAGAGCTACACCTAAACCATAAGCAAACCCAAAATCCAACGGGAACCAACACAGTTACAAGCGAGGACTTTTTAGTTTCTTTTCTTCAGCATGCCCACGATATCAGGCCGTGCCAGGCCGATCGAGAAACTCGCCCAGGCCGCGGCAAAGTGTTCAGTCGAGGTACGTCCGTCCGTCACGTTGCTTACTTGCATGTACACAGAAGTCAGGGCCGGGTCAGCTCTAACTGGACGATTGTGTCGTGTTCATCTCATCTCATCTCGTTGCCCTGTCCAATTCGGTTCAAGTTGATCGGAATGGGTTCAGGAGTCAGGCTGCAAAAGCAGCTGAGGACATTGGAGTTGCAGAATCACCGACCGAAACAATCCGTTCCTGTTCCCTTCCCCTTCCCTTCCCTTCCCCTTCCCTTCCCCTACCTCATCCCCTACCTCATCCACTTCCCCTTCCCATACCTCATCCTTTCACTGGCCTCGCAGTGCGGCACAGCACAGCATAGCACGGCACAGAGCATGAAAAGTGAACAACGTCAAAGTTTGACTTGATCCTGCATCAGCAACCACCACCACCACCACTACTGACTGACATGGCTGCATTCTCTCCAAACAGGCAACAGCATACGGCAAATGCATTCTGGCCGACTACCAGTCGACGCACCAAGACATGTGCGCAAACGAGTTTCTGCGCCTGAAGGACTGTTATCTTGTAAGTGCTATTAAATGTCCCTCCGTGACTTTGCGAAAGGAGCATGCATCCATGGCAAGCATCACTGCATGGCAAAGGCTTGCTAAGGTCTTGTCGTGTCTTGTCTTATCTTGATTTGATCCAACCCAACCCAACCGAGCCCAATTCAACCTAGCTTGGCTAAATTGAGTCCGAATCCGATTCGGATTCTCGCTCTGTTTCGACTCTGATCCGCCCACTCTACTCACCTCTGTCCACTCTACTCCATTCTTCAATACGGTCTCTCCATTCCATCCTTCAACTCTGCCTCCTTCGAGACTCAGCTCGCCGGGCTGATACGCTCCTATCGTTGCTGGCACATTCGAGAACCCCTATCCTATCCTATGCAAGCCTATCCTCTCCTATCCTCTCCTATCCTCTCCTATCCTCTCCTATCCTCTCCTATCCTCTCCTATCCTCTCCTATCCTCTCCTATCCTCTCCTAT